AATTTCCTTTTCAATTTCCTTAGTTTTAATCGCGTTTTGCGGTCTATGAAAAGAGTTGGTGTCCTTAAGGCAGACTTTAAGGGTGCGATTGTGTCTCAAATATTTAGCCGTTGAAACATTATTAACTTGTAGACAATCTACTATTTGAAATTATATCATACTTGATCGTGCCTGTAAAAATGGCATGCATTTTCATGTAAATTTATGTTTATATGAAAATATACATTATTATAAGCCGAAAAATGCATATTTTGTGAATTATCTCGGTCTTCCTCGCCGATGATTGTAGTACAATCATTGCCTCCATATAGAATCTTTCCCTAATAAGTCAAGCTGTTTTTAACTGCAGGCAAAGTTCCAGACGTAAATGTTTCAGTAGCGTCTTTCTTGCTTGATTGGACAAACAGAACTTGCTGAACCGTAACCTGATTTTAATGAAGCCGAATAACCTGAAAGTTCTCCGAAAAGCTGAAATTCTTTTTCATTCATTTCATTAGTATTTTTTCTTATTCTATTTGTCAGGCACTCCGCTGCTATTCCTTTTACTGACACTTAGTGTTTATTAATAACTGGCTATACGACTGTCAAATCTGGCCATAAGAAGTGCATAATCATACCATATTCTGCCGTGGACAGGGAAGGAAGCTAATCGGCGAAATTCACGTCGCCTTACACGCCACATCTTAACACCCCAGCTCATATCTCCTATTCTTATAATAGCATACTTTGCCACAGTCCGGTAGTGAATATACAGAAGTCCAACCAAGTGGACACAGTACCATACCTGTATCCGCAAGGAGCCATCGTTTCACACATGACAAAAGCAAAAGGAAACACTCGTGGTGTTATAAGATCTTGAAAGCATTTTCCAAGAAAGGAAATGACCGCCATGCCTGTGGTTCTGTTGTCTGCGAAAGCGACTTAACATTGAATACAATCTTTGCGAGCCATGGGTTCACTGCTGATGTGATAAACGGTGCCGAAACCATATGGTGAGTTGATGCAAAATAACATATCTACGCTTCCGTACACATACCTACTCTATCACTCTGACACGGTCTCAGGCAGTGTTCCTCCTGAAAACGAAAGCAACACAGCACCGAAGTTTGCCAAAAACCATGAAAATGATACTAACAGTATGAAACCAGCAAGCACGTTGGTGCGAGCAGCACTTAACTCTGGCATTGTAGAAAGACCGCATGCATTTGCTAGCACGCACGGTCTTGCCAGTGAGAAAGGATAAGCATACCCTGAAGCAGACTAGGTTAGCTGTCCTCAGAAAAGAAGACAAGCAGCCAAAACAGCCTGTCGATCAAACTGCCATACCTTATTTAACGCGCAGTGAGCGGCAGTGCTCTTCCTGAACAAAGAACACCAATCAGGAACGGTAGGTACAGTGACCCGTGGTGCTTCTGAGGCAATCCCTTTCTGCAGACCACCTGATCTCATTCACATCAAACCATTCATCTCATCATGACCCCTAGTTGTCAAATTCAGCTCCCTGTGGCAGTCGGCTACAGTGCTGTGACAGTATTATGAGAAAGAGCGTAAGGTTGGAGGCATATTCGATATTGCAAAAGCCGAACTCGGACCCTAAGGAAGAAAGAAAGCTGTCACAATACACCCTCATGCCTCAGCAGCCCTACAGCGGTGCAGAAGTGAGGATGAAAACCAACGTTACCCAAGTCTCTTGAGTGAACCTGAGCAAAAAATGACAACTAGCCAAATTCGTAGGAATTGACCGACTAGCCGGAACACCGACTCCTCAACCAACAGCTCGCACTACGCTAACCAGCCAACAACACTGAGAGTTGGTAGGACTAAATATCAGACCTAGGTCTGAGGTACTCGAGTAACCTAACATTTTCTGAGCAAGTGGCATCACAGACTGGAAAGTCCAGGATGCTCTTAGGATGCATACTTACGAACTTTCACGACAATGAAGCCAAGCTAATTCTGTACAAAACCTGCGTGAGGCCACTACTAGAATACTATCCATTTATTGTTAGCAGCACTCACACACGTGGAAAGCTAAGAATAGAAAGTATCCAATGATATCTTACCTCAAAACTACTTGGCTACGAATGTAAGAAAGACTACATCACACGGTGCATGATTCTACAACTTGACGCTCTCTGGACAAGACGACTAATTATAAACCTAGTATTCTTTTATAAGGTCCTACACAAAATATCATTCTCAGACAGTAAGGACATACAATTCACACAAGAAGGCTCTTAAGATCTGCGTAACCGAACTTGCACAGTGACAACAAAAGCCTTTAAATCAACACTCCACGAAAACTTCTTTACAGTCATGTATTCTAAAATGTGGAACAGTTTGCCCCTAGAAGTTAGGAACTGCAATTCGGTTATAAGTTTCAAACGCTCTCTGTACAGACTGTTTCACTCTACTGATTACATCAACAAACCATTTGTTTCTAGAACGAATCTACTATTAGTCTACTACAGTACCTAAACGCGCCTAAATACCTTTACTTCTCTACAGACTATGAATAAACTAGTAGCATAGATGCATAAAAAGACTTAGTAGGGATAAATATTTGTTCACTAAATTACAGTGTACAACGAATATAAACATATGTGTCCCACTCCACATACTTTTTCTCTGCCCTCTGGCACTTTTCTGCTCGCCTCTTCTGTTGTATTTGCCTTGTAGTAGAAGTTGCATTGATCTACATGCGGACTGAAGCTGAAAAACAATTGAAGTCACTTACTCATATATCATTCCTCAAGGTTTGGCTAGTAATGGCTCAGCATCCTTGATGAAATCCACTGCCACCATAACAAGACGCTGCACGGCATCTAATACAAGCACTGTCAATGATCTAAAATGGCTTACATATAGCTTTCTACGTGTTAATCAACTTACTCGTACGGAACAACCATGCAGTGACAAATAGCGGGCTCTGGGTGAGTTGGGTGCAGTAAAACAAATCTGCTTGGCAATGACCAATATTAATCTGCATTCAGTTGAATTCACATATGGTATTATTTGCAATAAAAGTGATGTCCAAATCATACAAATAAATCACTCATTTTAAATTAACACCTAATTTGAACATTAAACAAGAAGAAGATACGATGCCGCACACAACAAAGTTATATGGAGGAATTGATTTCAGGCTTTATTTTTTCTCAAATATTTGTAATTTATTCGACATATACTTGGGTTTTTTGTTAATGCGAAGGCAATATTTCTATATTTCTTAATGTGCTCCACTGAACGACTAGATATCAGATTGTACTCACTAACTGATGTCAGAGAGGTCAGCAACCATGTAATTTCACTATAAATCAAATTCATGTAACTTAAATGATACTTACCCATGCCTGTACAACTGGTGTGTCCTACATAGATAGGAAGTATATATATGAATGTGAGGAGGCTAAGTGGAAAAGTAACAGAACTCGAAAACTTTCAATCACATCTGGACCTCAGAACAATAATACCGATATAAACCTGGCTAACCCATGCTATCGATGACAATTCAACATAATCTGTACGGTCCTGATCTGGTGATATAGCGATCACAATGAATGTAATAGAGTTGCCCTGTACATTGGCAAGCAAGTTAGAGGCGTACGAGCAACAGACACACAACTTACAGAACTCACAGACTTGATATGGTGATATTTTGTTGTCGCCCACAACAGGAATTTATTGGGTGGCACCAATCTACCACCCCCGTGGAGCTGCACACAACCGACTAATACTCAGCACCACCACAAGAATATTAAATCTCGGGCCATGACCGAATCACTATAGCTGGAGACTTCAATGCTCCATCCCCTAACCTTGGGTCAGTGTGTGCTCAAGGAAAATTTGGTCGAGATCCGCCACATACCACTGGAAATGTCGTATTGACTGAGGAATTTAAAGACAACGCTAGGTATCGCCTAGGCGGAAAGTCAAAACTGGAATATATTCAAACTAGTGACCACTTACTAGCTCAAACCATGACCTTTCCGTGTAGTAGTGACCATGAGGCTATAGTGTTTCATCTGGTTCTTTGGAAACTATTTGCCAACAGCTGTGGTTACTACGCCGTTCATGGAAAGCTTCAAGCAGAGGCTGGACAACTATGAAGTGAAGCAAGTATTGTGCTGCTATATCTTGATTAAACTAGCGTATACGTATATCCTAATACTCCTTCTCGTTTATAATTGTATCCCGACGTTGTGCTTACTCGACACACACAACGTAAATCAGAAGACACTTGAGAAGGTGTAGGAATGTGTATTCTCGCCGTAATCAAAATTCAAAACTTGAGCGAGTACAAATGTATCAATTGTTAACATGCAAGATTTAGAGTAATAAACGAATCGAAGTACTATTACACAATGAAAGTATAGTACGATGATGAGTAATAAAATGGGTCACTACACAAGGACTGTATCCTGTTAGCCTATCAGTTGGCCTATCCCTTTAGAACTCACTTCTAGCGGCCATGCATCAAAAAATTGTACTTTACCTCTACATATTCCGACTATTCTAAGTATTCTGTCCATTTATTGACTTATTATTATCTTTACTTATTTATTTTTTAATTATCGAATTTCACAGTTCATCTGTTTTAACGTTTTCCATTTTAAGTTTAATTAATTCATAATTACATCCACTACTTACCAATTATTATCATAGTCTCTTGTTTATCTCCCATCAGGTGACTAACGGATGAAAAACGAACTCCGTTATTAGCAGCAAAAGTCTTAACATACCGCATACTACAAACCACAGATGTCCATTATCTACACTCCCCTTGCAGGCAACCAAAGTTATGGCAGTCAAGTGGAGGGAAACTTTCGCAGAATTTAACCAAAGATCAGGAACCCTTATCTTAAATCCAAGAAGCTAGCACAAAAAGAAACAATTTTGGGCACACTAGCTCGTGAAAACAATGTTGGATATTGGTGGGCATTTTTGAAAGGGGACGCTACACCGTAGTGAAGGTAATCAGATCTTATACATCTGAAGATATGTTCCTCCAGCGTGATCTTGGAACGTAAGTTGTCCCTGGTTCATTAAGTGTCTTTTCCCTTCTTTTAAATGGTCATTTGCTTATTAGGAATGCTCTCGCAATGAAATATACACTAGTAAACAATTGGTTCTCCAAATAAAACATCCTGGGGAAATGCAATAGTCCCTCGAGAACCCCCACATTTTCCAAAAATATCTCAAAAAACGCCGCAATTGAATGAAAGGTTTTATTTAGGTTTATAAACTAGGGTTTCTTTTAGTGATTCGTAAAAGACAGAAGTAAGAATATATATATATATATATATAAAGCTGCATATAGAGCGAGTGCTTAAGTCGTTATATTTTGACAACATACATAACACCAAGGTGTGAGGCGTCATCCATGGTAACAAAGTTAAGTTAGCTTGTCAGACTGATTTAGGTGAGATTGACAAAATATGTCAAACGGTGGCGCAAGTCCGCAGGACTGTACTTCGAAGCCTTCTGGAAAAATATACGTTAATTATTTAGTGGAGAGTTCAGGAGTGTCATGTGTTTGGAAACTTAAGGTCGTCTAAGTCACAACCTGAAGAAAGTAATGTGATGAGATACGTTTCCAACAAAAGTTTCAGGATTTCCTTGGTCATTTTCCAGGTCGGAAATTAAAAATATTAACGTGTAGTTGTTCATATGCCTGGGCTAATGATACTGCTCAAGCTGTAGCAGGTGGGGTGAGATTTGAACTGTGGGCACACTGGTTGAAATGTAAGTGCTTGATCCAATGAGCTATATCTCCACAGTTTCTTACATATAATTGTGGTCTGTCGAAAAATTGACTCCAAAATGAATTCCCTAGAGACTGACGGAAAAAAGAGTTATTTTCAAAGGTGTGCCAATAAATTCCGCTAACTACAGTAATCAGAATGAATATCTGTGGTAAACACGACTGAGTGTTGCGTTGATGCAGTCTCAATTGTTTGAATAGAAAGGTTTTAGCTGTATGACACGATGAACCTGATCTAGTGTATCAGGTTGAGACTCTGGTGTCAGTAACCCATACAGTTTCTATCTAAATATTCTCGAATCTCGATGTCTAACATTTCACGTTCGTTTACGGAGAGCTTAATAAATAGTTTTTTTTGTTTACAGTGGTCATCTCTTCTTCGTTTTAAGTTACTTTTAACTGATTAGTTATTCAAGTGACTCCATAATATTCTCCTGTGTACTTGTTTTGCAAATTGTGTTCACCATTGTATTTATTTATTTATTCATTCACAGATCTGTTCCAATGCGTTTATACACAATGACGAAATGCTATTTAGTTGTCGTTACGATTGTATTTCTTCTGATTATTGGAGTATCTGTAATTTTTGGTGTATCTGGTATGCTTATGTTAGTATTTATTGACGCATTACTCAAAATATTGTTCAAGGTCCTAATGTGTCACACCGCTTTGTTATTCCTGCGTCAAATACTGACTCGGAATCCACTTCATATCATGTGGATTCTCCACCTCTTTCAGTTTTTCATCGTGAACTTTGGCTGTCAGCTGTAGTAAACCGTGCACCTTTGGAACGTATGTTTTTATTGTCAATATGTTGTCTCAGTTTAATATCAGTTACCTAAATAGTTTCTCGAAGACTTGGTAAATATTATTTTCATAATTTTTTTTCTACAGCTTTGTGAATATTTTCCAGTAACGTCAAAATATCCGTGGTAGTGTCATTTTAGAGCCATGAAAGAAGTAGCAGACATTTTTTGTCTCACGAATTCATTTTCATATTTGTCTTTTTTGTATAGCATCGCTGTCATCCGGTGAAGTAGGAATTGTGTAACATTCTGTGTATGATACAGTTTAGTGTGATGACTCTGCCTTGAAAACGTCTCTTTGAAAAGAGAGAAAGTAGTTCACACTCCGTATTTTGTACACTCAACAAAATATACTAAATGAATGAATAATCTGACTGGCTAACTGCGTTTCAGCATAGAAATTAGCACAGAAGTACAGCAGTTCAAGTTACTACATCATGTAGCACACAGGTAGACAGAAGAGAAAAGAAGAGATTGATAAGAACTATAATCAGCAGAAATGTGCAGGAAAAAGAACGGTAACATGGAAAAAGAATAGGGTTTAATGGATATGGGTGATCATGAAGAGTGATTGCATCTACATCAGTGTGAACAGTTTCGAGTTATATCACCAATAGTGTCTAACCATTGGTCTTCAGTATCCCGAGGACTCCAACCAGGTAGCCTATACATTGCTGAGTGACTAAAACCAACTGTCAAAAACCTCGTGGACTGATGACAGATTTAGCTTTGACCACCTCCAATACAATCGTGTGTCAGCTAACATTTTCCATTTAGGAGGGCGACAGCTAGTCATGCGTAAAGCATATCCAAGCCATCTCAATCGATGTAGCTTCACAACTTCATCGATTAACTTTTCCTCCCTACCTAACACTCGACGCCTAGCATCAGTATCATTCACAATATTAAATCACTTAACACGGAAAATAGAACACAAACGTGTATAGACAAATACAGTTGGTCTTTTCCTGTCTTCCACTTCCAGTGGCCATTTGCAAAATAGGATGGTGCAAGCTGCTGTGCAGTGCATACGTCCTTTGACAGATAGCCGGACCATGATTTCGAAACACCTAGCGTGATGGCCACATTGCAAACTTGACTGATAGAATTTAATCTGCACCAAATCGAGAACTAGATGCATGATACTAATTATTAACTAGTTTCCAATGAACTACTTCGCTATTACAGGGTGCCACCGACAATTATACATCTCATCCAACAGCTGTACGACAATGCTGCATGCCAAGTAATCCACAACGGGAAACTTACGGAATCCTTCGAAGTGAGGACAGGAGTAAGACAAGCTGGCTGCCTACTATCGCCAATGATTTTCCTGATTGCAGTAGATTGGATAATGCGACAAAGAGAGGTGGGCAATAAGGAAACAGGCATAAAATGGACTCACACAAAAAAATCGGAGGATCTGGACTTCGCCGATGATATATGTTTGATTTCCCACAAACTGGAAGATATGCAAGTGAAAAGCAACAAGTTGGCAGAAGAAGCATCAAAGATAAAACTTCAGGTGAACATAGAGAAAATAGAGGTGATGAGGATTCCTGGACAACACCACCAACAGCAGCAACAACAACAGACAACAATCAGCATAAATGGAAGGAACCTAAAAGAAACAACCTTTACCTACCCTGCCTGGGAAGCATCGTTTCAACTACAGGTAGAACTGACGACGGTATCAAAGCAAGGATCGGGAAAGCAAGACAAGCCTTCATTACTCTCAAGTCTGTATGGAGGTAAACAGCACTGAACATCGAAAATAAGAGACGGATTTTCAGCTCCAATATGAAGTCAGTGCTACTATACGGATCAGAGACTTGCACTGCGCGTCATAAAGAGCATCTTAAACAAACTACAGACCTTCATTAACAGTTGTCTTCGCTCATTACTACTCAAGATCAGATGGTCAGAAAAGATCAGCAACAGAGATCTCTGGGAGCGAACCAACCAGGAACCATTTGTGAAACAAACAGGCAGGAAGAAATGGAGATGGATTGGCCATAGTCTGAGACAACAAACCATCAAGTGACATCACTAGACAAGCCATTGCTCGAGTGGAACCCGAAAAGGAAGCGGCGAGTTGGTCGTCAGTGCAAGGGTGACTTGGAGGAGGTCATGTGAAGAGGAGATAAAAATGTGTGGGCAGACTTGGAGCTAGGTGAAGACTCCAGCAGAGAATCGAACGCAGTGCAGACGCACGGCTGAAGCCCTATGTTTCTCTAGGATTTAAAGGAAACAATAATAATAATCAAAGTATAAGAATAATTAACACTGTGTTTAGTAGTCTAGTCAGATAAGGATTACTAAGGTAGATTAAGAGTAATAATAATAATAATAATAATAATAATAATAATAATAGATGTTTTTGCACACATTGTGGCTTAATTTTACGGACAGTTGTCGCTTAAGCGAATGTGGTATTGACTGCTTTTATAAGTAATCTTGAAAACTGTTTCGATATCAATCAGTTAACGAATTCGGTATTCATTATTTATGCATAACTTAGATTGTTCGTAGCAGTTTGAACAGTCACTAAAGAAAAATAAGCTAATGGGTGTTAATGAGGTTAAACTCTGTTATGTTTGCTGATATAATAATATTACTGATTTGTGGGTATAATAGTGAAATACAACCCAAGAAAAGACCACGGAATATCAGACACTGATTGCTGATTAACTCAACCCTCTTAGCTCACGAAAATGAGAACAGAAGACAGACTGGATGGTCCGAGTCAGTGAGAACAATTCATTTAATTAGACAAAAATACATACATACATACCTGTGTATACATCACAAATCTTTGGAAAGTGTAGCCCCAGTGAGTAAATAATTTCACTGGTTGTGCATATAAGGTCGAGCTTCTAGGTTGTTCAACAATCACATAATAAATCTGCCTCAGGGCAATAGTTTAATTTGTCAATTTTGCTTTAAGCCGGTCTAAGCCTCTCCATCAGCTGGTTTCAACCATGTTGCTCCATATCAAAATCTGATCTTCTATGCTAAATGTATGTGTATTAAAAATCACCTAGTTTTTTTTAGCTCTTTAGATCTTACATTTCTATGCTTAAATTGTATATTTCCATAAACTTATTTAAGGCTTGAATAAATGAGTTTCTTTAAATATACAAATATTAAACAAGAAATTATGCGTATTTTGTATTTCAGAAGATGCTAAATTATCTGTGAATATTAATACATCTATAAAAGTACATATACCATCTGATTTAACTGCTGTTAGTAATGTAAATAAAGCCGTGGAGTCAATTCCATCTAGTGGAAATTCTGTCATTCAACTGGGTCCTATTCATAATCGTACTATTCAGATAAATTGTCCAGAAATAGTAAGCTGTTTTGAATAATTTTATTTTCTGTTTCTGATCATTATTTATATTGTATAAGTTTCTCTAGATTTCAGTTGAGATATGACTTTTTTCTACTGACGTCTTTCTTGTTCAAGTCTTAAAGTTGATGTGCCAATCTAAACTTTATATATATATATATACTTGCTTACCGGTGTTTGCTACTAGTATAACTTAAAAGTTCTATGATTAACAACTGCTGGAATATTGCTGCAGACATTGAAAACAATTTGTATGGTATTTGTGTGAAGATTTATGTGTGGAATAAAGGTGGCTTTGTTTGTACCACAGTGTTCTATGGTGTCAAAAGAAAAGTTTGAAACGAATCTACGTGTTAGCATCTTCAGTCAAATTGTGGAAAGCAGTACGTATCACGCCGCCCCACTTATTGTCGTTCAACAAATCACACTGAGACGTCTTATTTTCATGAAACACCTGGAATAATGTCTCTCAGTCGGTCTACATCTGAGGTCATTGTCACAACCTGTAAAGAATAATGCTGAGGAGGGCTTCGTGCACTTTTGGAAGTGTGTGGGCGGTTGTTACTTCCCGGCTGCCCACACCGTGGAAGTTGATTTATTCTTCAGGCACCCGAAACAGAAACAGGGTTAGTGTTGTGTGACCGCAGAGCCCAGGGGACAACTGCTTGAGGCTAGTCACATACAACCTGTATAAACTGGTTTCTTGGATTGGTTCCGTATTAGTAAACTTACTGCCGGTTACGGACCACCGTAGGGTAAGTCAGGATGTATAATTTTTGTGTTGACCCTTTCTAACCCCCTCTCTCCAGAGTGGAGAGACAGCACAGCTGGCATTTCAGTCGTCTTAGGGAAACACCTCACTGCTGTTACATCCCTGTTCCCCAGTAGTACGATTTCACCCACAGACCCTCAGCATAGTGTAAAGAAAGTTCTTACACTAAGCCGGTAACTGCTTTTAGTCTAATCGCTATCCTAACAACCTTCCTAGCATGGTAGGACGTGCAGGAACAAAAGTTCCAGCCAGTGTAGCTTGTTGGGTCATTGTGATGTGCAAGCCCGACCACCACGTCAAGGTCGCAGCTATCAGTCGGCTGACATAAGACCAGGCTGGAAAAGAGCCAGTGGTGGTCAATACAGAACATGGGATCAGCTAATGGAATCCACAACAGTTAGTCGAAGCCACGTAGAGAGATGTAGACTTCCTGGCTGGGGTCCTCGGGAAGGTAGAAACCAATAGCTAGAGACAATTGGTGGTATGGCTCAAAATCGTTCTCAATAGCTAGCGCAGATGCATCCACTCCTTGTGACTTATAATTTCCAATAAAACTATATGGTTCTTCGATATTACTATTGTTTTTGCCTCATATCTCCCCCTTTACTGTCTCTATTCTGCATTTCCTTTTTACTTTCTTCTCCTGCTTTGTGTGTTGCATGGTGTGGCGACTGGAACCGCTGCACATCTGTGCTAAGTAGTTCTATATTAAAACCAGTCAGTCAGTAATGTTGTCATCGCAAACTTGATCCAGTGGGATTTAGTGGTTAGCGATTAGAACTAGAAAACAATAACACTAATTAGTGGCATTCTAATAGTTGGATTTATTTACTTCTACTATTTTTCGAATTGGTAGTTGCTTAGGTTACTGGATGGAATCGGATAGTGACAAATGTTTATCTTAACCTGTTAGCTAGTGAGTGCTCTTAGCATAACCTGTCATGTGTGTGTCACGTGGCAATCATTAACCATTTCGCACTGATTAACTCGATGTGTTTGCATCACAGCGGTGGATAGTTTTATCGTTTTGGTCAGTGAATCATAATAGATAGCGATCTATATGATACTTTGGGCTTCCTTGCTTACATCAGTCTTTTGGTTATCTAATGTCCCAGTAAATCACTCCAAGGATTCTTCTTTTGTGTATAAAAACGAGTTAATTCGGAATAACAGATTGCAATAAGTAGTGACTTGTTCTTCGAATAGTTTGTGTTTATTATTGCATTACTCTGTTTACCTTAATTGTTGTTAACTGCTTGATTAAATATGTATATATGATAGTTGTGTCGTAAGGTGTTAATTTTATCTAGTTGAAATGACTTCATAGAACGATATTATGCGGGTAGTAGTAGTAGTAGTAGTAGTAGACAGTTTCTTATCATCAAAATTTGGAAACAACCACTGTGAAAAGTCAACTCAAGTTTACTATCGATTGATGAGTAATATTCATACTAGGCACTGGAATTTTTATAAAGATAGTTTCCATTTTGTCTTCGTTAACAACAGGTTTGCTGTAACTCAATTACGTGGAACAGACTCCTTATACTTTATCGGGTTAGTGATACTATCCAGTTGGTTGTCCAGACTGAAGTAGGTGGAACAGGATTGTAAGCCTTATAGCCCATCGACTGAAAGTCGAGTAGTGTTAAGCCGATGAAGAGCCATATTCCGACCTTTTGATAATTTGATGTTTGCTTTTTTCACGGGTCATATTTAGTTAGTTAGTTAGTTCTAAAAACTCATTGAACGAAAATTTGCTTTCAATCAGTACATAGTACATAATGCTAGACAACATAATATTGGCTTTCCAAGTGTTGGCTATTTGGAAGCGATTTAACTAATTTCAAGATTCTCATCACGAATTGACTTCACTTAGAGAACAAATGGAAACCAGGGAGTATTAGACAGCTGTTTCGTCCTTGTCTGGGATTCTCCGTCAGTACGCACCTGTGACCTTATCACGGATCAAACCCAGGACCTTCAGATTACAAGGCAAACTCGTAGACCATTCAGCCACGGGGACCCAATTCAATGGCCAGCGCATGAATTCCAACTCCTGCCGATTCATGACATTGGATTGAGTCCCCTTGCCTTAGTGGTCTACGAGCTCACCTTGTGAATATAAGGTCCTGGGTGAGAACCTCAGGTGGGTGCGTACTGATGAGAAGTTTCAAACCAGGACGAGACAGTCGACTGTCCAGTACTCCTTGATGGTTTTCCATTGGTTCTTTAACCTATGTCAACTCATGATGAAATCCTGTAACCAATCAATCAAATCCCTACAAACCAATACTTGAATAAATCTTCTCCATACTTTCTATGCTTTAATTGTTTGTGTTTTTGTCTCAAAATTTCAGAAATGTGATGAAGTCTTTCTATTCCATCTTATTCCAATTGATTTTACCATCTATAAATTCAGTATATCATTTTATCGTGAATCATCGACCAGTAGCAAATACAAAGAAGACAATTTGAAGAAGAATGCATTTAAAATAATCAGTGTTGATTTTATTTTTCAATGCTATACTACTAAGTTCACTTATTTCGAATTGATTGTCAAATTTTTATCCTTTATCATTTCGGAAGTGATCTGCGTAAGTTTGTCAACTTGCTTATTGATTTTTATAGTGAAATTATCTATATTAGGTGTATGTATCAGATGTTAGTTTATCTGATATCCCGCTGGAATGATTGTCAGGTCTAATACATAGGTCAAACTAGTAGAACAGGGGCAGTCAAACTAGCCGAGCATAAAAACCTAGCAGCAAAATCTAGATTAGTTGACCCAAATAAGAAATCTAGAGAATAGTTCAGCTATAGCACTACATGCAGTCACACACAACCATACAATAGGATGGAATAGGATGACAGCTTTAAAATCTAATGTCCAGGGTGAACGGAGAGATTGATAACAGAAGCTTCGTTTATCGAATCAACTGCAAATACATGTAATAGGAATGATTCAACACCTGTCCAGTTTAACATCTGGAAAATTCTACTTCCCCAACGACGACAAATAGGAGAGAGAGAGTGCGTCGGTGGCACAGTGGTTAGGACTCTCGTCGACCATGCACATGGTCCGGGGTTCGATCCCCTGCCGATGCACGCCTGATATCTATGGTCGGCCTGCAAAATTTGAGCTCCCAATATCACATGCTGAAAATTCCATAGCTGAAACAAAAGATGCGGTGTGGAATCAAGCTGTAATTAAAAATAAAAAACTAAAAAAACTATAAAACTGAAGTTTCGAAGTCGTGTGATTATAATTGATGACATGATTATGAACAATACTAGATTGTGTTCGAAACGTCATCCAGTAAATAATACTGTTTCACTGTATGATACATCTAATAAGCAAACCAATATGAAATTACATATTACCACAGTGCCCAAGTTTTACACATATTAACGTGTAGCACTATGTTGTAACTTGGCAGAAATTAGAATTCATGGGTCGGTAGATTTAAACCCAGTGGCTTACTCGTCAATGGAGTCTAAGTCGCTGATTAAATCACTGATGAAGTAGTAGGTGCCCACTTCGGATGAATTTCAAACTAGCCACAAAAAAACAACTGTCCAGTACTTCCTTAGTTTCCAGTAAATTCTCTAATTGATTTTGGTTTGTGATGAAATTTACATTGATTCACTCCATTTAAACAGTTAGTGTTTCTTAAAAGTTTATCCCATTGCATATTTCGAAAGACAGAATTTCTCACTTATTTCAAACGAACAAGTCATTTTTCGAGTGTTGGTTTGTAGGGATTTTGTTTGTTTGATTGATTGAAGGATTTCATTATAAGCTGACATCGGTTAGAGAATCATTGGGGAACCTGCAAGGAGTACTGGAGAGGTGTTTCGTCAGCCTAGTTTGAAACTCTTCAGTAGTGCGCACCCAGGACCTTCGCACTGTGTCGTGAATTGTCTGGTAGAAGTTGGAATTCATTCATGAACTGGCGATTGGATCGGGTCCCAGCGGGTGGGATGGTCTACGCGCTCGCCTTTTGATCGGAAGATCCTAGGTTCAAACTTGCTGTGGTGGGTGCGTACTGATAAAAAGTCCTTGACTGGGACGAAATAGTTGACCGTCCAGTCCTCCCTACTGATCTCTCAGCTCATGACGAAATCCTCCAACTAATCAAATAAATCTCTACTTATCTAGTAAAACAAACTTGGTACACTATAGGCACCAGGAGATGTGTCACACAAAATCATATAGTTTGTACAAAGTGGGGGGGGGATACTGTCCGGACGCCTAAACCGAAGCTGATGGTTGTTTTGAGAGGCCACCCCATCCCGAGCTTTTAACTTGAAGTCTGATCTATTAGATAGTAAAGGCGCGTCAGGAGCTACGTTCCCAGGGGCGCTGCCAACCAGTACAGGTTCATGTGCCATTCGATCCGTTTTGAATTGTTGAGCTCATATGCGCCATAAGTTTGAAATCAAGGTTTTCCGACTCCCTCAGGTAGACCTTTATGTCCATCAGTCCAGTTATAAGCGTCAGACGTTTTCATCCACCCTTTCACTTCAAATTGAAGTGTTCGCTGATGATGTTGCTTAGTAGGACAATGAAAGCTTTGGAAGTAAATCATCCACTTCAGAGAACACAACTACAAATCTTTTCCATCATATCGAAGTCTCCTCACCCTTCGGTCACTGTATTTATCATGGCAAAAATTCAGTTTGTAATTTTACCGTGTAATTATAATATGTATGCTAATCATTCGACTCTACTGCCTTTTCATTTTTCGGCTACATTTTTGTCCACTAGAAGTACAACCTCTTTTTGAAACTCCTGAATATTATGCCAGCGATTTATACCATGGCGGTAATTATTTCTTGACACTGATTTCATCAGGCATAGATCGATGTGTAATTGCAATGTATGTGCGCAAGCATATCCACCACATTCAGTGATAACAGCTATCAACTGTGTGATTACCAGAGGTAGTCAAGTATTGTACTGAGTATTCCTTAAACATCAGTCACTGTGTCATCCTCCTGTCGAAAACGTTTTTATACGATTTCATAAATATGTCTTCCATGAAGAATGTAACATAAGGTTAAGACTAGTAACGGTTGCAGTATCAACTGACTATCTCTCATTTGAATAAAGTGAGAACTACAGTTTTTGCAGAATAAAGTGGTACCATCACTTATTTCGTTGCCCTCTCATCAGCTGCTTACAGGCCACAGTCATTATTAAGTATATCTACAGAAACAATTTTAACATACTTGCACAGAGTTCATTTTAAACAAAAATCAATGGATCAATATGCATACAATAAAAATATGAATAATAATATTAAACACTATTCCGAACAATTATGATCATACGCAACGGAAACTTTCGGCATTACACAATCAGATGGAAGAGAGGGCGGAAATACCCAGTTACCAGGGCAAAGAAAGACTGATAACTGTTTCTTTCTGAACGCACAAATCAGGTTCCAGGAGCTTGATGGAGATGGCTTCAGCAAACTTGAGGAGAATTGAGCTCTTTTGCCTATTGATAATTTTGAACGATTTTGCGACGTCCACCTCATGACCAGTGTCAAGAAGATGCCTGGCGATGGCACTGTTTAAAGCATTTGTTCCTTTTAGACGTAAGCTTTTTGTTACTTGTTCAGAAAATTGTAGATATGCCCTTCTTTCTGTTCTTCCAATGTAACTGCTCCTTCAGATACATGTAAATTTGTATATACAGTTGGAGTTAACATGAGAAGGATATCTATCGATTTTCGACTGCACCAAAGAGCAAGTTGTTCGATAGACGGGAACCAGCTTAGCTGCAGGATAGGCTCTGGCTAGTGATGTACTCAGTCTTCTGTTGACCATTGCTGCAATGTTTTCACCTTTATAATCAAGTTGAATGTAGATTGGCTTTTTCTCCACTGTGATTTGTTTGACATTTGAGACTTCAGATCTTCCATACTTGTTAATGAATCTTTGAGGGTAACCATTGCTTTTCAACATCTTTTCAAGAAACACAAATTCTTCCTCTAATTTCTCTATAGAGCATATTCTCCTCGCTCTATAGTACAGAGTCTTGACTAGTGGTCGTTTATAGCTATTTGGAGAAAAACTATTAAAATGTAAGTACTATCCTTTCCAAGTAGGCTTTCGATAAATTGACTTCTGAAGACTACCGTCTTCTAGGCGTTGCATGGCAATGTCGAGGAAGTAGAACTTTCCATCACTTTCATATTCCATAGTAAACTCAATATTGGTATGTGCGTCATTGAATAATCTGAGTAAGTGTGTGTGTCATTGACATATCGACAGTAAGAAGTTGTTTCGTCGATTGCATGCTTCAATTTTGTTCTTTCAACGTTGGACATGAATATATCTGCTAAAACAGGGCTAAGTGGACTGCCCATAGCTACACCATCTATTTGGTGGTAAAGAGTGTTGTCTGTGGCCTGTAAGCAGCTGATGAGAAGGTAACGAAATAAATGATGGTACCACTTTATTCTACAAAAACTGTAGTTCTCGCTTTATTCAAATTCATTAAAGCGAATAAACGTATGAAATATCTCTCATTCACTTCAAACTAAACTCAATAAATTACAGTTAACTGGTCATTCATTTTTCCCCTCTATTCTTACTTCCGTTACAGATTCTATTCTATGTGAACATGCGAAAATTCCGTTTATGTAATTGGACAATTGAACAATGTTGTATAGCCATCTTATTGCCTTTATTAATACTTTATAATAGTAAGTAAAGCATTAATTATATTTGAATTTTGAATGTTATCTAATCAGGTGATTGTTACATACTACTTATTGGTTGAGGACAAAAGTAGTTTCAAGGTAGTGTAACTTAAGGCGCAGCAAATATTCCAGCTGTATAAAATACCAGCCAAATGTAACGCTTGAGGTGGTAACGGTATTCTTTCACACATGTGATACAAAATCATGTAAGAGTATACACAACAACATCAACTACTTGAAGAAATTCAAAGTTGTAATTGACTGCCTTTGTTTGATTTGTTCAAGGAGGCAGAAATGAAAATGGAAAGAAATACTGTGGACATTTCAGATGCTACACTTGGCTATTTCACGGGAACACCTTGCGATTACTTTTCTCCTTACCCAAATTTTTCCCTGATATTGTTAGCTAGTTTGTTTTTCGTTTTGCAATCGCTCAAAACTGGAGTATCTAGGTTCATTGGTTCAACGGCGCAATAATAAGTGCTTATCTTTTTAGTGTGGTCAGAAATTAAGGCTGTTTTCTTTAATTTTTATCTGATGTAAGGAAACCAAATAGAATTGGAAAAGAAAGTGTGTATAAACCCTTTTTTCCTTCTAGAATTAATTTTCTGTTTTATGATTTGCGTATATTGTATTGTTATAATTCACTTAGGTTTCGAGTGTAACAGAAAGGACTTCTCTACAGTACATCTCCATATCATTCTGTTTTCTGAAGTCGTCTTTAGCTGACTGCAAGGTCGCGCACAGGCTCCTGTCTCCTCCTCCTCCTCTATGTCATCTTCAGACGCCTAACTCTCTGTCTCCTTTTCGGGCTCCATTCGAGGTTACTGTGCTTGGCATGCGATTACCACTCAACAGTCTCCTGAGCGTGTGTCCGATTCATCTCCATTTTCTTCGAGATATTTGTTGGGTGACTGGTTCTTGGTTGGTTCGTGGCAGGAGAGTTCTTTATTGGTTGCCGCTTCTGACTACCAAGCCATCTGTTCTTCAATATGTTGTAGCCAGCGAAGGCAGCTGTTGATACAAGTCTGCAATAGCCTGTCGGAAATGCTGTTGGTGACGCGCATACCAAGTCTTTGAACCATATAGAAGAACGGTGATTGTCCTGACATTAGTGTTGAAAATCCGGATCTTGTTTTATATACTTAGTGCAGTAGATCTCCATGCTAATTTTAGATTAATAAAGGTGTGTTTGCCTTTCGGATCCTGGTTGGTTGTGAAATCTTCATCCGTACCGACTGGCTATAGTTGAGACAATGCTTCCTAGATAAGTGGAAAAGGTGATTTCCTCTTAGATTTCCTCCTTTCATGATGACTGATGCTTGTTGCTGTTGTTTGTTTTCAATATGTTCACTCGAAGTCCTCTTCCCTCTGCCAGTCTCTTCTACTAACTTGTTGATTTTCACCCGTAGATTTTTGTGTTTGTGTGACATTAGACAGAAATCGTCCTCTAAGTTCAAATCTTCTAGGGTCTTCTTTTCGGTCGCAGTGTATTCCTATCTTCTGGCTCCCATGCATGGTGTGTCGCATGACTTAGTCCATCAGAATCTGGAATATTATCATGGGTGATGGTAGGCAGTCTTGTCCTACTCCTGTTTTCACTTCACAAAAGCATCGGTGAATTTTCCGTTGGGAATAACTTGACATGTGGCATCACCGCATAGCTGTTAAACTTATCTGTCGATGCTTTAATGGAACTCCACTATCCAAGGCATAATTGGAGGATATCGATCCACAGATTTTCCACCATTGAGCTATCCACGTGATGACTCATTGCAAGACTGTAAATGATAGTGTGGTGGACTGGATTATGCGTCAGACAGTGGGAAACGAGAAGACAGGGATATCCTGGACCGACATGAAGAATCTAGAAGACTTGGATTTCGCGCGTGGATGATTTATGTTTGATGTCACACAAAATCGAAGACTTACAAGCGAAAACCGACAAACTGGTCGAAGAAGCAGCAAAGACAGGACTGCAGGTGAACATAGACAAGACGGAGGTTATGAAAATAACCAACCAACAACAACAGCAGCAACATCCAGTGCCAATCACCATCAACGGGAGGGATTTGAAAGAGGTTACTTCATTCACTTATCTAGGGAGCACTCTCTCAACTACAGGAGGAACGGACGAGGATGTCAAATCGAGAATCGGGAAGGTGAGAAACACATTCATCAACCTGAAACCAATCTGGAAATCTTCGTCACTCAGCATAAACAACAAAATTCGGATTTTCAATACAAACGTCAAGTCAGTTCTTCTATACGGATCAGAAACTCGGCGGGTCACAAAGAATATTTCCAACAGCCTGTTGCAGACCTTTATCAACAACTGTCTTCGCTGGCTCTATACTGAAGATCAGATGGCCGACGGAAAGAATCACCGACAAGAGACTATGGGAACAAACGAAACAAGAACCAATCGCCCAAGAAATATGCAAGAGGAAGTGGAGATGGATTGGACACTCGCTGAGGAGGCCGTTGGGTGACATCGCGCGTTAGGCCGTCGAGTGGAATCAGAAAGGGAAGCGGCGAGTGGTTCGTCGGTGCAAGGGTGACATGGAGGAGATCGTGTGAAGAGAAGCTGAAACAGTATGGACTAACATGGATGCAGGTGAAAAGTACAGCAGAAGACAGAAGCAAGTGGAGACGTGGAGTTGAAGCCCTATGTTCCACTAGGAACCCAAGGGAACAACAAGTTAATAACCTATACATAAAAGTAAATTATAATATGCCATATATATATATATATATATATATATATCGGCATTTCCGGTGTTTCCATTATTTTTCTATATTTATATAAATGAAAAATACTATGATTGATGTTGATAATTGCAGTAACAACCAAATTTGTAATAAGGCTTAATTAAGTAGCCTTAGTTTGTGTTGAAAATTTTGTCATTAACTTCAAAAATAAAATTCTTCATATTGGCATCAATTATCTATTTACTTGAACAAGCAAACTTTTTACGCACCATAAATATATTTAGAAATACACTGTTCAAATTAATGTCTGAACTATGAGCGGAGCTGGATTGCCGAACTTTGAACTATTCTATCCTAATATGTTACAGTTCGTTGCCACACTCCGTAAATTAATCCATAAAGCAGGAGAAATGAGAGAAATACCCAAAAACTGTAATAAACAAAAGTGTGTGGGAGAATGTATTTATGCCTTCTTGAACGATTTTTTGCCATACCACCGATACAGTCAGTGTCTGGTCATAATTTGTTCTAAGTGGCTCAAGGAAACCAGCCAGGCAGTGTACACTTCAAAATTGACTGTGACAGTTGGTTTTGGCCAATCAGGTAGATGTAGACTGCTTGCTTGTGCTTCATACGATTCTAAGAACCAGTGGTGGGGGAGACAATTGGTGATATGGCGCTAATTCTTCTCACTTTTTATGATATGCCATATGCATTAAACCCTATTGTTTTTCCGTGTTACTGTTCTATCTCCAGCACATTTCTGCTTATTGTAGTTCCATTGAATCTTTTTTTAAAGTTTTTTTTGTCTACGTGTTTGCTACATGGAGTGGCAACTCGAGTTGATGCACTCTTATGGCGAAGTTCCGCGTTGAAACCAGTCAGGCAGTCGTTTCGTTTTCATATCATCTTTTGTATATTCATTAGATGATAGGTTGTTGGCTGGTTAGTTGTCTGCTAGAATTTCTTGTTGCTTATCCTTGACGATCAGTCCCCTGATTATTCAAGTAGCGAGTCAGTGAAGACATTTTATGTTGATGAAAATGCTTTTTGTGAAGTGATTTTTTGTGTTTGGCTCCTTTTGCTTATTTCTTAATTATCATGGTTAGTTAATTAGTTATTTAAGATTTCTGTTATCTCTCCTAAACGCTTGTTTCCTTTACCTTCTGTGTAGATCCATTATATCCTCTTCAGTATTTAACCACGAATTGGTTTCCTCCATGTCTTGGTTATTTCTTTCAAGTTACATTTATTTGTACATTATTATTAGCATGGTTATGCATATTTCATGGTATACGCGTCGTAAGTCAATTTTTTAAAACTTGCTTACTCAATTTTATTTTAAATACCCCCTCAAAAAATCTAGTACTTCTGTTGTTAGGACGGACTAACTTTGTCTTTGTTATCCGTTAAGTTATGATTGGATACATGTGGTGACCTGATTGGATCATTTTTGATTGGTTTATTTTAGGAGGATCTTCAAGGTCATGCGGGCAATTAGATATTTATTTATTGGTCATTTCTTAAAATCGATGTGAAAACGATATTTACTCTGTATTATGAAGAATAAACTTTGTTGTTGTCACAGTTGTTGCAGTTAAGTCTGACTTTTGTGTCTATCTCAGTGGTGGTGTCGTGCCTGATTGTGCATTGTAGTCAAGTTAGACAAAAATAAACCAATCACTAACACTCACAAGTGAATATGAGCGATGGATGTGAAGAAGAACATGATGGTAGACTACATTTCTTTGACGTCCAATTGAGCAGAAGAGAGGATGGTTAACTCAAGAGAGATGTCTATAGAAAACCTACATCTGTAGGACAATATACACATTTCCTCAGTTTTTTACCAATCCGATTCAAAGTCAATTTGGTCAGATGCCTCACGAATAGAGCAAGACGTATCTGTACAGATGACTTCCTAGAAAATGAGTTAGGATACATCCAAAATATGCTGGTCCAACTGGGTTATCCTAGTAGATTTGTAAGGAGACACATGAACACCAGGTACGATAAAGAGAAACTGACAGCAGTTGAAAAGAAACGACTGTTCATGAAATTGCAATTTAATGGGGACGTGGCTACTGAAGTCTTACATCTGAGATTATCGAGAGCGATAAAACGAATTTACACTGTCGCCACCCTTTGTTTGTCATTTTCCAGCCGACCAATTATGATTGCTCAAGTGAAAGACAAGCTACCTAGTTGTGCCACTTCTATGTGTATCTATAAATTTAGTTGTTCCTGTGGAGAGAGCTATATAGGGCGAACAACTAGACAGCTGAACAAACGCATTAATGAGCATCTTCCTTCATGGTTCGGAAAAGGTCAAATAAAATCTATACGAAGTTTTATTATGTCTCATTTGATTGATAGTGGTCACCAAGTGGACAAAAATAGTGCCTTCAAAGTTACCTATCGCATTCCATCGAGCCTTTCGAACGGAATTCGAACCCGTCTTTTACACAGCCGAAGCGATGGGAATTCGAGAGAACAATCTTAGTCTTAGCATACAAAGAAGTTTGTTCTACCTTTGTCTCTCCCACCCTTGGCCTAGGTGAATTCTATTCAAAACCCTCCCACCTTTTCTTATTTTCCACCTCCTTTGTACTTTTATGATATTTATTTAAACTCTGATTATCTGTCCACTTCACCTTTAGTATTGCGTAACTTTTAAGATTTGACCGAATTTATTTATTGAATTGTCTACATATACACATATTACTACCTTTGTTATTCTTATCGCCACCTGCATAAAGCTTATTATCAATATTTTGTTATCATTATAATCATCGTTATTAACTAAGTTCAAAACATTTACCACATTATTATTATTATTATTATTATTATTATTATTATTATTATTATTAATTTGATCCACAAAATCACCGTAATCGGTTAAAATTTTTATATAAAAATCTATGTAAATTAGAGGAAAGCCTGAATATAGTTCTATCGAAAGCACGCTGTAATAACCTGCTGTGATGCTATTCTTGGTTTTCTTCAAAGTTTCCATACGGATAGGTTGAATTCTATTTAAAAATAGGCGGGAGTACAAATTCCAATTCAGAGATGTAAATTGGATAATTAAAACAGAATGAAATAGAGTAAATAGGATACTTTATGATGGTTGGATGGATGGACAGAAAGTTAGGTAGTACAGTAATTTAGGCAGGTCACCAATATTGACTAATAGTTGTCTGTCTACGAGCTTTGTACACTTTCGTGTGGGTAAATATATGTGTAGTACAGTGGCTTAAAAACTCGAATTTCTGTCACAGGTTCAAGTCCTGCCCCACCTGTTTCAACCCGAACAACAATAAACTGTCGCTCACTCACTTACGAAAAAATATCAAGTATTGGTTTGTTGGGATTTGATTAATCGGTTACAGGATTTCATCATGAGCTGACATCGGTTAGAGAACTATTGGAAAACCACCAAGGAGTACTGGACAGCTGACTGTTTCGTCCTAGTTCGGGACTCTTCATCAGTAGGCACACACCAACAAGGTTCGAACCCACGGCCTTCTGGTTACAAGGCGAGCTAGCTCGTAGACCATTAAGCCACTGGGACCCTATCCAATGGTTAGCGCGTGAATTCTAACTTCTGCCAATTCACGATATAGCGCAACCGCTAGCCAATGTCTTCGGCGAGTATTTGTCCTCACACCCTACCTGCTGCACCCTACTGGTCACGACTTCCCCCTAGAACCCCAGGTAGCTATCTACCTGAATAAGGCCAATCGTTGGTGAGCATCTCATCGTTATTCAAGTATTGGTTTGTAGTGATTTGGTTGATTGGTTACAAGATTTCATCATTTCTACGGAGAAATGTTATACGCCTCTTAAGTACTCATTCATATAAATTATAAGTGGGGTTGAATAGAACTCTGAAGTAGAATAAAAATAGCAACTGCCTTTCAAGTCACACACATATGATGGAGAAATTTTGTATCAAAAGTTGTTTTTTGGCGACCTGCCTAAATCAGCGAGTTACCTAAATATTTTATCCATCAAGATGTATCGTATTTGCTTCGTTTCAAACTGTTTTAATATCTTAATTTGCCAAAATGAGTCGCAATGTATACTCGCGCGCGATTTCAAATAAGTTTCTGCCTACAACCAAGAGTTTTTCGAAGGAATTGGAGGGAGAAAACTGTGGAGTAGCATCGGAGCACAGATCCTATGGAACTATATCTTTTCAGATGATATATTATCGATTATTATATTATTTGAAGTTTCTACACGAGGAGTGTAAATCCGTTGCAATGAAATCGGCTGAAAATTCCATATTGCGTATGAACGCATTGTTCAGAATAAAGTTATTATTATTATTATTGATTATTATTATTGTTATTATTGTAATCTGTCTTTAGTTGACAGTATAGATAGGCTAATTTTTAATTTTCATTTATAAAAACTATTAATTCCTCCTTTATTTCTCGTTTAATATAATTTTTTTCACAGTCAAACAGGACATTTCATAAATTCTATCTACCGAAAGTTTGTTTCATTGGTAGCTTTTGGTTGATCATTGTTCTGATTATTACCTGGAAAACTTATGTTGCCTATTATGAGCCAATGTTTGATATACTCGAATATACACAACTTCTCATTGTAAGTACCTTTTTCTTATTTTTTTCTCTCATGTCTATTTTGATCCAATAGTAATAATAGGTGCGTATCTTTAACTCTTTTTTCAAGCATTCTGTATTTCAGGTTTGATCATTAGCTGATACCAGCTACAGACAGCATCACGGAGTACTGGACAGCTGTTTAAACCCTAGTTTGGGGACTCTCCGGTAGTAAGCACCTCAGGACCTTCCGTTTACAAGGCGAGCTCGTTGCTAATTCAGCTACTGGGGCCTGATCTGCCATCCAATCTCATAAGCGAGCGACTGTTCTCTTTCCTGATTAGGTGGATCCCTCTGGTTACGCCCCTCACTACTACTAATACTGAAGAGTCTCAAACTAGGACGAAATAGCAAACCAACACTTTACGTATTTTTTGGCAGTCACGTTATTAGTGTTAATGTTATTCCAGAAGAGTAAATGAAATATTGAAGGGTTATAGACCTGCTTCGAGCCACGCATACTACATAACTTTCCTCAACGACCAATATCAGCTGTGATATAGTATCAGGTTGGAAAAGAGGAACCAAGATATTGTATCACTTCATCAAGTCTTTCACTGTTCGTTTGAGCCATGTAGGAAGGTGTGTGCACTGTCCGAGTGGGGGGTCCTCGTGAGGTTAGACACTAATGGCTAGAGACTGTTTATGGTATGGCTCAAAGTCGTTCTCAGTGGTGCAGACAGATTCAATTTTTATAATCTTTTTCTAGGTTCATTAAGTAAATCTCCATTTTTAACCATAGAACTACTTTATCTTTGGTATATTTACAAGAACTAGTTGTACAACAACAAAAGTAACGGCTGGTGGTTGTAAAATGCCGATATTAGATTCGTGGTTTATCTGACTAGCAGATATAATATCCAACTAGTGTGAAAGCATCAAGTTCAGTATTGACCAACTTTCAAATTAGAAATACTTCATCACGGCAGCTATTCTGTGAAATTAATCAATGTGTTACTACTTACCTCCTCCACCCCACCTCGCAATATGGGGGGTTTTGTATTTCCTGCTATTTTTTGATAGCTGAACTGTCTCACTGGTTAATGTTATGTGTAGAGAACTTGGGAACTCTGGTAGTATGTAGCTTAATATTGATTTGTTTATGAGATATATTACACACAGTGAAACAATATTATTATTTCCTGGATGATGTTTTGGATACAATTCATTCTTTATAATGATATCAGTTACAACTTCACAAGTTCGAAACTTTTCTTTTATAGTTTTCTTTATTCCTTTCCCACTCATTGTAGGTGGAGGTCATTCAATTCCCCTATGAATTAGAAAGTCATAAAGGGGAGCCTCCAATGTTAGATTGTAGTGTAAAAAGGAAAGAAGATGAGGAGTTAAACACTTGTGTTTTCAGAAAACGCACATATTCAAACCGATGTTTGGATTTCCGATCATCCCACCCTATATTGGAGAAGTTAGGACTAGTGAAATATTTAAGCAACAGAGCACAAAACTTAGTAGTATCAAAGAAAATCTAAGAAGGGAGGTGAAGCGTCTAAGAGAAGCTTTGAAACTCAATAATTACCCTGATAAATTAGTCAGAAAGTATGTGGGAATATTTAAAAATAAAATAAATAATAATAGTAGTGATAGTGATAATAAAGATAATATTAATGACGACGTGCATGTCAAACACGCGCGGGATAATGACAACGCCAACAATAGGGAGTATAAATCATCAGTAGTACTTCCATACAAGGACGAAATCTTGGAAACCACTTTACGGAAAATTCTTAACAAGGCAGCAGTGAAAGTGGCATTCAAACCCACAAACTCAATTAGAAACAAGCTTTGTCGGTTGAAGGATCAATCCTGTGGAACCTTTAAAACAAAACAATTTAGTTTATCTAATATCCTGCTGGAATGATTGTCAGGTCAAGCACATAGGTCAAAGTAGTAGAACTAGGTCAGTCGGTCCAGTGGAGCCCAAAAACCGGGAAAAATGTAGATTAGTTGACTCGAATAAGATAAGAAATCTGGAGAATAATTTAGCTATAGCACTCACTACGGGCAATTACACACAACCATACAATAGGACGAGTGGGATAAGATGACAGTTTTAAAATCTAATGTAACACCTGGGTGGAGGGAACAGGATTGATAACGGAAGCTTTGTTGATCGAATCAACGTGTAACAGGAATGATTAAACACCTGTCCACCTGGACATCTGGAAGGTTCTGCTACTTTTAAGAACGAAACGAAATTTTCGAAGTTGTGTGGTTCTAATTGATATGACTGTGAACAACAGTAAACTATATTTGAAACATTATCCATAAAAATAATACTTTCTAAGTGGGTTGCTAACTCTTTAATCTTATCAGTGAATTTAGTGTACGTTGGTATTATTTAAAACTACAATGCTTTGACTACTGTAAGTAGTGCTAGTAAACGCTGTCTTATTAACGATCCGTCTTCCCTGTCTATACCATTTTCGCGCCTCTTGGTAATGTTGTTGTGGTCAACATTTAAGATTAGCAATTAATATACTTGTCGTTATCGCATTAGGTGGTTATTCGTGGAAAATTCCCAGTTTGGACGTACAGAAAATCAAAAAGTGATTAAGCGAAGAGACTCTTTTTAACGATTATAGATATATATAATGGTTTTTAAGAAATCATATCATGTGAATACATAATAATCCTATAACCCCCTTCCAATACCTATATATCCTATGAATTATTCTATGTATGACACTATTTGTTTTCTCATTGGACATTTAACTATGATTATAATCACAAACATTTGGATTTGTATCATTGTCTTATTTGATTTCTTCATGTTCCAAGTGGAACAAAGGGCTTCAAGCTTGAGATTTGAAGTTTAGGTAGTAGTGTTTTATTGTTTGTGGGGGGGGGGGATTGTGCCAGCCTCACATGCAACCTTCCCTCTTTGCCGGGATAACGGCCAACTTATCGAGGTTGGGGAATACGTCAGTGGCGGATCGAACCGCCGACCCTATGCGTTGTTGGCGAGAATCCTACTACTGATCGACGGACGCACACAAACATTTTTGAATTACATTAGGTTATATCATAATTTATGTATAGGTGTTTGAAATCTACCTGAGCTCTACTCTAACGTTTTTTTTCTTCACCTCTTTCCTTTTCCATGTTGAAATTAGTTTACCGTGGTATCGGTTATTCTGTTCGGTTTAATCTACGTGATTTTATTTACTGTACTATTTATTCGAGCTTGTCATAAACTAAGAAAACTTCCATATTTCAGTAAGTAATAATACGTTTTGTTCTAATATATATATATGTCTTGTTGTATAATTTTTTGTATTTTTGAGCATGTTTAAAAGTCTACAGAGTCTAGCGATATGATGTCAAGGTGTTTCCCTTCGATGTCAGTTTATTTCTGTTCATTTGGGCAAACAGATACTACTATACAGCAACGACTGACTGTACTGATTAATGGTTCATTTGTCACATTCTATGTGTTAGGTAATCTGTGGGATATATGTGTGGTTTTGAAATCGTGTATGTCTCCAATCTCTAATGCTTTACTTCCGAAATGGTTTATATTGTGGTGGTGTTGGTGGGTGGGTAGATGGGTGGATTCTCGAATCATTGTTAGTGAAATGCCTTCTCTTGTGTAACATCTGTTAGTGGGTGATATTCTTAGTCAATTCAATGTTAATTTCGTCACCAGTCAAAACCAGTTTGTGATTCATAATCTAAATATCAATCTCTAGTTCATTGATGGCTACACTGAATGGATGTCCTAAAGCTGTACTAAGTTTTCGCGACCAGTGGGGCATAGACCATTTCAAGGTGAAATGGTTGATATCTTTGCTAAACGTTTTGTTCTTTTCTCCCTAAGGAATTGTACTCAAAAATGTATTCAGTAAATGTCACTGTATCAGTCTGTTGGTATGTACGCATTTATGTACTATTTTATTTATGATGGTATTCAGTTCCATTTATTATCCCGTTTCAGAAGTTGTGGGTTTTTATTTTATCTAAACAAAACATGAACTTGGTACATTATGACTACCAAGAGATGCGCCATATGAAATCTTGCAGTTTGGGCTAGGGATAGTTTCGGAACTCCCCCTCCCCCAGACCAAAGCAGGTGTTTCCCTTAGGTGGTCACTCCCTGAGCCCTTGACTTGAAGTCTGATCAATAAGACAGTGGAACAGTATGAGAAGCTATGCCTGCATGGTTCATATGCCATTCGATATGTTCATTTTATGGGGCCCATGTCCACCAATCCGGTTTCAGGCGCCAGACTCTCGAATTCTCCCTGTCACTTTTATGAGGGTCACCGCCACCGCGTGAAGGTAGTAAATATGACTTACCTAGCAGAGTCTGTGGATGTGTAACCACTCTCAGCTGTACCAGGTCGTCTATATGTCAAGAGGTTTTGGGTAGAGAGTAATGACTGATCGACTTAATTGCTTCATTTACAGTTAATGAGATGCGGGGGGGGCTACCTGCTTAATTTAATCAACCGTCAGACAGTATGTATGGTTTATAGGCTTGTACGTTTCAACTATTGGCGTAATGGATGACGATAGCTAAACAGAACTTCATCGCTGAAATCAGTTTGGAAATCTTCTGCACTCTGCATAAAGAACAGAATTTGGATTTTCAACACCCATGTGTTAAGTCAGTCTGTTCTTCTGTATGGGTTAGAGACTTGGTGCCTGCATCACAAAGAACATTTCCACCAGTCAGCTGCAAACTTTTATCAGAAACTTCCGTCGTTACTCCATACCGAGATATGTGGTTGAAGTCCTATGTTCCACTCCGAACCCAGGGGACAATAATATTAATACATAGGAGAAAACTGATTCGAGTAACTGAATTCGGACTAAATTGCCTGAAACTTGTAGGTTATTCGAAAGGATGAGTCATTTGGTTTCCCATATATATAAGGATGATTAGAACTTTGATGGCCAAAGTAAGGATATTGTCTGAACAGGCTTCTATTGGATGCATAAGTTAGGTTTCTTAATGTAGATTCCAACGACCAGTCTCAACAATATGTAGTAGACGAACCCTTAAGGTGAAGTTAAGATTAGTTGGTATGTGGTAAATGACTTTGAAAGCCTCTTTACCATCAATTTTGTCTTCTGTATCAACCAAAATGAGATAGAATAGCACTATGGATGGATTTTGTTTGTCTTTTACTTAACCGCTCAGGTTGACGTTCGGAAATCCGACGAGAAACACGCCTAATTGTACGGCCTACATAACTGGCTCTACAGGAGCATTCAAATTGGTAGATATACGTAGAAGAGGCGAAATTAGGTAGTTTGTCTTTTACTCCCGAACGCAAAAGAGGAGTGGTTTTGAAGACACAGCGTAATTCAGTAGCAGGGAATGCTCTTTTTACCGCATTTCTTAGGCGTTGTGTTAGTATCTCGCTGATGTTATCCCCGAGGAATTGAAGTTGTAAGAATAAGGACTTTTTCGAAGCTGTTGTTACCTTGGCCTGCTTTGACTTTTGATTTATATTCTTATCAGTGAGTTTTTCTGGATAACTGTTCTCACTCAGCAACTGTTTAATAATATTAATCTCTTCATCAAGACATTCATCAGAGCAGATTGCTCTATGGATCAAGCGCTTTGTCAGATTGCGTTTGTATTTCAAAGGTACAAAGCTGAAAATATGAGTATACTAACAGTCAGTTGATGTAGGTTTTCTATATACACTTCTTATTGTACCATCCTCTTATCTGGTCATAAGGGCGTCTAAAAATGAAATACTGGAGTCTGGTGACATGATTTCATTATGAGCTGACATCGGTTAGAGAACCATTGGAAAACCTGCAGGGAGTACTGGACACTTTTTTCCTCAGCCTAGTTTGGGACTCTTGAGCAGTTCGCACCCACTGACAGGGTGCGAACCCACGATCTTCTGGTCACAAGGCAAGCTCATAGACCGTTAAGACACTGGGACCCGATCCAATGGCTGGCGCATGAATTTCAACTTCTGCTAATCCACGACATAGCGTGACCTCTAGCTAATGTCTTTGGCGAGTATTTGTCCTCACACTCGACCCGAACCCCGGTGGGTGCGCACTGATGAAGAGTCCCAAACTATGACGAAGCAGTTGGCTGTCCAGTACTCCCTTCAGGTTTTCCAATGGTTCTCTAACCGATGTCAGCTCATGATGAAATCCTGTAACCAATCAATCAAATCCCTACAAACTAATACTTGAAATACTGGTAAAATTTATTGATATATATATATATATATTATCAGACTCTTCACAGTTATGTGTCATACATTTCTTATCTTTCTCTTCCTTTATTTTTTTCTTCAATTTTGTAGATCTACGTTTATATTTCCTTACATTCCAATCAGTCATCTTTGTTAGTGTATTAACAATTGTTTTACTATTACATTTAAGCCAAAAATTTACTACTCAAATATTACATTACACGGATGATAGTAGTCTCCAACAATCACAATCGCAATCACAAACACAACAGCAATTAAATCACAAAAATCTTCTAGGATTTCATTTACTCAATGATATTTTCGCTTATCATTCAACACTTGAATTTGTAATCATACAATTTACTATAAATGCATATATTTTTCTATTGGTATTTGTTTATTCTCCACCGAATAATGTACAATTAGGTAAGTTTACTTGTTTTTTATAAACATAATTAATTTTCAGTGGGGTGACGGTGTGAGTGCGTGTATTATACCTTTTCACCGATGTGGAGCCGATTGTGGAGTAGAAATTGCTGCCACTTGAGAATAAATTACAACTTTTTCTGGCTGGTTAAGAGTGAGACGGTTTATCATTGTGTGTGTGTGTGTGTGTATGGGTGGAGCTCGAGCCGTGGTTCATCTCATCCAGTGTTCTGGATTTCATTAGTTCTGTAATTTTTTTTTTTGATTCCACACCGTATTTTTCGGTGCAGGTATGGAATTTTCAGCATGTGATATCGGTAGCCCAAATTTTGCAGGCCGACCATAGATATTAGGTGTGCGCTTCAGTAGGGAATCGAACCCCGGACCATGTGCATGGTCGACGAGAGTCATAACCGCTGTGCTACTTCATAAAAGCGACTGCTGTAATGAAGTCAGTTAGTTAACACTCGTAATTTAGATTTAGTTGTGCTCTATGAGCTGGATGGCTTAATTCCGAAGCTGTCGTTGTCCACCTCCTAGACAACATCTTCAACGGAGATTTTAGTATGAAATGAACTTATTTGAATTCTCCGTGAATAATACTATAATTGTATCTCATGATAACCATTGTTGTGACTGGTTGTTAATTTAAATATCTATTGGTTGATTTTTATTGACTTGGTATGTGTTTTTGTTAATCGCTGATTCATTTGAGTACCAGGCTTCGAGGAAATTCCTTGGCTTTTGTTGTGTTTGCTCTGTTTATAATTTCTACATTTTCTCAACCATACATATGTCTGTCTGTCTTTCTTCGATATAGAACTTTGTACTGATGTGCAGCAGTTCAAGTCGTCACGCTCTATGTAGCACACAAAGCAACAGAAGAAAGTAGAAGAAATTCAAAATAGAAACAGTGGACAGAGATATGAGACAAAAGAATAGTAATAACGAAGAACAACATAGTTTCATTGGGTATTATAAGTCACAAGGAGTGGATGCATTTGCACCTACCTTTGACAACTAGGATTTTGAGCCATATCACCAATTGTCTCCAGACTTCATTGGTTTCTGCCGTCATGAGGACCCCAACCAGGAAGTCTACATTTTCCTACGTGGCTTAAACTAGCTGTTGTGGATTTCATTGAATGGTGACATGCTTTGGTTTGATCCCCACTAGCTATTTTCCAATGTTACCCTATGTCTGCTAACAGTCATACATGCATCAATGTGAAAAAATACACATTGTGTCATTTCACAGCTAATTTATGTTCAGGTTGGAAAAAAATAAGCTAGTAGTGGTCAGACCAGAATATAGCTTCATCAGTCCATAAAATCCATAACAGTTACTTTAGGCCAGCCAGCCGCGTAGGGAATCTGTAGACTAGCTTCCTGTTTGATGTCCTCGGGATGGTAAAAACCAATGGAGGCTGGAGACAATTGGTGATATGGCTCAAAATCGTTCTCAACGTCTGGCGCAGATGGATTCATGCTTTGCGATTTATCATAACCAATAAAATTCTATTGTTCTTCCATATTACTATTCTTTTCGCCCGACATTTCTGTTTATTATCTCTTTTGAATCTCTTTTTACTCTCTTCTATTGCTTTGTGTACTACATAGAGGGAGTGTGTGGCAACTCGAACTACTGCATATGTGTGCCAAGTTCTATGTTGAAACCAGTCAGTCAGTCAGTTCTCACAATTCATGCAATTTATTTTGTAAATGGTATTACTGATCTTATCGTCTTTTTCTGTTAGATCTTTTGGTCTACACGATGTTGATTAAAGTCATTGTATTGGCTTCTGTGCCATGTTGATTTCATAATAATACCTTTCATAATTCATAGTGTGTAGATTTCAGCAGGATATTGCTATAACTAGTAAAACGAGTTCACACGTCTACATATATCATTTTAAGCCACATACATATATATACACACACATTACTTCTATCACTTTTGTTATTATAGATGATAATAATAATGACTTTGTTTCAAACTGCACCTTTGATACAAATATGGAATTTTCAGCCTGTAGTACACTAGTGCATCTAGTTTTCCCATTACGTAATACAGGGGAAAATAACTAAACAGGGCATTCACATTGATAATACTATTCAATAAGAATATGCATATAAAATTAAAATTTTAGTGGAAACATTAACAAAAATATATTCATGAAAGCCTGGTTGATGACTTCGTCGAAAAGAAAATTTTCTTCGCTGTAACTGTCTTATTATTATTCTCTATGATCAAATGTGTATATTCCATGATTAGAATAAAAAGTGCTGTGTACTTGGTGTTTCTCAGTAAATTAGTAGTTTCGTGCCTTACACACTTTTCTCGTCACGTAAAATCTCTACCAAATAAGGTATTGTAGGTTTTTTGTACTTAGTTGCCTGAGCATATACTCTTCTATAGTTGCTTCTAGTTCTACCTGAGGAAATGCAAAAAGACAGCGTTGTGTATAGAAAGAGGATTCTCAGGATCCGACAAGGTAATGTGCGCCAAATTCTTGCATGAGTCCATGTATTTATTTACGATAGTATTAATAAGTTGGTTTCGCGAAACTCCACTCACTCTACTGATAGCGTTTAGTGCTCTTCACAGTGTAACGAAGTCATTCTCAAGTAGCCCAGGAGAAGCTTGGTATTCCAGTGAATCATCAATCAATAGACACATCGAGATAGACAAAATTTATCAACCGATAAGAAAGAAACGTCACACACAAAGGGTCAAAGCTCAAGTCAAAAAAATAATCAATTCCAATACAAGTAGCCTAGAAGGTGTGAAAACACACAAAAACAACCAGTAACGTCCAAGATCAGCGGGAAAGATGATTAATAAACTCGTGGAGAAATCTAACGGCTCACTTCAAACTAAAGTATGCGCTGAAGATGTCACCTAGTAGGACGGGCGATGAAAGCTTCGCAAATTAACTATCCAGCTCAGAGAACACAACCACACCAAAATCATCCACCTGAGCTACAAATCTTCTCTATCATATTTAAGCAACTGTAAAAGTGAAGACTGAGTGACACCTTATTGCCGTAGCTTCCTTACGCAGTAGGTCAAAGGAAATATCTTCCTAGAAGGTAAGATAATGTGTGAAGACTAGTAAAGATAAGAGGAAAGATATAATGCGAGGTATTTAACATTTGACGTAGTTTTAGCTTCAGTGCGATGTATGATACTAGAAATATGGGAACGAAGCAGTTCATGTAAGTGGCGCTTATGTCTGAAAGTGAAATTAACAACCTGACTGACATTTGGAGGAATTTAGCTTAAGACCATTCGATATGCACACCACTGACTAATTTCCGATAAAAATTTACTCATTTTTAGAGCAAATTGATTGAGAGGTAACGGGCATAGAAACAGTCAGATCACTGACATACCTAACAAAATTGGTCTTATGACATTGGGTAGATCCACTTAAGGTGTTCAGTTTCATCGGTTAGACTTTAGGATCACAGATTTCCGGATGTTTTTAATTGCTCTGTGTTTTCTTCATTCCTTTTGCTCCGAGGGGAACTTCAAACTTTAGAGTTTCATAAGCAATGGGTTTTTTTAACGGTTGTGAGATTGCTAGCCTCACACCAAACCTTCTTTTTTTTCTACCGGGCTTACTACCAACTAGTGCGATATTTAGTACTTCTGTAACAGCAGAAGGCAAGACACGGAAGTCAAGGTATATTTACCATTGATCAAACCGCTGTTTATATATGTACAGTTTATATTCTTTAACCAATTATTGAGCGTGTCAATTATTTTTACATGAAATAGAATGTTCAAATACATGTATTATTCTGTTGCTAATGCCGTAGTGAACTGTGGGAATATGTGAGAATAATATTCCGTTGGCACACAGTGTCTGTATCACACCACCACACTTCAACAACAACACATCTCCACTTCATCCTGTTTTCTGCACTTTACTTGAGCTGGCTCCACCACTGTCCATTGGTTCTCATCTCCTCCTCACACGACCTCCTGTGTGTCACCCTTGGACACCCAAATCTTCATTGCTCATTATTCGGCTTCCACTATGGGTTATGCCTAACGCGCAGTATCACTCAATGATCTCCTGAGCGTGTGCCTGATTTATTTCCATTTTTTTCTGAATATATGTTGGGGCGATTGTGTCGTTGCAGGACTTGCTTATTGGTTATACCTTTGCAGTCTTCAGAATATAGAACCAGCGAAGCCAGCTGTTGATAAAAGTCTTCAGTAGACGGTTGGAAAGGCTGTTGGTGATGCACGTGCAAAAGTCTTTAGACCATATGACAGAGCTGACGAGACATTAGTGTTTTAAATCCGGATCGTTTCCTCATGCTTATTGCAGTATATATTTCCACACACTGATTTCAGACTAAGAAATGGTGTGTCTTGCCTTTCGGATCCCGGCCAACATCGTCATCAGTGCTTTCTGTATTTAAGACAATGCTGCCTAGATGAATGAAAAAAAAAGATTTTCTTCACATTTCTCCTATTGATAATGATTATTGATTTTTGTTGTTGTTATTAGTTAGACGACTTCATTACCTTCGTATTCACTATGTTGAATTGAAATCATACTTTCACTGTCAGCCTCTTTGTCCAATTTGTTGGTTTTCGCCGGGAGGTCGTCGATTTTGTATGACATCGGACAGAAATCTTCCGCGATGTCTGGAACTTTTAGAGTCAACTTGTCGAGCTAAAGTATTTCTGTCTTCTGCCTCCCACACACTGTGTGCTGCATGATTTAGTTCGCGACAATCAAGAATATTATCGTGGATGATTAGTAGGCAGTTTTGTTTTTACTCTACAGTAGGTGGTTACAGGAAACCAATAACTTTAAAATTTGCGCTTTTTATTTCTTGTTGTACGCAAAACTTAGATTCATTTTTTATATTACTTAAGTGTTTTATTTTATTTTCAGAAATAGATGTAAAAGATGATCCATCTTTGTCAATGATAAACGATTCAGATGAAGATGTAATTTATGAGTAAGTTTAACTTTTTATGTGTTAACATTATTATTTTTATTATTATCATCCTTTTCAAAAGACAAAATACCAGTTCATGAGGATTATTTATGTCGTGAGTGGAGAGGAGACAGTCTGCTTATCTGGTTTGCTTGTTGTCAGAAGGAAGCAAACACCCTAATGCAGTTACACACATACTCGCTAGCAGAACCCACCCCCCCCCGCCACCCTACATAAACCAATTACACTACTATTATGGTAACTGGTTTCAATCTAGCCGCTTTACAAAACAACCTTTCTGGCGTGGTAGAATCCGCAAGAACATTCGTTTCAGTCAATGTAGGTCGTTGGGTAATTGTGATATGCAAATTCGGTCACCACCATGTCGGTGGCACAGTGGTTAGGACTCTCGCCGACCATGCACATGGTCCGGGGTTCGAACCCCTGCCGGCGCACACCCGATATCTATGGTATGCCTGAATTTGGGCAACCGATATCCATGCTGAAAGTTCCACACTTGTACTGAAAATACGGTGTGGAAATCAAGCTGTAAATCAAAAAAAAAAAAAAATAGTAGTCATCTATCCACTCTGGATGCTCTATAGTTATAGATGTGATTGGATAGTCCCAGTGACTCGGGGGTATACGAGCTCACCTTATGGCCACGTGGCTCACTGGCTTAAGCGCTAGGCTTTCCAACCAGTGGGTCCCAGGTCTGATCCCCATTCCACTTCAGCTTGGGCAGCTGAGTAGTATTGTAACAACAGAAGACAAGGGCCAGGCAACAGATCATTTATTAAGGAAATCAAAGCATATTTATATATTTTCATGTACATTATTATAGATTAGTTAAGCAAACAAACACAGTCTTCTGATTGGTTGTTTCTCACTTAAAGTTAATCTTTCATCTCTTTGTGACTGTTTCTTGAATGTCAGATAATCTATATGTTACCTGTATCCGCCTATGCAAAGTCTGCTGTGGTCGGTTTTGAATCAGTCTTTGTTCATATTTTCTCACGACAAATCTTGAGAACGTAAACATTGACGTAAATTACTGTCTACCAATTTGGCTAGTAGACAGCTCTCACCACAGTATCACTAGCCCTCAGACAATAAGCAATGTGTAGCTCATAGCCTAGAAGATGTTAGACGTGTTCTGAGAACTGAGTTCAAGGAAAAACTGAAGGTTCTTGTTTCGATTCCTGTGTGTGTTAGGGGTTCAGTGATAGAACAGTGGTAGCCAACCACGCCACACGTGTTCTAGAATTCGATTCCAAGCCTATGCACTCTTGAACCTTGCTTAGTCGGTATTAAGACCAGCAAAATAAAACATCGCCGTTACTGAGATTTCAAAGCTCTCAAGCTTGAAGCCTTATATTCCACTCAGAACTCAAAGGAATAGAGAGAGAAAGAGAAAAACGATTGGATAGTTAAATTTATGGTAAAATGTCTTTATGCTCAATTACGAAAGCTAGTATGCTGTTATCAAAACAGTTACTATTCTGTCATTAAGTTAATTTTATCAACACTCTTTGGACAATGGTCTTTGCGTGTAATACACATTCATGCGGAATACTGTGTCAATACAGTCATCTGACGTATACTGATCCTAATGTCACGAAATGAGGCGGCCAACTTAAACTTTAAGTACCAATCGAGTGCGACTGCATCAATGACGTTATAATCACGAATAAAATATAATTAATTAAGTATTTCTATATGAAACAGGACATCCGGTAAGTTTTTGTTAGGCTTGGGAGTAGGACAGACTAGAATTAGGCTAACCTGATTAAGGCAAGATATATTACGGTTGGTTGGAGTTAGATTAAGATTAGTTTAAGCATAGTTTCACGTTAGGGTGAGGGTTAAAGGACCTAGATGAATACATTTATTTAATGTGTGGAACAATTACTATATTGGTATTGCGGTCCAACAACTGAGAGCTATTTTTATCATGCGTCAGAGATAGTTATCCTGTGTAACATATGTCTACCCTTTTATTCATTATTTTTATAAATATACCTACTCTATACGTAAAAATCACCTTTCTCACGTAATTGGTGCATTCAGGGTCATTTGTCTGTTTCATCTTCGTTCTTAAAGTTTAACTTCTACCTAAATGATTACTAAATCTAAAATTTGATTTAAAAATCACTGACCCATTGGTTAACTTTTATCCGATGATACATCCAATAGAATTACTGATGTTCGATTAGTAAATTTTTGAAGTCGTGTCTTCACCATCCAATGTTATCCGATTTAATTCATTCTAATTAACAAATAGTTATCATCATGTAGAGCGGAGATTAGATACCACAGTCTAATGACCTTGGAGCAACCAATCGTGTGCTCTTAGGTAAAAAGTTGCATTTATGGTACAAAACATATGTTTAGTGGATATATACGTAACAAAAATGAATTATATAGGGTGTATAGCTCTAATATGCCGCAGGAAAGGCCTCAGTTTTCCTGCATATGAGTGGCTATATTAAACAAACTAGAATTTATGTACATAGGGCTTCAAGCTAGAGGCTTGAAGTTTCTGTAGCAGTGGTGATTATTTTTACAGGATGGGGTTGCTAGCCTCATGTCCAACCTTCTCCCTTTACCAGTCTTACTACTGGCTTATCCAGGTAAAGCAGGAGTGCGTCAGTGGTCGGGGATCGAATCCCGGATCACCTGTGTGGTTGTCGAGCACTCTACCACTGTGCCACCGACCCACTGGTGTCGCTGCCGGAATGTATGTGCACGAGTACCAGTTATGTTGAATCCACTAATTCTGTGGAATGATTGACTCAATGATGGATATAACCTATTGTGATGATAGTGACATCGCCTCAGTGTTTCAAATGAATGTTGCTCATAATCATCGTTGCAAGTCTCACTTTAACCCTAACCCGTAGCCCTGCCTTCATCCTCATCTAACGCTAACCCTGAATCATAGTGAAACTTACAATGAAGATTATGAAAAGCAGTCATTGGTAATGCTAGGAGATCTGATTAATAGGTCCAAGACCATTGTTTCCTCTTGCCGTGAAATATGCAACGAAGATTAGGGACAGATTCCATTCGAAACGCTGAGCCATTTGACTATCATCATTTGGTCATATTCATCATAAAGTCACTCATTCATCAGAACCACTGGATCCCTATAACGAGTACTCGTACAAATTTTGTTGAAGAATTTTGGGTATATCTAAAAAACGGTTTGGAAAAGCGTATCTGTAACCACTCGGATCTATTTTTGCAGCGCGTTACAGCCTTATACCTCATTTAATTCATTTTTAAGCAAAGTTGAGCTATCATAACCAAAACCACAGTGACCTTGAACAACCAATCAGAGTTCAGATGCAAAGAAGTTGCATAATCGTTGAAAAATGCACTAAAAACATTGCAAACATCATATTACACTATATAGTTGTCGCTTATGTGTTGTAAGGATGTCTCCCAGTCACTACACAGATGATCTTTAGAGAAATCATACCATACCCGATTGACGTATTCAGCTAGGTTACTGTAGGTCATGGCACTTTGAGATCTGTTGATATTTCTGACACTGTTGTGTAATTCCATAATGGATAAGAATAAATAAATTCTTATACATTATGGAATTATACTCTACCACAGTGCCCAAGTTTTATACTTATATCAACTGTTGTGTAATCTACTCCTAACCACAACCATAATCCTAACTGTAACTCTAGACCCTAAACCTTAGTTTAAAAAGCCATAACCCCACCTAACAGTGTAGATTCACATAAAAGTACCCAGGGAATAAGTGGAATGCTGTATCTACCTTCTCCAAGTCCAAAAAAGTAGGCAGGATTTGATAGCATAGCATAGCATTCCCTGTATCTGATTGGTTCTTGAAGGTCAACTTTTGAAAAACCTTGACTTTGGCTATGATACATTAACTTCTCCCACTCTTATTATTATACCCATATCCTGTCAATCAGTATGCCTTTTTATACACTTTAAATGGAGAAGTTCAACAGTAGCATCTTAGAAGTGTGAGCGTTGCAATGACCTTAAACGCATGCTTGTCGTTGACTAACGCCACCTGTCATTATCATAGCTGAAATATTAACGCTATTCACCAGCTAAGCAGCAAATTTCACTCAGATCACGTTTGTAAGTGCTGTTTGGACAATGTGTTAATAGCTGGTTAGGGTAAGGATTAGGGTTAAGGTAAATATTGGGGTTAGGGTTAGTATCAGGGTTATAATTAGCATTAGGGTTAGAATTACGGTTAGGATAAGGGTTATGATTAGGGTTAAAATTAAGGTTAGAGTTACGATTAGGGATAGATTTAGAGTTGATGTCATTTATTTTAATTTGTTTTCTTATCCACATTTTCCTGGCAAGTAGTGGTCAATCCTCTTACTGTAAACCATAGTAATTCAACCGAGGGCTTTGGGGAGGACTGCACAACAGGATAAGAGAGACAAACAATTCACAAAAGCAGTTCATATTCAGTCATCTCGGTGAATGAGTGTACGGAAACTAGTCTAACTTAGCAACTGATACTCCTCATTATAACTGGGACGTATTTTTAAGTCATGTCAGAGAAAGGCACCCTGTTTAATGATTTTTCATGCATTTTCTTGTAAAAATGTCATTTTTTGTGCAAAAGTCACCTATTTTTATGATTGGTCGGCTGAAGGTCACTCGTGCGTTTGCATCCCTTAGGAAGCTATTATTGAACTTTGCCCTATAAATATCACTTTTTACCCAGAAGAATATGATTGGTTGGTTCCAGCTAGGTCATTTGTCTGTAATATCCATTTTTTCTTTCTGTTTCCGTTGAATTTAATCTGTGTAATTTGTAACTGTTTTTTTTTCTTTTTTTAACAGATCTGACACTGAAACAAAAACATTTTTGTTCTCTCAACGCAGACTGTAAAGATTATGCATATATATATATGCATACGTGCATGTAAAATAAATATTCAAATCAACGAATGTTCAATTTCAATTGTTCAATAGTCAAGGTCATATGTATAGGTGAACAAACCGCTGATAAAGTTCATTGTATGATTATTTCCTCAAATCGTGTGTTTGTTTACCTTTGTTTTAAAACTACTTTGCCGACATGACTTTTCTTTTGCATTTGTACATTTATTATTATTATTATTTGTATCTGTTTGTTTGTTGACTGTCTGTCCTCTTCAGTTTTGTGGTTAGTGCTATAGATTTCCACGTTTTTCCTCTCTCCCTTTCTCAGATTTCACATCTACGATTATTTCTCCATGTCACTTATATTAGATAGATTTGGTTTGTTTGTTTGTTCTTTTTCTGTCGTGTGATAGTCATTTTCAATCATCTGTGATTATATAGTTTTAAAACTGTTTATTCATTTATTTGTTCGCTTTGCATTTGAACATTCCTTGGTGTTTTGTATTACTCACTGTGATCTCATTGATTTATATATACATGTATATGTAGGTTATTTTTGCTGTCTTGCATTTCATATTATTTGTTACACGTATATTTGCTTTTCATTATCGTCTAGTGATAATAATAAAGTCTTTTGGTGCTTGCTACTGACATGTTGTGTTGTTTTTGAATGAAGGAAGTTTCTACTTTACCCGCACAATAAAACAAGTATTTTCCTAGACGCTACATGAATTGTGGCCGTGAAGTTAAACTACCATAGCCAAACTTTCAGATCTGTGAAAAGTTGAACCAATCAGATTCACGGGATGCTACGAAACATCATCCTATATCGAATCATGCCTACCTTTATGGACTGAATGAATGAGTTTCACGAAGAATACCAATCAAGTAAATTAACCAAACATAATGAATAGCCACCATGGAGTACGAACGCAATCAGCGTGACCCTAGGATGACCAGTGAGATGAAGCCGTAGTTTTAGCATGAAAAAAAACTGTATGTATACAAGAAAAATACAGACAATAGTAATGAAACATATTGAAGACGATATTTTATCCTGACGTAGATCGAAAGTGCTCACCAATTACAATTAGGGATATTAGTTTTTAGGTTCAGTATGTATGGGAACGGTTTCCGCTATCTGAATAACAACCCCCTCAACTTGCATTTACTTATTTACGAGAAGAGTACAGAAAATAATCATAAAATACCCAACCCTAACGTGCTGTTGACCCATTGTCTAAATAGTATCTGCGTCTCATTTCATGTATAGTGTTTATACTGGCCTTGTGAAAACATCAGGTCCTGTAATCCAACCGGCGTTATTTCTCTTATTTTGATTACAGCTTGATGCCACACCGTATTTTCAGTACAAGTATGGAATTTTCTGCCAAATTTTGCAGGCCGACCATAGATATCGGGTGTGCGTCGGCAGCAGATCAATCCCCGGACTATGTGCATGGTCGAAAGAGAGTCCTAACCACTGTGCGTTCAGGATCGTCTAGGCGTTCACACTCTATCGTCGTTATTCACTTGGTTGACCGTAAATCAATGCTGTTAGGTGTGTTTAAGGTTAGGACAATGGATTACAGTTATGGGTACTTTAAAGAACACAGTCAGGAATATCAGTGTATCACTTATGATATGATTTCTCCATGGTTGATCCTTTGAGCCACTAGGAGATATTCTTACAATACATAGAAGACAATCATTCACTGTAATATCATGTTTGCAATGTTTTTAATACCTTTTTCGAGATTATGCGATTTTTTGTATCTGACTTCTGATTTGTCGCTCAATGTCACTTGGTTTTTAGCTATGATAGTTAAACTTTGACATTTTGGCTTTTTTCCTCATGAAAATATAACAGTTTCAGTTAAAAGCTTAATATCGCATTCGTGTATAACTGATTAGAATAACTTAGTGGAGCGTTTTAAGGATAAAGGGAGCCATCTCGGATGGCCAATAGTAGTTGGCGATACAACCCAAGAGATTGACTGATAATGGTGTAAATGTAATTGGCTAACGAAGACTACTTTGACCGCCAACTATCAGTAAGTAAAGAACACGCAACAAAGAATAAACTTATTTGGTGAAATCTCACAGTGATACAGTATTTCACACGCGAATCTCCCTTTTTTAAACTGAACAGATTTGGAACAAACGTTGGTGCGGGGTAGTGCGGATTCATTTTATTTCGGTGGTTCTCGTCCGCTGAAGTACAACCTATAGTGTTTAACAAATCTAGTTATAATAAAATCGTAACATTTACTCATCATCATAAATCAATTCTTCAGTAGGGATTCTTGTTAAAAAGTCAGTGAAATATAACAATGATAAGGTTGCGTCAGCGGCATAGCGGTTAGGACGCTCGCCGACCATGCATATGTTCCGGGGTTCGATCCCCAGCCGACGCACTTCTTTACCTTGGTAAGCCAGAAATAATGCTGGTAAAGAGGAAAGGTTGGGCATGAGGCTAGCAACCCCATCCTGTAAAATAAACACTGCTACGGGAACTTCAAGCCTCTATCTTGAAGCCCTATGTTCCATTCGGGAACGTGAAGGAAAGAAAAAGAAGGTTATCTCAAATTACACATATTGTAAGACCTGAGTTTCTCATAAGAGGAATGAACAATTTTGATGTTAGGACGATGATAAGTGAGTGTGTGTAACTGTGTAATCAGAGATAATGAAATAGAATGATTAAAACTCATATGATTGAAAGATCGAAATTCAGCGTATACCAAGTTGAATGTAATGATGACACTGTAACACACTGAATAGAATTCAAACGATCGAAAATTAAGTCTAATATGGAAGTCAAACAAATCATGGGGAAGAGATGAGACAAAATGCTGAAAACTGAGGACAAGGGGAGAATTACCAGAGTAGTTTAGTCCCCACTATGGATTCTGTGTAAAAATATAGGTCACTTTTCAGTCATTTCATTGTGATAGCTTCAACAAACCAAAGAAGTCTTACACTGTTATATCTGCTAAAAATAAATAAATTTCAGCAGTGCATTAGGCCGAGTTCAAGTAATGAAGTCTGTGAAAATAGACTGAGCAAATTAAAATTTACAGCATATTAGGGACACTTTTACGCGTAAAAATAAACAATGGTCCATTTAACTGTACGGAACAATTTTTCCTTTTGCGCCTTGTTTAAGATTTTCAAAGTTATCTTTTATTATTGTTTTTTTAAAAGTGGTGGAGAAAAATGCTATACTGTTTATTATTCTACAGTTGTTGTGAAGTACGAGACGACACTAAAGCCGACAGGTCTAGCGGGCAGTTCAAGATGAAATGCAAAAAATGTTAGTATACGGCAACTGGTTAACTGCTGTTGGTGCTCTCTGTAACGAGAAAAAAGTCGAAAGGATTAGTAAATTCACCATACATCGAAATATGTATAATTTATATAATAACATCCATGCCTGTACAATTGGTATGTTCCTGCATGAACAGGAATAAATATATATTAGTACTGGAAAAACGACTACTGCCAGAAACAAAACCAAATAGAGAAAGTATAACTAAAAAACTAACATAAATTGTGGAAAGGAATGAGAACTATTAAGTAGTGCTACGTATGGAGTCGTCTGATGAAGAAATTCGGTGTACGTCTTGGGCCAGTGCACGCGCCGACCTGCGCGTGTGACAGGGGCTCCATTGGCTGCACTAGGAAAATTATAATTAACCCTCAGAGGTGCTGTAGTGGATTCTGGGCTGGGAATAATTTCAGTGGAGATGTTTGGATGAGCTGACGAGGAAGGTAAGGATTCTTCAATGTACGCCACCTTGAGTCTGTTGGGGCTTACAGTTTCCTAGCAGCCAAACTGCTCAATAACGAAAAATTTCTCTTTCGGACTAAAAACCTTGAAAGGTCCGTCATATGGAGGTTGTAGGGGCTTACTCACAGCACCATGACGCACGAAAACATATGTACAATCATCGAGTCGAGTATCCACGTGTACGTTCTTGTTTTGAGTTTTTGGTCGAAGTCGCTGCATAAAGCGTTTAAGACTCTGCGCATAACAGCTGACATCAGTGAAGTTTTGCTCAAAAGTCTCAGGAGCGATAAGCTCCCGCAGAAAACGGAGAGTGGTACCATATACCAACTCGACTGAGTCGCACTGAAGATCCACCTTGACTTTGAACGTATATTGAGTAGGACCGGAGGCAGAGACTCTGTCCACTTGCTGTTATCTACTACCTTCAACGAGGCTTCCAACTGGCGATGAAAGCGCTCTACCAGTCTATTTGCCAATGGGTGATACGCAGTTTTCCTGATGCGTTTGCATCCCAATAGCTCAAAAAGCCTCTCGAAGCTTGTTGATTCAAATTGTTGCCCACGGTCAGCAGTCCCTGTAGAAGGGCGTCCAAAATGTGTAACCCATCCTGCGGTGAACGGAATTGCTTTTGGCCAGCGTGTAGAACGATCAACGCATGTAAGCAAGCATGAGTGGCCATTTGAAGGGGATAGCCGACCCACGATATCCAGTTGTACATGGTTAGACCGGGCATCTGGTCTTCCAGAAGACCCAATCGGCTTGATGTTGTCTTTCGTAACTTTAGAGCGTTGGCATTTCACACAAGCACGCGCCCAGTTACCCACATCATGGTTTATACCAATCCACACAAATCTAGCCGATATCAACTTGTCAGTTACGCGTATCACTTGGCGTGAGAGGTCGTGAAGACAGTCAAATACGGTGTGGCGTAAGAGCATTGGAACAATGCGTCGAGGAGTGCCTGTAGACGTGTTACATAGTATAGTCTCTTCGTTATTCATAAAATGGACACGTTCTATTCACAGAAATGCTTAATGTGACAGCTTTTCCAAGTCTAAATCCTTTAGCTGGAGTTCATCCATTTTATTGAGGCTGATTATTGCTGGTACTGACATAGTGCGTACTCGAGACAAAGCATCTGCCACAGGGTTTTCAGGTCCAGGAACGTGCTGAATATCAGAAGTGAACCGTGAAATATAGTCTAAGTGACGTGATTCGGATGGAGAGTACCTGTATGCGGTGGTGGAAAGGGCATACGTTAGCGGTTTATGGTCGGTAAATACCGTGGATTGCCGACCTTCGACGTAGTGTCGAAAATGCTTGATATCAGCATAGATGGCGAGGAACTCTCTGCTAAAAGTGCTATACCTTGCTTCAGCTGCCGACAACTTCCGTGAGAAAAACGCGACTGGCATCCATGAGGTACGCACCTGTTGCTTAAGTACGGCTCCATTGGCTGTGTTAGATGCGTCAACAGAGATGCTGACCGAAGTTGGGCGTCTAAGTGGATTAGCATGGTTGCGTCTGCAATCGCCGACTTAATTTTCCGGAAAGCTTCCATAGCCTCCGGTGTCACGTTAAATGTCTTGCACTTACCTTCAAGTAGGTCTGTGAGTGCAGATAAAATTTGGGCGCATTGGGGAACAAACCAACGGGAATAACTTACCATACCTGGAAACGTGCGCAAAGATTTCATGGACGGAGGCTCTGGAAAGTCTTGTATGGCCGGCACCTTTTCATGTAAGGGGCGAATGTCATGTTCATCAATTACATATCCCAGAAATGTCAGCGAAGGGACACCAATCCGGAATTTATCCATGTTGAGTGTCAAACAGTATGTTGTTAGTCTCTCAAAAACCATCTACAAATGAATACGGTGAATCGCCTCGTCTGCACTAGCCACGAGAATATCATCCAGATAGGCATAAGCATAATCCAATCTGCGCAAAACGTCGTGGATGAAACGTCGGAATGTGTACGCGGCATTGCGGAGACCAAAAGGCTTTCTAAGGAATTCGAAAAGACCAAAAGAGTGATCACTGCTGTTTTAGGGATATCCTCAGGGTGGACTGGAGTTTGATGATAGGCTGTCGTCAAGTCACCTTTAAGCGAAGACGTCAGATCGTGTATGTTTGAGACAGGGTGACGATCTGGTACAGTCTCAGCGTTGAGCCTGTGGTAATCCCCACAAGGCTATTCTTGGGAATCACGTTTAGGTGTGGAGACCACGGACTGTTAGATGGCCAGATTACTAACATCTCTGACATATGTTCAAATTCGGCCTTAACGGCTTCGAGTTTTTCTGGGGACATCTGTCGTGACTTTGCAAAAACAGGTGGGTCGGTTGTCATAATGCGGTGAGTCTCACTGGAAGTCACGCAAAGAAGCCGGGAAGCCGGTTTGAAAAAATTGAAAAAAGACTGAAGGACTTCAGAGTGTAGGCCATTAGCGGCAGGTGTTGAGCACAGTGGGCTTAGAGAGCGTTTGTGTGTGACAACACCGGAAACTGATATGGTTTTGGAGGAATCAATCGACATGTGTTTGCTGGCATCTACTAGTAAGTGATGATGCATCAAAAGATCCATACCGATAATATCGATAGTCACATCTACCACCATGAAAACACAACGAAATGAGCGACGCAAGCCAGTGTTAAGGTCCAGGAACCTTCTACCATACGTTGTGATAATTTTTAAGTTTGATTTTGAATACAGCTTGATGCCACACTATATTTTCAGTACAAGTATGGAATCTTCAGCATGGATATCGGTAGCCCAAATTTTGCAGGCCGACCATAAATATCGGGTGTGCGTTGGCAGGGAATCGAACCCCGGACCATATGCATGGTCGGCGAGAGTCCTAACCACTGTGCCACCGACACGAACCAATTGCGACGCGGAGCTGTACGGGTATTGTCCCCAGGGGCTCTTCAGCTTTGTGTGGAATCACGCTAGCCTCCACCCCGGTGTCCGAGTGTTACGGTCAGTAGCATAGAAGTGGTCCACCAGCGATGTCAGTTGCCATTACGTGCTGGCCTACTAGATTCCCTACTGTTGAACATCAAAGGTGCAAGGGCAAGTGTACCTTTGGGCCTTTGCACCGTATTGTCGATGGTACCAGCCCACTCCAGGCTGGAAATTTCGGGACATCTGACGCCTACTGCTAGTAGGTGAGGCGGATCTATGATGGGGTGGGTTTGTACGACAACGTGACCGACTTCTAGAGTTCACTCGCTACCTAAGACTACTTATCTACTGGTAAAGCCTGGTGATATGAGCCACAGCGTCAAAACTTGATGACACACCAGCAGAAGGATCCTTGAATTGGGCAGGACTGTGGGATGCGGCGCCTGAAATGCTCATGATGGATTTAGTTGCCTTCACTGCTCTGTCGGCCGCTTCTGCTAAATCGAGCAGGGGAGAGTTGTGAAATGGGGCCTAAATAGCCTGAACTGACTGGGGCAATCGTCGCAACCAAACCTGCTTCAAGAGGGCGTCATCGATTTTAAAATCAGCGACTAGCTGTTTCACTTGCCGTGACATCTGCCTGGGTTTACGGTCACTAAGCTGGACATCACGAAAGAGTTCTTGCACTTTCTGTTGATCAATCAGTGCAACTTGCTTAATTAGTGCAACTTTGAGGCGGTCATACAGGTTTGGAGACGGATCTTCAAGAACGTCAGATACTTCCGCCGCAATGTTTTCCTGGAGGCTCACAAAAACCAGATTGACCTTGGTTCCTTGTGAACGAATATGCCTGAGAGCTTCCACATGTCTGAACCATGCCTGAGGACGGTGTGTCCAGAAAGTTGGAAGTTGCAGGGTTATAGCCATCTGTAGAGAAGAGCCGTTGTCAGCCATCATTAAGGTAAGAAGGTATGTAAACACAGTGATAATAACAAATTTAAATACAAACAAGGCAAATTTTTTTATAACACTACGCGAAAAACTAACAGAACTGTCAATATGAAAAGTGAGAACGATTGACACGTTAAGCTACAAATAAGGCTAACGGTGAAACTCGGGCTCACCGATTGTAAGTGTTGGGTTATACTTAAGACATACCTCAAATAACCGCACTTACTAAATACTTCAACGCTTAATAACCTTATCAGTACTCCACCTAGTTGGCAAGTACTGACTGACTAAATCAAAGTAAAAAGACTTGAGACTGGAACTGTGTCCTGAAGAGTCGAATTTTACACAAGTGAAATATTAATCCTAGTGAATAAGGATGTTATAAAACTTAACTGATGCCTCGACTGGGTAGTAAGGTCTAAGCGTGTGCTGAATGGTAGCACAACAAGGGAGCGAACTACGTGTGTACAGTCACGTTGGAAAACACAAGATGGCGTTGCGCCAAAAGTGGGTGAATGCGCTGAAACAAGAATTCAAAGGCACAAGGCACCCTACATGTATCTTTAGGTGACTACTGGATACCTGTCAGAATAATTCAGTAGCCAGCAAAAGTTTAAGCACGAATGTCTTTTCTTACTCTTTACCTGTGGCTACTGAAATGCATTTCCAGGCGAAGTGAGCACTTTGTCAGCTATAAAAATTGATCAACAGAATATTGCAATATAGAGATGTACTTATCTGACTAAAAATAACGTTCAATTCTGAGGTGAAACAGGGTGAAATGTTTCGCTTCATTAAATTCTAACGCCGATAACATAACTATAATTGTGCTTTTCACATTACTACCATTAATATATTTCGCCACTATTTTTAGTTTCCACTCAGCTAATGTGCACGAAAGGTCCTTATCTTCTCGGTAGAAGTTGCTCTAAGACTTGGGGCATTCTTTTGATGACATCACGAATATCAATTTGTGGGAACTCTTGTGAGGATGTATTTGTAGAATATCTCCTATTTCTGGTTTTCTTATGATATTTAATTTTAAGATGCTGCTAACTCTCTCCTAAGAGTTATATTATTCACTTTTCACTTAAACACTATCCATTTGAATGAGCCTTATGTAGCTTACTTGGAATCCTCCCAAATAATACATGACCTTGGATGTGACGGACAAGTCTATTGCCACAGGGCCATTCAAGGTGTCCCATAAGGAAGCGCGATTTGTGAAGTTTTCGGCACGTTGATGGGAGGCGATAATTCTAAGCTTGGTTATCGTAATGCTGTCATACAACTCACTACAAAGACTCAGGTATTCTTATTGCTATTTTTAATATTGGTTAGCCAGTGGATTCTAATGATAATAACTTCTGGGATCAATTCTGGACTGAGTATCCCATGTCAATCCAAGATATTTTCGCCCTTATTCCCGCGGCTGAAATCCGAGCACTAAGAACAGAGGCTCCCAATAACCTGGCAACTCTGTGTTATAAGGCTGTTGAGCGGATCTCGCAGGTCGCTGAGTCTGCATCACTAACATCGAAGGATCAGCTTACGGGTTTGTATTTTTTCATGTCTTTTATTTCGTATAGTTCTTAATTGTATCAGATTACTGACTAGATTATTGCCGTATATATTCGAAGATATTGAGTGGCGATCGTTCTTCTGGTCACCACTTCCAGCTGACCCTTCTTCAGCCAGAGAAGTACGTTGTGATTTTAACTTTGAAGTTATTCAATTAGGGCGAATTTGTACCTTTAGCTCAAAGCTTACTGTCAGCACTTTGTGTAAGTATTGTAACTCGAAATAATGTTTTCCTTTAGGACTTACTGTTCTGCCCAGATTTTACGGTGAATTCCATATCTAAAACTGGACCTGTGAGTTTAGTATATTCGTATTGATCATTTTTAAATTTATTCATTCTATGATGCTTTTAAGAAGGTAAATTGTAACTTCTAGTCAACATTTTCTACAGTAGTAGGGGAGAGGTTTCAAGGTTTTTTTCCCGCCTGTCTATATGATTCCTACGCCTAATTACGTGGCACTTAGGAGTTTTCGATTAGGATTAGGAATAATGACTTTAGAGTAACAATGAGTTATTGTTTCTTCATTAACCTATCAGTGAGGTTTTTCAGTTTCAAATCTATGCTGTGTGACCAACATTTTGAAGTATAATGGTTATCCATCAAAACATGCCGTAACCTAAGCGGCATCTTAACCCATCAAGGTTGTGGGATGTTACCTCTGAACATTGTTGTTAAGAGGTTTATTAACACCGGATATATTTCTGTTGTACAACTAGCACAGTTTATGTTATTCAACTCATCTTTTGAAGTCTGGGTTATATGCACCGGTAAAAAGTATTTAACCTCTGGGTGTGAGTGCTTAAGAATTATTTTTATTATTCATATTAAACTGGACATTAATCAATAATGTTCATGGATTGCAATAAATAGTTTAAAGGCTGTTATGACTTCAAGATTTTAATTGTATTCTTACTCCTTATTGCATTCATGCGTGATCAGTATATGCTTGAACGTTGAATATATTTCAGGGAAAACGTATTTTGGTAATGTTCTACATCAAGAGTTGCGTTAAGGAGGGTAGTTCTGATGTGAAGGGATTTGAGAGAGGAGTCTAGGGATGAAAGTCTTTTAGTATACATCTTGCATGATTGACTTTATTTAAAAACCTGAGAAGCGAGCTGTTTCACTGTATGTTCTTTGGATCCGCTGCTTCCTCCGTATAGATCATAGCCGATTTGTTACAGGTGCATTCGTTCATTATAATCTTTCAGAGTTTAAAGTGCTCAAAAGTATGTATTGTTCTCCCAATCACATATACTCATCCATCGTAAATTTACTGCGGTTCTTTCTAATTTTGTGTTCTTCCTCGTTAAGTCCGAAATGTCAGTTTTAGTTTTTAGCATAAGTTTTTGACGTTGATGACTTCGATAAGGTATCGGTGGTTTGGTTTCAGGAGACTGGGAGCCATGTTTCTCTGACTTATGTTGTTTGCAATGGTGAAAGAGGTGCGAGACGGTGAAGTAATTGTTTGTGGATGAGGGTAGGCGGCAAACGAAATAACATCGGGCTATTAAGGTGGTTTGTTAGCAGTTTCTACTTGACTCTATCGCCAGATGTTTTCATTGTAATGGCAACTGTTTTACGTCTAACCGCTACTCAACCGACCTTTCTGACAGCAGTTCCAGAATCTTTTCTCGCAGCCAACGTAGCTCATGGTATGCAAACCCGACCACTATGTCAAATCATAAGCTATTGATAGGGATAGTAGACGATTAGTAACTGGTTGCCACTTTAGTAATTGCTGACCCAGTAATTTTATTCTCGCAAAATATTGGTTTGAACTTCATTTTTTCGTTTCTAAACTTTATGTTGATCTATGCTTCATATAATCTCACGATACAATTCACCTATTCACTGTATTCAAGTTGTCCCCATCGAGATTTATCTCCAACTATATAGTAAGGAGCGTGGAGATTAGAAATAAATTTCAGTCTTTTAGCATAGAAGAGCTTAAAGTACTAATAGTAAATAAGTAATATTGTAAGGTGGGACTGATGCTTAGAAATTTTATTATAATTCATTAGGCTTAACTTGGGGAGAAATGTGCTAAAAAGGCTACAGGGTAACTCACTGGAGCAGCGAGATTTTTAATCAAATGAGAAATAATGACAGGAAGTGTGAGTCCTTCATATCATTTACACTGAAGAATGCGTATGACAGATGTTTTTATAAAACCAAAGTTACTGTTGATTGATTTCCTGTATAACTACAAGTTATTTTCAATTCTGTAACTTATCTACCGTAAATTAGCTGAATGTCATGGTATCTCTTCTTGAAAAAAAGGTGTTATAAAGTGGTTTTGTGATGAAAGCACGATAGTTGTGTCCTACTGATAAGATGTATGCAGTCAATCAGTCTAGCATTCATTTCCTCGATGTGAACTTATCAAGGAGGACCGATGGAACTCTGGAAAGATCAATTTATCGTAAGCTGTCATGGAATGGTCAACTGACAAATTTCTACAGCTGGGTACCCATTGGTCGAAAACGAAACCTGATCCGGTCGCTTGCCACTCGTATTCGGCGCATATGTAGCCCTGATACTGTGGAAGATGAGTTATACATCTTGAGGAAAATCCTAATAGAAAATGGATTTCCATCACATTTTATAGATAAGAATATACATTCAAATCCAAAAAACGTGACTTATCAACCGTACCCAAGAAGATACTTTACATGAGCTTGGAATTCAAAGGGGACTTAGCTTCCGATATCATGAAACGAAGGATATTACAGTCTCTGAAAAGAACATTCCCTGCTGCATCTCTCTGAGAATAGCCTTTACTAGTCGACCATTATTGTTCAATAACCTGAAGGACAAGATCCCGTGTGTTTATCAATTCACCTGCTCGTGTGGAGCTAGGTATATCGGTCGTTCGATACAATTTTTGTCCAAGAGGGTGCAAGAACACTATCCTGCATGGTTACGAAAAGGTGGAAGTGGAGCAATAAGAAGCGCGATCATTGAACATCTGGTCGATAATGATCAGAAAAGCCAGATCGTTCAACCCATCCAACTTTCATGGTCTCAATCCCTCTATGCTAAAGTATGGTAATACCTAATCATATTTCGGCTCTACCAATTTTTCATTTTGTCTATTCAATTTGTATACTCTTCCTTATTAAGTCAATTGTTACTATTACTAATCTCACTTTTAATTGTCCCCGGTATTATTTCACTTGTTCCACTTGTCATTCTAAATCAATTCCTTTATGCAACATTAAATTCTATGCTATTAAATTTCACGCAATATTACGTAACGTTTTTATTTTATTCGATTTGTCTATTAATCTTATAATTGCACACCTTTTTCAAGTTCTATCCATCCTATGAATTATTCTAAATATGACATTAATTTGCTTTGCCACTTGACATTTAACTACGATTATAATCACAAACATTTTTAGTTTTAATTGCATTTCATATTATTATTATTATTATTTTATGCATTCACACCTATGATTCAATTCCCTCACCGAACATAACTTCTTAAAAACCATATATATACGATTGTACAGCTTGATGATAAATTCGTTGAAAAGAGTCTCTTCGCTGAATCATTTGTTTTGAATTTCTATAAGTTAGTCGTACATCTAGTAGTTAACAACATTATAGGTTGATATTTTTCTCTATATGATAATATAGAAATCTTTTTCAAATTAATTCATCTTATAAGTTATTTGTATTTACCGCCATAAGTCTGTCATTTCTGTTTGTTCCTTTAGGATTGCCCAGAAGATATGCATACCATTGACAGTTGTGAGTATATCTGGCAATCCGGTGTAGGCTTTGCACAAACCCCTGCAGTAAATGCTGTCCATGATTCGAATCGAACAGAAATTCTCAAACTTATTTTGACCTGTTTCTCTGAGACAATGTATTTGGAACAAGAAGAAGCACATCGAATTGAAAATAAATGGGTCACATTTTTCACGAGTACAGCCAACAGACATGCATTACCATTGTTTACCTCTTTGTTGAATGTTGTTTGTGCATATGATCCAGTTGGCTCAGGATTACCTTACAACCACCTCATGTTTTCTGATTCACGTGAACCTTTAGTTGAAGTAGCTCTACAGGTACGTAATTCTTACACTTATGCTTGACTCTTTACTTTATGGTTACTAGTTATTCTATGCATAATTCCACTAAAATTACTGTTTATTTTTATGGTAACTTGTCTAGTTTAAGGGCAAGTCGTTGCCTAGGTAGTAACTATGAAATGATATATTTTTTTAATGTTATGGCACAGTGTTCGGTAACCATCATTCCATTTTCAGTCTGCACTTTAATCATGAGGCAATTTGAACCCACTTCTGTGCAAGTGATGAGTTGGTTCTTGGACGAACTGGTTGGTATGCCGTGAAGAACACTTCAGTAGATGCAACACTTTGAAAAGCCTATGAGCCAGGTTATGATAAGGCGAGTGGGTTATTGCACAGGAAAACGATTGGCTTTTTGTATGTAAAAGTTTTGTAATCAGTGGATTTTTCTTCAAATAAGTGCTTCCACTATCCTCATATTTTTTTTTGGTGTCCACTGGTCGAGCTGTGGCTTACTGGCCTAAGCGCTCGATTACCAGCAATTAGGTTGTAGATTCAATTTTCAATCTACCTACTAAGGTTTGAGCTGTCACTTACTTTCACTAACGTCCACACTATTACGTGTGGTTCACTGCTAACTACACAATCATCCTAATTCACCATTAACCACCACTATCACTATTGACCAGTGTTTAGTATCATATTGTTTTTCTTTATCCATCAGGGAGTTTCAATGCTTTATTTCAATATACTGAATTTACGGTTGTGAAACAGCTGGTTAGCTTACTATTTTATCTGCCCAGATTGCTGGAAATGTGAAACTACTGACTTATTCAAGTGTGTTTTAACCAATTAGTCCGATTTTCAAATCCTGACCCACTTGCTTTGTTCTGAAATAATGTATGGATATTATAAGCCCTCACACTTAAGGTGTAGAGAATACCTTAGTACATAAAAGTCACATTATATTGTGTCAATTGATGCGTGTCTACTGCACATAACAGTCAGTACAAAAGGTATTAGTTTACAGATTGCTGTTTAGTCTTATAAACGTAGAACTGATTCAACTTCCTGAGTTGAGTCGAACTGGTTACACCATTGATGAGCTTGGTCCCAAACGAGCGAAACAACCGTCTGGTGCTTAGATCACTTAGGTCTGGCTGCTGGATATGACTAGTTTCCGAATACCCATACCACCAAGCTGCATTGTAAACTTATTAGTACTACAGGGACTTATTTGCCAAACTATATCTGTATAAACAGACTATTACTTGAAGCTCTTATTTATACTCCAGCAGTTAGTTTTCACGTTACACTTTGTACTTTCTTCTCAATGAAACTGAGTAGATTATTTGGTCATATCTTTAATTCAAGCTACAGGCAACTACCACTAGTGTTTCGAATAGAAGTAAGTTTTATCGTAAAATAGCAAAAATATTTCATGAATAAGGTGAAATGCTCTACGTACGCTAACAAATGGCATTTATCTGCAATCTTGATAATTCTTCTAAAAGCTTCATTTTTTTCGCTCTGCAATTATCGCATAACTTCAAACCGATGCTAACATGTTTTTAGTACTGCTCTCTCTCCGTTGAATTAATCGTTTCTTAACACTTGAGCCAACCGCTAGATCCCGGCCTTCAAAGCTCCCTCGAATTACTACTTAAGCCTTGGCGAACTGTGTAGTATAATCAGCCTTCACACAATGAAGTGTGACTCAAAGCCTGGCATTTGAGAAATCTGAGTAACTGAGTTCTAAATTAGCTACAATTATCGAGATATGAAGCCTTGGTGTTGTCTACTAGTCAGCTTTCGTAGGTGTATGGCTATACTTTCATATTAATTAGATAAAAATGACCTGGTAGGGTGAATATGACTTACAGTGTGGTGACTCAAACTGCTGCACATCAGTACAAAGTTATGTGTTGTAACCAGTCAGTCAGTCATATAACTTAAAATGGTTGATTTAGAGGCCCGGATTTACCGATGAATAGTAAACTTTTTAATTTATTGGCATTTCATTTAATTAGATTATTTTGCAAATGAATTTTGCAATACTACAGCTTATGTATAACTTATGTAGACATTTATAGGTTGGTATGATAAAAGAGGATAAGCAACCAACGTAGAGTGTGTTAGGTGACAAATTTTCTGTTTGTATCATCCCAATTGCATGTGTGTTGATTATATCATTTAACACCGTTTGGTGCATAGCTTTGTACTGTCCGGTGTTCGTTTTCCCTACTCACTGTGTTTTCGCTGTATGTTAGGTAGATTCTTCTATATGACATCTGAAGTTTTGATTTTCTTCCAATAGTATGAAATTCCACCTATTTAAACCTTATATCATGTGTAAAGCTATGTTTAGAAGTTTTTGAAGTTCTTTGAGCTCCCATAAATATTTTTGTGTAATGGTGTGTTTGGTTGGCTTAAACACTCGACCTTCAGCTAGTGAGTAACTGATCCGAATCCCATTGCACCTATTTCAGCCTGGGAAACTGAGTAATTATCAAGTGTTAGATTGCAAGGATTTTATTGGTTACAGGGGTGATCAGGAGCTGAGACCTTATTTAAAGAGCCAGTGGAAAACCAGGGAGTACTAGACAACTGTCTCGTCCTAGTTTGCAGTTCTTCAACAGTACGAACTCACGAAGGTTCGAACTCGGGAACTTCCGGTTGCAGGGCGAACTCGTAGGGCATCCAGCCACTGGGACCAGATCCAATGGCCCATGAATTCCAACTTCTGCCAGTTGGCTATATATTTATCGCAGCCGCCACCAAGTATCATTTGCAATTAACTGTTCTTTTACCTGACTTGGTGGTCCCCACCGAACAATTGGATCGGCTCCCATTGGTTGAATGGTATACGAGCTCGCCTTGTAAGCGGAAGGTCCAGGGGGCGCGTGCGTACTGATGAAGAGTCACAAACCAGGACGAAATGGCTAATCAGTACTCCTTGGTTTTCCAATGGTTCTCTAACTGATTTCAGCTCATGATGAAACATGCAACTGAATAGTATCATTCACCTACATTCACGCACAACAAGTGGTGTGTTGCTCTTAGCCTGACACATGTGTTCTGGGTAATTGAGTCTAAGCACATAAATTTCTTGTAATTATAAAATTTATTCTCTTAACAATAAAATCGCATCTGTAGAAATGTTTGGTTAAATACTTTTTGTAAGCTAAGTGAATTCGCTATGCAAAGCTTTGTTGGTTATTTCCACGATGGTGCTTTATTGCTTTTTTGTGTGTATGCATTGCACTAGATGAAAATTATCACAGTTCTTTCGTTCCTTTTCATGAAATTGATACTTGTTTTTCTTTTTCTTTCAGATTTTATGTATAACTTTGGAACCGGATACTGTGATATCCACTCCTACATATTCAAATGCATCACTTAGAGATACAAACTCTTCTCATAGTCATGCATGCTCAGATGTAGATGAACAAGTCAGTTTAAATGGTACTCGAACGATAAGTCAAAACAGTGGTGGAGCAGGTGATTTGTGGAATAATGAAATCAATCTGTTTGTGAATTATATGTCCCGTTTACACAGAGATGAGGTGAGTTCCTTAACAAAACTGTTTTAAAGAAAACTTTTTTTGTTAGTGGATTTGAATTATACCATTGGGAGGGGTTTTATCCTACCACTATGCTGGTTAATAGCCTAGAGTAAAGTAAGCCTCTGCATTGGGTTGATGAATCCCACTATCAAACCAAAGCATATTATCTCTCTTCAAATTATTTGATTACTAATCCGAACTGTATGCGATACTTAAACAGTTTGTTAGATCGTGATCATAACTGGTTGGAGATCACCGGGGGCAATTTTAAATAGGATCATATATACTCCTTTGGTGCGTCGGTAGTTCAGTGGTAGAATACCCGTCAGCCACCCACGTGGTCCGGGGTTCTATTCCCCGCCTACATATTTCTAGACCTCACTTAGCCTGACGTGAGCCCGGTAAAGAGGGAAGATTAGGCGAGAGGTTAGCAACCTAACACCAATGCTACTGAAGCTTGAAAGCTTAGGCCGGAAGCCCTATGTTCCTCTCGGAATGCAAAAGAATGAATACTCCTTTAGATCTGAGATATATTACTGTTCTGTTATGAGAAATTTCGAAATTCCTCAATGAATGGAAAACACGATGATATTGTTTTGTTTATAGTGACTTATATTGCCATTTTTCATGCTGCTGATAGCTTTATCAGAGTAACATGTAACCTGAATTCACAAATTGACAACTTTTATACACTAACTTAGTTTATAGTTCCCCAGAATGATAATAAGTTGATGAACAAACCGAACCATGTAAACTGAAACTTTTTGACTTCCCGTTTAGTATTACTTTTGTTGCAGCTATGAGGGGAGCATTAAGTAGAGAAACGTCAATAAAAATAATTTTGTTTCGTTTTTCGTTCATTTGATGAGAAAAATAAATTTTCTTTCCTTGTAATGGTTATTATATGTTAAATGCCTAATGTTTAAATATCAGAAGTTGGTTTGGACATACTTGGCTTTTCTTTTACTGATCACTGTTCCATTCGTGTCTTGTATTCCCACACAGTAGGACATAAAGTAGCATTCATTATCCAGCTGTTGATCAAAAGATAAGTGTAGTACACAGCAGTTCACTTCATTCTTCCTGATAACTGTTAAACAAGACCAGTGATGAAAATACAAGGACTGAAGAGGCTAACTGTCTTTGATCCTAGGCGCTTACGTCCGATCTTCTGTGTTAAATGGAATAATATGGTAAACAGTATTCAGATTAGGTGTGCCTGGTAAAGACGGTAAAGTTAGTCGATAAGGTTGTGAAGCTACGTCGATTAAGATGGTTACGATACGTGTTAAGCATTCCAACCCCATTGCCTTCTTGGTCAAGCAATGTTAGCTAACGCGGGATTCGGTTGGAAAATAGTTAGGGGAGTTGAAACCAAAATATGGTACCAATACATGTATTCCTTGACTGTTAGTTTGACCTATATAGGGAGGTGTAGACTGTCTGATTGAGGTCTTGAAGACACTCAGGACACTCAGGACTAGAGACTATTTGTCGTATGGCTTAAAATCATTGTCAGTTATGCATATGCATTCACTCCTTTTGTGATCTCCCATATCAGTTAAAACCCTGATGGTTTTCCATATCACTTTTCTTTCTCTCTCTCACATTTCTGCCCAATTTGGTTATTTTGAATCCCTTTTCTCTCTACCTCTGTGTGCATTGATCGAGGCACTCTACTCAAACTCATGCAGCCAGCCAGGTGAGAGCCTACGGAAAGTTGTCATCTAAAGTGGTGACTACCAGTGTTGTCCATCAGGGATGCCCACTTTCCTCAATTCTGTTTAATTTCATCATAGATGTACTAGTGGACTTAACTCTGACTTGATCGACTTAGGGATTGACTTGTTATCAGGGAATAATCTCGCTGACTTAGAATATCCAGATGATATAGTCCTCCTAGGTGAGGTTAAGACGCTAACAAAATTCAGAGTCTTCTGAGCACCTTGAGCTGCAATCTGAGAATGTTCGGCATGCGAACATCTCCCGCCAAATGTAAGATAATGTTACAGGACTGGAATACACTGACTCCCAGTTTAGAAATAGGGAGTGAAGTGGTAGAGTGTGTTGAGCACTTCACTTATTTGGGGAGTTGCATCAGATCCAACTGGTTGATCTCTGACGAAATCTCACCATGGATACAGAGGGCTAGTTTCGCATATACCGGCGTAGACGCGATATCCGCTGGCTTTCGACCAAAGGGCGTGTGTACTGCTCAGCAGTCCGCTCTGTCCTCCTTTAAGGCCATCAGATATGGTCATCGAAATTGGAAGACATGAGGAAAAGGCTAACTGTCTTTGATCATAGGTGTCTGCGTTCTATCTCCCGTGTGAAGTATAATAAGGTGAGCAATATTGAAGTTAGGCATCAGTCGAGTGCTAGGTAAAGGGAGAGAATCAATCGATGAAGTTGTGAAGTTACATCGATTGAGATGGTTGGGACATGTGTTACGCATTTCTACCCACTACCTTCCGCAATAAGCAATATAAGCTGACATATGAACAGGTTAGAAAAGAGCTGGCGGTGGTCAAACGAAAGCATGGCTTCATCAGCCCATGAAATCCATAACAGTTAGTTTAAACCAGCCACGTAATAGTAATATGGAAGAAAAATAGGATTTAATTGGATATTATAAACCACAAATAGTGGATGCATCTGCATCATCATCGAGAACAATTCTTAGCCATATCACCAATTGTCTCCATCCGTTATTGGTTTTTACCATCCCGAGGCACCAACCACACTGGCAGTTTACACTTCCCTATGTGGCTCATACTAATTGTCGAAGATTTTATGGTTTGGTTTGACCACCAGTAGCTCTTTTCCAACCTGATCAATTCGTTGTCTGGTAATATTGCTCGTCAAGGAAGACGATGGCCAAGCATGCGTAACACATGTTCTAACCACCTCAATCTATGTAACTTCACAACTTCGGCGTCGATTGATTTTCCCTCGTTACCTAACGCTCTACGCCTAACCTAAACATTACTCACCCTATTATACCACTTAACACGTAAGTCAGAACGCTGACAACTATGATGAAAGAAAGGTATCCCTTCTCATATCTCCTACATTTTTTCACTGGCCATATCTCACAACCATGGCCAACAGTCAAGGGCTGCATGAATTTATGCTGTGTTTTGGTTGAACTATACCTAAACTCTGCAGCTGACCTAGGGAAGGGCGATGATTTTACGTGTTCCAAACAGGTAACCATAATCAGCATCAGTATACGCTTCATTTTCTATTTTTAATTTTGTTATTCGTTTTGAAATCTTTCTTTTTTTTACTTAACTGATTCACTCCCTCCCCCCCCCCCCTGTCCCATTTCATCATTCTCTTCCAGGATTTTGCCTTCATACTGTTAGGATTAACTCGCCTGTTGAATAATCCTCTAACGCAAACGTATCTTCCTGGATCAAGTAAAAAAATTCAAATGCATCAAGAATTATTAGTACTATTTTGGCGAATGTGTGAATGCAATAAAAAATTTATGTATTACGTGTTGAAGTCAAGTCATGTTCTAGACTTGATTGTACCTATCCTGTATCATTTGAACAATTCACGTAATGATCAATGTAAGTATAACACACCCACGCACTCTATTCTCATTTGGTGTTTGCTTCTTTTTTTATTATTATTTCTAAACTGTGTGTGTGCTTGTGTGTGTATAGCGAAAACCTTGTTTCAACATGAATATACAGAGCTATGTCGATTAGTAGTAGTTAGTGTGAAGGGTAAAACAAGTTCTGCTGAGTTTTTAAGAAAAGATATCTTTGTATAATCAATAATGGATATGTGACTCACTCGTTATTGAATAAATATCATATTTGATTGTTTGGAGGATTTCATCATGAGCTGACATCAGTTAGAGAACCACTGGAAAACCTGCAGGGAGTACCGGATAGCTGTTTCGTCCTAATTTGAGACTCCTCACCCACTGCGGTTCAGACCCAGGACCTTCCGCTTACAAGGCGACCTAGCTCTTAGACCATTAAGCCACTGGGACCCACTACAATGGTCAGCCCATGAATTCTAACTTCTGCCAGCCAATTCACGATATGCGTGACCAGAAGTTACAATTCATGGGCCGTTGGATCGGGTCCCAGTGGCTGATGAATGGTCTACGAGCTAGCTCGCCCTGTAACCAGAAGGTCCTAGGTTTCGAACTCCCTGTGGTGGGTGCGTATTGCTGAAGAGTCCCAAACTAAACTGACGAAGCAGCTGTCTAGTACTCCCTGTAGGTTTTCTAATGGTTCTCTAACTGATTTCAGCTCCAATCAGTCAAACAAAATCCCTACAAAGCCAATACTAGAAAATATCATAATTGTTCAGCATTTCTGTAAGCCAAGCTTTTACTACTCACATGATGAGATTATGTCGAAATCAGGGGGTTCCATCAACAAAAGTTGGTGTGGGGGCAGAGGTATTCGCGGTGGACGAAATCGGCCGGTTATATATATATATATGTGTGGGGGGGTGTTGCTGTATGTATCACGAATCAGCAGACGTTATGATTTATTAGCTTGATTGGATTTCGCTCCAGTGGTGAAATGATCAATGGGCTTGCCTCGTAACGTAGTAACCTGGAGGTTCTGGGTTCAATCCTTAGTGGAGAGTCATGAAGTCGTACAGCTTTTCAGGGCTCTCTGGTTTTCTGTGATTCTCTAACCAGCGTCAATTCGTGATCTAATTTGAGAATAATAATAATAATAATAATAATAATAATAATAATAATAATAATAGTGGCTTTACTCCAAACAGTACTTTTGATACAAATATGGAATTTTCAGCCTGCATACAATATTGCATCTAATTTCCCCATTACGGTTTAAAAGAATATGAACATACAATTAAAATTTAAGAGGGAGTATTAACAAGAATATATTAATGAAAGAAAGAATAAAAAGTGCGGTTTACTTGGTGTTTCTCAGTAAATTATTCGTCTCCTGTCTTACACACTTTTCTCGTCGTATAAAATCTGTGCTAAATAAGGTATTGTAGAGTTTTTATATTCAGTTGTCCGAGCATAAAGTCTGTTATAGTTGCTTCTAGTTCTACCTGATGAAATGCAAAGAGACAGCGTTGTGTATAGAACGAGGATGCTCAGGGTCCAACAAGATAATATGCGCTGAATTCCTGCATGCTTCCATGTGTCTATCTACGACAGTATTAACCAGCTGGTTTAGCGAAACTCACTCACTCTACTGACAGCTTTTAGTGCTCTTCTCAGTGTAACAAAGTCATTCTTAAGTAGCCTGAGGAGAGATTTAGGTGGGGGTGGGGAGCAATAAAGAAGAATAGAGAGAATACATGAATTAAGAAACTATGAAAGCAGAGACTGTGATACCGTATTGCCTTAACTTCCTTACGTAGTAGGTTAGAGGAATTATCTTTTTAGAAAGTAAGATGATGTATGACAACCAGGGAAGAGGAGAGGGAAGACATAATCCGAGGTATTTAACATTCGACTTAGTTTCAGCTTCAGTGCCATGTATTATACTAGAAATATGGGAACGAAGCAGTTCATGTATGTGTGTCTGAAAGTGAAATTAACAGCCTGATATTAAACATTCATTAAATTTGAAGGAAGCGTATTACTTGTATTGATAAAATACTGTTCAAGTGTCATTTAGTCAACATCTTGACAGCTAGAATATTCAATTTGTTCGAGATATTACTCTGTTATTGTTCTTTTTATATCAGTATCTATGGGTTGTTCTAATTCCCTTCTATTGTCGTGTTGTATACAATAAATAATGTCAACAAGACGAGTCAGTAAGATGAAAATAACCGTGCAAACAGATTTCCTTTTGGTAGTATTCATCACTCGGCCATCGAAAATGCCGGTTTCCCTCTAGTTATGGGTAATAGAAAGAAATATAAGTATATTGCTTTAAGTCAATAATTATATATATACTAGTGTAACGTAAGTAGGAACCAGCTGTGTGAGGGACGTATATATAATTATATTATTCGGCAGTGTCTTCCAAACCTCAGTAGTTCACTCAGCTTTCCTCTCAGTTAACAATAAGTACATACAGTTTTGGGCAAAAAATACTACTGACCAGTCAATTGGAACCTTGTTATATCAGCTGTCGTTAGATGATGTACACTACGATCGAAATACGGGAATTAGAGCAGCTCTACTTTATACAGAATGAAGGTGAGAATAAGTTGACTTTCAGCCCAGGTGTCCCATTTCACTTAATACAGTCTGGGCCACTGGGAATTGGTGGGTGGGGAGGATAGTATCGTCAACTCTCATACCAAAAATGTGTCTTATAACCTTTACAAATAATGCTCAATCTTATATTTATGCCTGTTTATCTATAAATAAAAATTGTTTTCTTTTTCTTTTAATTTCTAGCACGTATTGGATTAATACACGTTGGTGTATTCATTTTGTTATTGCTTAGCGGGACAAGGAATTTCGGTGTTCGTTTGAATAAACCTTATCGTCATCGTTCTTTGTTGGATATACCAGTGTTTACTGGAACACATGCTGATTTATTAGTCATAGTAAGTCGTTGATAATTACACCGTCTTCTTCTTCTTCTTCTTTGTGAACTTCGATTTCAGTTATTTGGTGGTTGACAACTAGCAGTGGAGTCCAGGATGTGCACTTCGTCCTATCTGGGACTTTGTCAACATCTCTCAGTGAGTGATTGTGTTCCCATTGAGTACATCTAACTGACGAGGTGCTCATCCTAGATTCCACTGTTAGTCACCATCCACCAGTTTTAATTTTTATTCCTTTACGTTCCGAGTGGAACGTAGGTGTCTTCAAGCTAGAGCTTTGAAGTTGCGGTAGCAGTGGGTTTATTTTTACTGCTAGCCTCACCCTCAACCTTTCTTCTTTACCGATTTAGTGAATTTTGTTTATTGAACCGTTTTATATCAATAATAGGCTACAGTTATATTATGTAAAGGTTGACGAGAACTCTAAAGGCCAATAAGCATCCTCTCTTCATGCATGTTATTCCTTAAGTTAACGAACAGAAAGTTGACAATGATTATATGAAAATTGATAAAGTTCATTTGCATACATAACCTCTTAGTCGAGATTGTAATTCATAAATTATGGGCTAAGAAAACTGTCTTATGTTACTCCTGTTGTCTTTCCATTGTTGAGGGAGAAGTTTTAAAAATTTGTCCAGTGAGACTGTAAATTGCTGATTTATAGCTGTTTAACTCTTCTTACAGATAGTAGAACACATTTATAATGGTTCATCACACGGGGAATGCATCCGTGCGGTCGCACCAGAGAATGAGATCGTATGTAGTTCTGCTCTTGCGAAGATCTGTAATGAGTGTTCGGTTTTACTGAAATCTAATGAATAATTACTGGATCACTGTCTTTTTAAATTATTTTATTTCTTTGCGTTGCGAGTGGTTTCAGTGGCAGTGGTGTTTTTTTCACGGGCTGTGGTTGCTAACCTCACATCCAACCTTCCCTCTTTACTGATCTCACTACCGGCTAAGTAAGGTTTAGGAGAGTGCGTCGGTCGGGGATCGAACCCCGAATCACTTGCGTGGTTAGCGAGTGTTCCAATGGTCCCACTTACTCCATAGTCTACGAACTCTCAATCATTTGGTATATCATTATGCAGAGGGGAGATGTTGCTTATTTGCTTAGGCATTTGACTTTTGACCAATGAATCCCAGGTTCGAATCTTGTCTCATCTGTTTCAGGTAGTAGCATCAACCCTCACACAATATGTGTGATAGCCTTGTACTGCGAAACCGAATCCAAACCAACTAACTACTAATTGCTAACTACTATTTTATAACCTCTGCTTTTATGTCTTTGACTAACAACAATAATTTTCGTATCATTCCTGCTATTTTTTTTTACAGGTTTCACATAAACTAATCACAAGTGGTCATAATCGTCTGAATCCATTATTCGATTGTTTACTAACAATCATAGCTAATGGTAGGTGTTAATGTTTTGTGTACACTGTCTATTCTGAAGAAAAGATAATTAATGCATATATATATATATATTATTACATTAGCGTTTAATTTTTCGAAAGCATTGAGTGTTTTCTTGAAGTATTGCTTTTTTTGTACGGATTTAGTTTGATTGGTTGGAGGATTTTTTTAATCATGAGCTGACGTCAGCTAGAGAACCACTGGAAAACCACATGGAAGTACTTGACAGCTGTTTCTTCAGCCTAGTTTGGGACTCTTCATCAGTACACGCCCACCACCAGGGTTCTAACTCCAGGACCCTCTGGCTACAAAGCGACCTCGCTAACCATTAAGCCACTGGGACCCAATCCAATGGTCAGTCCCTGAATTCTAACTTTTGCCGATTCATGATATAGGGCAACCACTCCGCAGTGTCTCCTTCTTGTCATCAGTCCGCTCGGGTAGCTAGCCGAAAAATGGGGTGTTTTCGACTGATTTGACTCTCTAAGCTGAGTCCGATCGGGGATGCATCACTAGCTGATGAGCTCGGCGGCAAACGAGTGAAATGGCCGTCCGGTGATTCGATCACCTCTATCTGGCTCGCCAGCAAGTACTTCTCGTTGATGTGAGTAGTGGTTTTCATGCAAACACGTTTCTCTCTACTTTTGTTATACAATCAACTAAAGTCCTCGTATATTCTAACCCATACACAATATGCATAAGACTTTGTTTATCACATGGTTTTTGCTACATTAAGATTCGTGTAGTAACATAAAAATTGTTTAGTTGGACAGAAGATTCACATGTTGACTCGTAGACAGAAGAAGGCGTTGTAATGACTGAAGACGAGGGCCAGGCAACAGATCGTTTATTGAGGAAATCAACAGATATTTATAGATTTTTATGTACATTATTATTCGTTATTACTAGCATAGAAACAGCGTCTTCTGATTGGTTGTTTTCTCGTTTAAGGTTATTCTGTCATCTCTTTGGCTATTTATTTGAAGGTCAGGCTATATATCTGCGAATCGTATTCGTCCACGCAAAGTCTGCTGTGATTGGTTGTTGAGTTCCTCAAGGTTAGGCTTTGTTCTTGTTTTTTTTACATGCCCCCGATTTGGGATGTAAACATTGACGTAAATTACTGTCTACCAATTTTGGCTAGGAGACAGCTCTCACCACACTATTATTGTAATTTACTTAGTTAATAAACTGTTTTTTGTTTTTGTTATTTTTCCAAAATATTTCCCTTGAATAGTTTCACCCTACTTGAAAAGCTTGTCAATGGTATCATCAAATAAACTGTTGCATTTGTTAGATGCATTCAGTCAACCATGGTTCTTGTACAGTAGTCCATCTAACTATCAGTTAGTATTTTTATTACTAGAAGTGTTTAATAACATTGTCCAGTATCAATTTGATGGTAAGTTAGTATAAGTTGGAGAGAAGTCTTTATGTTCATTTGTTTTTACGTGTGCGTGTATACGCCTATCTTTTCCCTTTTTTGTATGCCTAGTGTTCATTTTAACATATTCATAAATTCCATGAAATATTTGACGCATTCATAGCTTATTGGTATTTTTATTTGAGCTATGTTCAGTGGGTGATGGTGTGGTGTTGCAGCTCCAAAATCTGATGATTTATGCAAATGCAAAGGAAATGGCTCACCTACCAATAGTGAGTTTACTATGGAACATGAAAGTGATGGAAAGTTCCACTTCCTCGACATTGCCATGCAACGCCTAGAAGACGGTAGTCTTCAGAAGTCAATTTATCGAAAGCCTACTTGGAAAGGACAATACTTACATTTTAATAGCTTTTGTCCAAATAACTTTAAACGCAGACTAGTCAAGACTCTGTACTATAGAGCTAGGAGATTATGCTCTCTAGAGAGATTAGATGAAGAATTTATGTTTCTCGGAAAGATACTGAAAAGCAGTGGTTACCCTCAAAGATTCATTAACAAGTATGGAGGATCTGAAGTCTCAAATGTCAAACAAATTAAAGTGGAGAAAAAGCCAATCTACATTCAACTTGATTATAAAGGTGAAAACATTGCATCAATGGTCAACAAAAGACTGAGTACGTTACTAGCCAGAGCATATCCTGCAGCTAAGCTCGTTCCCATCTATCGAACAACTTGCTCTTTAGTGCAGTCAAAAATCGATAGATATCCTTCTCATGTTAACTCCAACTGTATATACAAATTCACATGTATCTGCGGGAGCAGTTACATTGGAAGGATAGAAAGAAGGGCATATCTTCGATTTTCTGAACATATACCAAAAAGCTTACGTCTAAAGGGAACAAATGCTTTAAACAGTGCTATCACCAGGCATCTTCTTGACACCGACCATGAGGTGGACGTCGCATATATATATGTATATATATATATATATATATATATATATATGTATATATAATTACTGTCTGCATATATTGATTGATTGATTTTTGTTTAAAATGAACTCTGTGCAAGTATGTTAAAATTGTTCCTGTAGATATACTTAATAATGACTGTGGCCTGTAAGCAGCTGATGAGAAGCTGACGAAATAAATGATGGTACCACTTTATTCTGCAAAAACTGTAGTTTTCGCTCTATTCAAATGTATAATAAATGGGAATTTAATGAATACATCGATGCCAATGAGAAAGTTTTTGAGTCATATAATCCTCATCAACAGTCTCCAGTTATTGGTTCTCGAGTGTGTGGAGGATCCCAGCTAGGCGGCTGTGCACATCTCCCTATGTGACTCTTAAACCAAGAGATTATATGGATTGATTCTGTTTGAGCACCTTTAACTCATTTCCAACTCAACCCTATGTCGTCAGCTAATATCACTTGTCGAGGTGGATGAAGGTTTGGTATGCGTAACACATATCCTAGCCATCTCAATCGATATAGTTTCACAAACTCATTGATCCTCTTTTCCTCCTTATCTAACACTTGATGTCCAACCTCAGTATTACTCACACTGTTATACCTTTTAACACAGTAGATAGTACGCAAAAATCTGTGGTCAGAGATTTCTAGCCTGTTCATATTTTCCACATTTAATGACCACTTTTCACAGCTGTAAAGAAGTTAAGCAGCGACTTGCTGTGCACTACTCACATCATTTGATTGATGAGAGGGGGGATAATGGATGTCACTGTATGTGTTCTACTACAATTAGTTCCATTACACTGTAAAGAATTAAATTAATTTCAAAATAGGATAATATTCCTCACGCTGTGATTGTGATTCATTATTGTAGTTAATATTACAACATCTGTAAAAAATATTACATCTGCCCAAATCGCAATTAATCAGTTGGCGATAAGTGTCTGTAAGAATGATATGTGCTTTGTACCGTCTAGGTGCGAAGTAGTGTTACAAGATTGGCAGGAGCCTGTAACTGCACTCACTCTTGCGGATGAACCGCTTGAAGTTGTTGATAAGCTTGGGTATCTGGGTAGTTGTGTGACTGCTGGCGGAGGGGTTACGGATGGGATTTCCAACTGCATAATGAAGGCTAGGGTGGCATATATCAACTTGAGCCACCTCTGGCGCCGTCGCGACGTCAGCCTGGGTGTCAAAGGTCAGGCATACAATGATTCGGTGCGTGCCGCCTTGCTCTACGCCTGTGAATCCTAGCCTCTCCGAACTGAGGATGTGCGGCGGCTCTGTGTGTTCGATGGCATCATCGCGTGTGTTTGAACACAGTGGAGGTCACCATTTATTGAGTGTCATCATCTGAAAACACCAGCTTCGGTGGCTTGGACATGTGCTATGAATGTCATCTCAGAGGCTTCCGTACAGGTCTTTGTTCGCTAGCCCTGGGATGGGATAGAAAAGGCGGAGAGGTGACCAGTCCATTAATTGGCGTCGTGAGATGAAGGATATTTGTGCTAGATTAGCATCGGTTGGTGTGTCACGACTCCCTGGTTGGGGTCCGCGAGATAGTTCGAATCGATGGCTCGAGACGTTATCGGATATGGCCAAGAATTGCAATCAATGGCGAACGTGCTGCAGTTTCTTTCTTTCTTCCCTTCCCTATGATAGTTGACGAATACTGTTTGAACTTGTTAATTATGGCTGTTTTCCCTCCTGATGCAGTTTTTTATCCGTTCTCCACCCATATTTTTACTTTTAATCTATGTTGTTTTATTATTATTGTGTGACGCATCTTCTTGGTGCCATATTGTACCAAGTTTTTCTGAGTTTAAATAAATAAAAAATAAATGTAAATGCTTTCTGGCTAGCTGCATAACATTCGTACGCTTGTAATGATAACTCGTGCACATTTCAGTAGATAGACATATGCACATATATGTCCTGGTTATCGATTGGATCTCGTTGCTCAGTTAGTATACAGCGCCGGTGTAGTGATTCTAGTGTCTGAGCCTAAAGTTCCTGTCTGTGTAACATTATTATTATTATTGTTCTCTTGGGTTCCGAGTGGAACACAGGGTTTCAGCAGCACATCTCCGGTTTGTCCTACTCTCTGCAATCCTCTTTAGACGACTTGACGATTGACCAGTCTTTCATCTCCTCCTCACACAATCTCCTCCATGTCACCCTCGCACTGATGACACACTCGTCGTTCCCCATTCGAGTTCCACTCAAGCAATGGCATGGTGCGCTATATCATCCAATGGTCTTTTCATCATGTGTCCGATTCGTCCACATTTTCTTCGGCATATCTGTTGGGCAATAAATTCTTGATTGGTTTGTTCATCGCAAGAATTTCTTGCTGCTAATTCTTTCTGGTCATTCAATGTTCAGTATGTAGGCAGCAAAGGCAGCAGTTGATGAAAGTCTGCCGATAGCTGTTTGAAATGCTTTTCTTGATGCGCCAAGTTTCTGAGCCATGTAGAAAAACTGACTTAACATTTGTGTCTAAAATCCGAATCTTGTACACCCGTATGCTGAGTGCAGACAATTGGAAGATTGATTTCAGAATGATGGTGGAGGTCTGCGACATCCTCATCAGTGCCGCTCCCCTACAGTGGAAACGATGCTGCCCAGCCCAGCCCAGAATTTCCACTAAACTATTGATTTAATGTAATTTAAAATAGCATTGATTTTTATAAATAACAATATCTCTTTACTTATCATGGTGATATAAATGTAGAACCTGGTATCGGGCTTATCAAAAAGAACATTCTTTGTTCAATAATCAGTCTCCTTTCATTTTTGTAGTTCTCACACTTTGATTTCTTTTCTTCCTCTTCTTGTGTGTTTTTTCCACTGTTTTCATTATTAGGTAATAGTAATTTAGTTTACACGCTAATCAGAAAGCGTCAAATATTCTTTCGATTAGCCAACTTACCTACAGATCAAGCCAGTATAAATAGTGTAGTTAAAAAGCAAATCAAATCATCACAACAAGGAGCTACTGCTGCTGGTGGTGGTGCTGCTAGTGTTACGTCAAGAGTGTCTACTGGTGAAATTAGAAAGTCTACTGATTCGTCTACAGGTCAGTTGATTTCGGAAATGTCTAATCGTTTATCTATGGAATCTAATCTACCCGGGACACCTCCATCAACTCCAACTGAGTCTACTGATCAAGTGACCTCTCAGGTTTGTATTTCTGCTCTCTGTTGAGTGTATAAAATTGCTTAAATGTTTGATTCTATCAAAGATGAGTTTTCCATCCATTTAGTGTTATTTATTTATACTATCCCCTGCTGAAGTACTCCTTAACCTCTCTGGTAGTAAGCCCGGTAAAGTGGGAAGATTAGGCGTGAAGTTAGCAACTCCACCTCGTAAAAATGATATCACTGCTGCTGAAAAACTTGGGCACTGTTGTAGTATATAATTCCATATTAATTTATATGTCAGATATACCACATAGTGAAATAGACTGATGGAGCTGCCATGGGCTCGCCAATATCCCCATTATTGGCAGGTATATTCATAGATAGGGGAGAAAACGTAGCGATTGAAATATTCTGCCCTACGCCTAAAGTATGGTGGAGGTATGTAGATGACACATTCACCGTACGTACACAGAACACAAAACATAAATAGATTCTTCGATCACATCAACTCGAAGGTAAAGGCAATACAATTCATTTATGAATTAGAAAGTCAGGAAGGGGAGCTTTCAATGTCAGTTTGTAGCATAAAAGAAAAAGAGAATGGAGAGTTAAACACTTGTGTTTTGCAGAAAACCCACACAATGAAACCGACATCTGAATATGGGTTCATCGTATGTTCAACGTAGGATTGGTGAAGTTTTTAAGTAATAGAAAAACTAAATAGTACCAAGGAAAATCTAAGACAGCAAGTGAAGCATATCAGAGAAGCTTTGAGACCTAATAATTAAAGCACTTAGTTCCCTTTATGAATTTCGAAAACACAATAAGCATTTGCATAATACATTTCGGACATTCTGATCACACACGTACCTGTCATATACAGCTGTATAGAAGACACGAGGGCATGTATTATTACAATACAGGTCAGATTGTGTACACGTCAAGGTCACAAATGATAAGTAGGAAGATGACATGAGGGTGTAGGGTAAAGAAAAAAAAGAAGGGAGGGGGAGGGTGAAAATATCATTAAGTAAATTGAACCTTGGTTCTAAATTGGATTACCAAGGCAGGTTCAAAGTTTTAAAACAAATAATTTTTGGACACATAAGACAGGTTTAAGCCCTTTTATGGCCAATTCAAGTATGTGACCTGAACTTATTTTATATATATATATATATATATATATATATATATATAGGTTTAATGGCATTATTGAAACCAACTTTATGACCCTTCTCTACGATGTGCTCCGCTATAGATGATGCTGGGCATCTATTTCCGGGATCAGTTCTATCCGGTGTTTTTATTTGTTGTTGTAGCCACTTTGGAATATGTTCTGCAGTCCTAACGTGCAGAGACCGATGGATTGTAGAAGTCAGATTTAACTGCAAACGATAGTATTGTCTTAATTTTTCCCCCGTATCATGTTTTACATCCTTCTACGCTATCGTTTGGAGTGTCGTCAACCGCATAGATGAAGAGAAATGAGGGAGATTAGGCAACCCTATCTAATTCCAATACAGATTAAAAACAGCAGTGATTGGGGGCGGGGGGGGGTCAGTTAATCTAACTCCACCTGAGTGGTTTTGTATAGAGCTTTCAGAGTGTTGGTAAGCTTCCCATGGGATACGGCTTTCTCTGTCTCTACAACACACACACACACACACAGTTTGAAAGGACAGTCCTAACATTTTTTCCTGTAGACTTTATTCTTTGATTTCTACCTAGATATATATGCTTTTTAGAACAATGTTTGTAAGAGCATTTACGTTTCTCTCACGCTTAATTTTAAAAGTGGTATTGTAATGAGAAGAGTATTTGTTAACAGACGTAGACGTAATATCCGACTATCGACCAAAGGTACTGCTCATCAGTCCGCTCCGTCCTCCTTTATGGTTGTGAGACCTGGCCATTGAGAGTGGAAGACATGAAAAGATTAGCTGTCTTTGATGATAGGTGTCTGTGTTCTATCTCCCGTGTGTAGTGGTATAATCAGGTGAGGAATACTGAGGTTAGGCGTCCGTCGAGTGCTAGGTAAGGAGGGGAAATCAGTCGACCAGGCTGTGAAATTACATCGACTGAGATGGTTAGGACATGTGTTACGTATGCCTAGTCATCGCCTTCCTCGACAATGGGGAAAGTTACCTGATATAGGGTCAGGCTGGAAAAGAGCTAGCGGCAGTCAAACGAAAACATGGCACCAGTCAATGAAATCCACAACAGTTAGTCTAAGCCACGTAGGAAGGTGTAGACTTCCTGTTTGCGGTCTTCGGGACGGTAAAAACCAATGGTTGGAAACAATTGGTGACATGGCTCAAAATCGTTCTCAATGGCTGGTGTAGATGCATCCATACCTTGTGACTTATGATTTCCAATGAAACTATATTGTTCTTCGTTATTGCTATTCCTTTGTCTCACACCTCTGTCTACTGTCTAAATTATGCATTTCTTCTACTTTCTTCTGTTGCTTTGTGTGCTACATGGCAAGTGTGGTGACTTGAACTGTCGCACATATGTGCAAAGTTCTATGTCGAAAACAGACAGACAGACATTTGTTAACAGAATTACTTATTGGCTAATCGATACACAAATATAAACAAACTACGTCTATCATATATTAGAATCTTTATTTGCACATTTCTTCGATATTGTTCTATACTCTGTCTTCAGTATGGATGCTTCTTTGTCTTCCTTTCATGTATTTCCCATGTTTTTTGTGTGACAAGCATCGTTCATTAGATCCCTCTCTCCGCCAATACTTGGTAATCTTGCAGATGACATACATATATTTATGTTTGAATCTATATACTACTATTTAAATCTTGTCAGTAGCACACACACTCCACAGTATATTTTTAATATATCATCTTGTTTTTTTCTCTCCATAGCTGAATGAAGTCAATATAAACGCTAAATCAGGTGATATAATCCAGACAAGTTTAGCAGATATACCACCATTACACAAAATGACTGATCAACATTTAGGCAATGCTGGTGAAATGAGTGAATACTATTCAAATCTTACTGATAACAATCACAAGCATAGCAACAGTAATAATAGTAATAGTCATAATAATACTAATGATGAAATTGAAAATAATTTAATTTCACATTCATCACCTGGTCAACGTGTCTCATCAACACCTGTGGATAATATTGAGAATAATAATAATAATAGTAGCAGTAGTGGCTCTAATAACAAAGATGCTGATAAACAATCAATCGATGATGGTGATGATAATGATAATGAACAGTCTTCTTCATCGTATAGAACTGCAACTTCAGAAAGTTGTTCTGTAAGTTTTTTTTAAAAAGAACTTATGTTGAAGTTTCTGTTTTTCATTCATTCAATATGCCATTGGTTGTTGTATTAGGTATGGGGTTTCGCCAGGATTCTTTCCAACATTGGCGCAGAAAATGTGCCGGGCTATGGAGTGGAAGCCGAATGGAAAACGATAAAGTTGGGCATTAGTCCGAGGGTGACACGGAGGAGATGAAGGTGTATGAGCAATTGTGGAGCCAGTTAAAGAGGATTGCCAAGAACAGGACGAGATGGAGATGTATCTGTTGAAGCCTGGTGTTCCACTTGTAACCAAAGGGAATAATAATAATATAGCTAGCTGCGTGAAGTAAACAGTCCTCTGTAGCAGGACCTTCCAAGGAGGCTGGGGAGGAAATTGTAAGCTGGAATGCCCTAATTCAGTGTTTTCGAATTGGTGTTGTGTGGTCCCACAGCGTCTAGCTTCTAGGATGTGAAGAGGTGCGATTTCACGCAGTTATGTTATTCCTGCCTTTCATTTTGAATGGAACAGATGGCGCCTGGGCGGCACATCTATTCCACTTGGTTATCGGTGACTACTTTCAACCGTCTTTATGACTAATCACAAATTTCTGTTCCCTCCCGACATAACCTTCTCTATGTCGTCCTAAAGTGCCGCACTTATGGCTTCCCATTGGGGTTCTACTGAAGGACCTGGGGTGTGATGTTACTTGAGATTTCAAAGAAAACAATTTCAAAACAGAATATAAATAAATAGCTGCAGTAATTGTTGAGGGAATTATGTGAGGATCAGAGTTACACTTTGTGACTCCGTAATGTGTTATTCCTTCGTCAGACTATTCACTGATTGGTTGATATTTCCTCTTGCTTGCGTTTTCGATGTCGCATTTTATGCTCTTTATATGCACTACTTAAAAACAATGTTCACCAAACCGTAATCTATCGTATTATCATTTCGTAAGAAGGAACGCATTTTTCAGAGCTTTCATATTTCTCGACCATCTACTGAAGCTTATCAAAGTTGGAAGGAATTGAAATTTATTTTGACGAGCTGTTTTTAGTTGCAAACGTAGCTGCTTCCATTTGATTGGGAATGTGTGTTTTTTCATAAAATTCCTGCTGCCTTTGAGGCTGTCTAAACATTTGTTTACTCCCGTCAAATATGTTGCCCTATCTCCACAAATGACCTGGTACTCCCGAGGGTGGGTAGTCCCTGGTTGTTGTCTCATAGAGCTCTTATGTACCTACGCTTACATAGCCTCGTTCAGGTAGATGCCTTCATGTTGCATGTTAAATGACAGATACGAATGTTTGGCGCTTATAACCGGACTGCTGAACTCAAAGATCCACCTAGAGGTGGGGGCTGAAAAAAAGAATTCCGTATATTTAGTGCACATGGGTTCCAGAATCCGAAGGGGATCGATTGGTGTGCAGACCTTTTTTGCTTACCTCTAACAATTAAAGCGCAGCTCCGGCCGCTACTATGCTTCCTTGTGAGTCAAACGGCTCGGAAAGTGGTCCATTAAGGTAACCACCTGCTTTGGTCTAGGCGTACGGACAGTATCTCAGCTTCCACACAAATCGTGGGACAACAGTCAAATTGTAAGATGTGGTTAACCTTTCTTCTCCAGTTACCAGAACTTTTGTAGAAGTCATATAGTGTAACCCCTGGTCATCTTCGTCAAAGTCACCAGATCGCAGTTATGCGAAATAGCCAGAAGGTACATTACAACTGACGCGAAAAGACATTCATTATTTACAATAAGAGTTTTCGAAATTGTTTGCACTGTTTACCCAGCAATTTACGGAGACTAAATTATGAAATAGTGCACGAAACGGCATTTAGAAATGATTTGAAATCAACTGAGTGAGTAAAGGTCATTGGGTCGAAACAGTATAACAAACAGTAATAATAAAAACTAAAGTGCATAGTCATGTAATCAGCGAAATAATTGCTACCCAGTTAAACTGAGATTAATCATAGTTTCTTTTTGTGTAACCAGATCGGGTTTAAGTGACCCAACAGAACGATAGATTCAGTAATCCGAAGTAATGCTGATGGGATGTATGTGGCGAAGCAAGCACATCGAAAGAGCTAAACATGTCAGACTTGAAACCAATCATATCCCTACAAACTAACAGTTGAAAATTAATCTGATGCTCAGTAGTGACTGGTTACAGCACGAAATTGTCCAGAATCCTGGTGGGCTCAATCCAGTCAGATGTGAAGAGAAATACTCGCCGTAGAGATTGACTAGTGGTCGCACTAAATTCGCGGATTGGTAAAAGTTGGGATTCATGGGTCCTAGTGGCAGAAGGTCGCGGCTTCGAACGTTGACGGTGGGTGCGTACACTGCTGAAGAATCCCTAAACTAGAACGAAATAGTTGTACAGTTAGTACTTCCTAGCCTTTGAGAGGTTCTCTAACTGATATCGATCCGTGATTATGGTTCAGATCAATCAAATCTCTACAAACCAACAATTGAAAATATCCCGAAAAGCTTTAGACTCAAAGATCTGTAGTTCATCACCATTACCGTTACCCGAAATTGAGTCGAAACTGGTATGTTATCTTGCCATTTGATATAATCTTTGAATCATTTATCTATTCTCCTCTGTATACCCTGATAGCTGGGTCTTCTTTTTTCTACTTATTCTCACATATCCTACTTATTTGTCATTTTGGCTAAACGTTTACACCGGCATTGTTGTTTATTTACTGTGCAAATATTGTTAGTTAGAGATCAATAAAAACTTATGCATTAAAAAACACATTTGTTCATTTTTCAAATTTCAATATAAGAAAAATATTCATTCAGACATGTTTATATACATAGAATATTCTAGATTAGTAGTCAATAACAATATTAGTGTTTTTTAAATAATATCGATTTGTAAAGTAAGATCAAAATGGAATTACAGTTGATTAAAGATGCTTAAATTATAATAATGATAATAAAGATATAGTAGCGAATAGAATATCAACTAAAATTAGGAAAATTCCGCAAAATTGAGGATCATTCAAACCTGGATGGCCAAGGTAAGGATAACGTCTGAACTAACTTCTTTTGGATGCACAAATTGGGCTTGTTAATATGGATCTCAACGGCCAGCCAGAGTAATATTTAGTAGTCGAACTCTTTAGGCAAAATTGAGATTCGTAGGTATGCGGTAAATGACCCTGAAAGCATGATTAACGTCAATCTTGTGTTCTGTATCCACAAGATGAGATAAAATAGCGCTGCGAATAGATTTTGTTTGTCCTTTGGTTAGCCAACCACTGTGCAGGGTGATGTTCGGAAATTCGACTACTAATCTAGAATATTCTATGTATATAAACATATATATGTAATTGTAGAACCAGAAGAGGAATTTATCGAAAAGGATATTCTTTGCTCAACCATTTTTCAAATTGTCGTTTAGTTTTTGGTTTTTTTCAATGAATAATTCTGTTTCCTTATTATTATTATTATTACTATTATTATTATTATCTTTTTATGTCAGCAGTCGAATAGACTCAATCGATCGAAAGACATTTTAGAGTCTTCGTTAAACTCAAATCTGAAATCTCATCATTCTTCTTCTGGTGCAACAGCATCAACAACGACAATAACAACTGTTGGTAGTAGTAAAGAAGAAGAAGAAGAGGGAGAATTGCATACTCCTCATCCAATAGTACTATTAGGCGATGATGTCAAGTCTACAAAATCATCGGATAGTTTACTGCATTCATCCAATTGGCAACCAACATCTGATTGGATATGCAGTTGGAAGGCGAAAATGCCCTTACAGACAATTATGCGTCTACTGCAAGTTTTAGTGCCTCAAGTTGAAAAAATGTGTATTGATAAGTGAGTTCCACTTTTCTGCATAATAAACAAATAAATAAATAATTTATGCTGGTATGTACTACTGATTTATTTGAGTAGTAATTGGAAACCACTCATGTCATACAGCAGTGTAGTGCATGCTAGCCAGATGGAAATGATCTGAACACCGGATGAGCCGTTTTCACCTATTTGGAACTGAGCTCACCACTGGTGTGTTCCTGGCTTTATCTCCCACGTAGACAGCTGATTCACCGTAGTTTTCTTTGGAAATCAAAAATACATCACTCCCGTCTGGCCAGCAAGCACTACTGGTTGCTGTAAGTTATTTCCAATTACCCATGTTATGTCATGGTATTGCACTTACTTTATCGATAGCCATTTATGGTATCAAGCAGATCATATAATGTTTCCACGGGAAACCTGAGATGAATATTCTTTGCGGCTAACTTCAATATGATGTGAGCTTTGAAAATTCCCTGTATTTTCTGATGACCCTGGGCATGATTAATTGTCTCCCACCCTTCAGGTTTGAATTTCCTCGCAAACCATTTCTCACTTTGTCTATCATTTAGCTGGCCATCCTCTCTTCAACTGTAAGACAGGGAACGAAATTACTCATATCAAGTTAGTTCTTCTGTCTGGTTCAGGTATTTACCACGTTATGAAAAGCGTTTCCAACAGGCTGCGCTTTATTCATCAACAGATTCCTTCGCTAGACAGTACGAAATATTAGTTGACCGGTCAGAAAAGTTAAGCAACAAAGAATTCTAGGCGAGAATCGGTCAAGAACCTGTTAATTGTCCAGAAAAAATATGCAGGATAAAATGAGGATGGATTGAACTTACACGCTGGTGGTACCTTAGAGTGACGTCACTCGCAGACTATCGGAAGAGAGGAGCTAAATGAGTGAGGTGCAATAAGTTATTGTTTTCCTTTTTGGCACGCAGGAGATGAATGAGAATCATAATGATGATCAACAACTGAATTCATAACTTTCAGTAGGACTCGTCAGCTGAATACTCTACAAACATTGTTACTGATACAATCTCCTCTAAAGGTTAAGTATATACAAACTCATGAACAGTGTAACAAACTAATTAGGATTGATTTGAATAAATATATAATCGATAAATGATAAGTGATAATCTGTTAACGTCATGATTAAGTGAATAATATTCATTAGAGCACAAATTTACAAATAAACTGGAGTTTTTTGTGGTGGAAGTTATACAATTATAAACATTTAGATATGATAATAATATTGAAATACAAGGAAACTTAGTAAAAAGCAAATAAATAAATTTAACATATGTGAACCATATAGTATTAAATAAAAAGATTTTAACATGTCTGACTTAAACTCATAATTTTCAAGGGTTGATTTTTTTTCGATTTTGACCACGGATTGATATCATTTAGAGAACCATTGAAAACTAGGGAGTGCTAGGTAAAGCGGGGAAATCAGTCGACGAGACTGTGAAATTACATCGACTGAGATGGTTAGGACATGTGTTACGTATGCCTATTCATCGCCTTCCTCGACAATGGGCAATGTTAACTGATATAGGGCCAGGTTGAAAAAGAGCTAGCGGCGGTCAAATCAAAGCATGACACCAGTCAATGAAATCCACAACAGTTAGTCTAGGTCACGTAGGAAGGTGTAGACTGGCTTCCTGGTTGGGGTCATCGGAACGGTAAAAACCAATGGTTGGAAACAATTGGTGACATGGCTCAAAATCGTTCTCAGTGGCTGGCGCAGATGCATCCACTCCTTGTGACTTATAATTTCCAATGAAACTGTTTTGTTCTTTGTTATTACTATTCCATTGTCTCACACCTCTGTTTACTGTCTCTATTTTGCATTTCTCCTACTTTCTTCTGTTGCTTTGTGTGCTACATGTCAAGTGTGGTGACTTGAACTGCCGCACATCAGTGCAAAGTTCTATGTCGAAAACCGACCGACCGACCGAGGGAGTACTGGAAAGCTGTTTCATCCTAGTTTGAGACTCATTGGCAGTATGCACCCACTGGGTTTCGAACCCCCAGGACCTTCCAGTTGCAACGCGAGCTAGTCCACCATTCAGCCACTGGGACCCGACTTAATGGCCAACCCATGAGTTCTAACTTCTACCGACCACCAACCTATGTCATCAGTGAGAAATCCACCCTTACTCCCGATTAGACGCATCTCACTAGTTACGACTTCTCACCATCCATCAAATTATACCGAGTGATCATAATAGTAGTTTTATTTTGTCTTCTAACCAAGCGTAACACATTGCTCCTATTGGATAGTCGATATTTTTTTAACTTACTTAAAGTTTCCCCTTTTTTCCGCTTAATTTGTTTGTTTATTTTTTAGCTTTCAACTAATCAACCATCTTTTCTTTTTTTACAAAAAAATATAACGATTTCTAGGGGTTTAACAGATGAAACTGAAATTGTTCGTTTTCTTCAAAATGGTACACTGGTTGGTTTATTGCCCGTCCCGCATCCAATATTAATACGGAAATATCAGTCGAATATTGGTACAACTATATGGTTTCGTAATTATTTATGGGGATTAATCTATCTAAGGTAACTTTTATTTATTTTCAAGTATTGGTTTGGTAGGGATTTTGTTTAATTGTATGGAGGATTTCATCATGAGCTGACATCAGTTAGAGAACCACTGGAAAACCTGGGAGTACTGGACAGCTGTTTCGTCCTAGTTTGGGACTCTTCAGCAGTACGCGCCCACCCGGGATTCGAACCCAGGACCTTCTGGTTACAAGGCGAGCTCGTAGACCATTGAGCCACTGGGACCCGATCCAATGGTCCTTGAATTCTAACTTCTGCCAATTCACGACATAGCGCGACCATTTCGCAATGTCTTCTTAGATGAGTTACTGTCACATCTTCAACCTGCTGTACCCTACTGGTCACGGCTTCCCACTAGAACCCCAGGTTAACTGCCTGAATAGGGCCAGTCACTATTTTGCTAACTTGTAATCTTTTGTTAAATTTGAGATGTTAATTAATGTGTTTATCAGTACTTCATTTTCACTAGGTTTCCTCTTCCCAGCAAGGTTACAAGTATTATACTATGTCATATTTCAAATTGTATTAATCTATGAGATTGTGAAGCTGTATCGATTGTGCTGGCTAAAACACGTGTTACGCACGTCTCGTCAAGCAGTGCTGGATTAGTTACAGGATTTCATCATGAGCTGACATCGGTTAGAGAACTATTGGAAAACCTGCAGGGAGTACTGAACATCTGTTTCGTCCTAGTGTGGGACTCTTCAGAAGGACGCATCCAGGACTTTCTGGTTATAAGGCTAACGAGCTCGCAAACCATTAAACCACTGGAACCTGATCCAACGACCAGCCCATGAATTCCAACTTGTGCCAGGCAATTCACGACATAGCGCGACTGGCACTAGCCAATGTCATCGGTGACGAGTATTTATCCTCATACCCGTCCTATTGTACCTTAATCTGGTCACGACTTCCCACTAGAAACCCAGTTAACTACTTACCTGAAAAGGACGACCAGTTGCTAGTGAGTATCTCATTGATATTCAAGTATAGATTTGTAGGGATTTGATTGGTTGGTTACAGGATTACAAAACAGTTAGAGGGTGGTCAAATGAAAACCTTTACGTGAATCTATCAATTCTTTTGCTGTAGGTTTGAGCTACAAATGGTGGTTGTTGATTAGTCTGGCTGGGAGTGATATAGTCCTCCTACGTGGAGACGCTGATGCTAAAAGATTGGACTACATCAACTCCTAACTTAAAGCTAACGAGTGAAGTGGTTGGCTGAGCGTGTTTCTCACTACTTTTATTTTTCAGGTTGCATTAGTCGTAACTGTCTCGTTAGGCATATGCCATCTTGCATCATTTCTGGCGTATAAGTGATATCCGGCTATCGATCAAAGGATGTGTGCACTGCTTAGCAGTTCGCTCCATCCTTCTTTATGACTGTGAGACATGGCCATTGAAAGTAGTAGATATCAAAAGGCTAGCTGTCTTTGATCATAGGTGTTCCATCTTCCATGTTTGGTAGAGTAATGGTTTAGGTGTTGAGTTATGGGTGATGAGGGAAAATCGATCGACGAGGTTGTGAAGTTACATTGATTGAGATGCTTATGACATGTGTTGCTCACGCCTAGCTATCTCCTTCTTCGATGTACAATGTTAGCTGACCTTGGGCTAGGTTGAGAAAGACTTAGGGATCCTCAAATTAAAACGCAATCAATCGATGAAATATTCGACTCTGGGTTTTAGTCACATAGAGAGGTGTAAATTCTCTGATTGGAAGACTTTGGGATTCTAAGACACAATGATGCCTGGAGACAATTGGTGTTATGGCTCAAAATCATTCTCTCTCCTTATGATCTCTCATATCCATCCAACCGTATTGTTGTTTTCATGTTACTACTATCCTTTCTCTCTCCTTCTGAATCTCCTTGTTTCTCTTTTTGCTCTACCTTTGTGTGCTACAAGGAGTGTGGGAAGTTGGACTGCAGCACTTCTGTATAAAGTTCTATGTTGAAACTAGTTGGCCAGTCAGTCTGGCTTACGTCCTTAGAGCATGGCTGAAAATTATTTTCAGTGGTGTATTGATGCATGCTCTGAGTCTTTGTGTTTTCCTAGATACATCGAATTCGCATTGTTCTCCATGCAATCATTCTTCCACCCGTACAATTCTATTTGATATAGTCTCTTTTTATTTCTGTTCTCTTTCTTCTTTCTTGATTATGTCCTTTCATGAAGTATGGGAAAAGAGTATAGCTGTGCTTCTGTTCTTTTGTACAAAGTAATTAGTTATACGTTAAAAATTCAGTCAGTCAGCTTTTCTTCAGGGTATGAAAAATTCTCATATCATTAAATAAAGATGCAGAAGTCAGCAAAGGAAGGCCAAATCGGTTGAATAGTCAACGAACTTGCCCTCGTTACCTGAAGGTCCAGGATTCACCCCCTGGTAGGTTAGCGACCGTTGGTACACACTGATGAGGAGTATCGAAGTGGGAGGAAACAGACCGTCTTTGTTTTCGCTTCGATCGAGTGTTATGCAGGGAAGGTAAATCAATCCTTGAGGTTTTGAAGCTACATAGATTGAGATGTTTGGGGTCACACGTGTTAAGTATACCGAGCTCACCGCCTTGGTCAGTCATCGAGCAATGTTAACTGACATAAAATTAGGTTGGAAAAAAGTTAGGGGAATTATAAAGTCTATGACTGCTGGTTTGAGTTAGCCACGTAGGGAGGTAGAGACTGCCTCGCTACAGTCGTCTAGACTGACTGTTGCTGATGATATGGCTCGATATCTTCCTCATTATCGCTGATACATTCTTTCTCTTTGAAATCTCTCAGATGCGTTAAATATTCATATTTCTCCATGCAATTATTTTTCATTCCATGCATTTGAGCTTATAGTTCTACTTTTGGTTTTCTGTTCTACCTTGGTGGGCTGCTGTAACGGGAGAAGACAGTGGATTTCGTAAAGAACTCTCTATGTTAAGGAAAAACACACCATAATTATACATTCTTAACCACATTTAAGGTCGGCTAGGTCAGTGGATAATAAGCTGTGTTCTGATTGGTTGTCGATTTTACGAAGAGTAGACCATGAGATGAAAAGCTATCCAGTGAGTTTATTTTGCTAACGACAATGTCAACTAAATCCAGATCTGAGGAATAAACACTTCTACCTATGCAGCCAGCCATTGTTTTCAATTTTGTCTGCTTCCTATCAGTCTGCATCCACATGCTACTGATAAATCCTCTGAGTAGTACATGCCACACTACTGCGCCAAGGTCTCATTTAGTCATAGCAACCTATTATCGGGTTTTTATACTCTTAAGGAATCTTTTGTTGTGGTATGTGAACAAGTGCTTTCTAATGTACTTATTCACTAAGTTGAAATGTCAGACAGATCACAGTACATATGTGTACTGGCGCAGAAGTCTTTCTCATTCTCATTGAAGACAGTGTGAACAAAGTGTCTAGGAAAGACTTAAAGCGTATAAAGTCTTATGCATGTCTTTGTGTTTGTTCTATCGAAATATGAATCGCTCATCTCATCATAATCACATCTCCACCTATGTCACACCCTCTTGTGTTTGTTTTTCTTTTCTATATATTTATTTTTCCAGGAATGTTAATCCTCCTATCTGGTATGATACAAATGTACGCTTATTTGAAATTCAACGTATGTGATTCTTTCAACTTCCAAGACGACTGTGTGTGCGTCAATCTTTCGCATACTAATATTTAGTTGTCGTCGGTGTGTTACTCGATAATAACCTGGTAAACAGCTTTTTTTCTCACTATCTACAGTCAATTTTTTTCAAATTACATTCCATTGTGCGTGTTTATTTTCTTTGTTCATAGATAGACCGACGCATACACACACACAAATTTGGGTGCTGTTTGTTTTTTGTACTTTTCTCTCTATACACATACACCTATAATCTCATATTGTCTTATATCTTGTGTAAGTAAGTGGTCTGTGTGTTCGTTGTCTGAGTGTTTCGTCAATTGTTCTTCCTCAAAGTACAACATGCCTGTTGTGTCAAATTGATTCTCGGTAGTTGTATTTCATTTTCGTTTATACGCTAATGTTTGAAACTGTTGTGAAACTACTCCATTCTATTAGTAGCAGAGGTATAATAGGAATAATGATAATGTTCTAAATCGTGATATTGTTTGTACATTTTATTTTATAACTCAACCTGTTTTTTCTTTCTCTTTCTCCATTGGTGGATAAAGCCACACTAGTCAGCTCTGATTGTTCGCGTTAACATCGGAAACTGGCATCTACCAATCAGAGAATTTGTTGTAAGTGACCTACAAAGAGATTATTGGTGCATAAGCTATCAGGCTGACCACTTTGTCATTCTCTGATTGGTAGATATCAGTTGCTGGTGTTATATGAACCAATCATAGCTGACTATTGTCATTATTATCTACTATCGTTGTATTCTTCAGTTATTCACTTATCTATTCATTACCTTTTTTGTGTATTGTTTCAAATAACAACAATAACGAGAAAAAAATTTCAGCATTTCACATTTTGCTTATCATTATTTTTTCTCCTACTTTTCTTTATACTTTTGTTTTGAAGTATTTTTTCTCTTATCGATTTTTCTGTTTTCTTCGTTTGTGATATATATATGCCTGTCTTTACATGTATTCTGAAAAATAATTTACTCAAAGTTAATGTTTATAAACTGTGATATGTGCGTGCATGTGTGTGTGACTGTATACATACAGTTTGTGTATCTGTATGTATATGTATATTTGATAAACCAATTTGTTTGTTCTGCAAACTGACCAATAAATAAATCAATGATAATCTCAATATGTATATTTTTTGAATTGGGAAAATATTTGATAGTTGTAATGTCAATAAAACATTTAGAAGACAAATCTTGCGAGAGGATATCTTCATATCGTAGTTTCTCTACAATCGTCTTACAACTAACATGGTTCACAATAATAATAAAATAAAATGCATGACAGTTACTCAGTTATATAAAAGAAAAGTACATACTAATAACCAATCATATTTTTAAATAGGTCAAGTAGTCCATGGTAGGCGAAGGTTGAAGTCTATTGATTTTTGTACACATAGTTTAGGCTGTATGTGATTAATCCAAAGTGGTTCCATCGCCTATAATAACCTTGAATTAGAGTTGTGCGGTGAAATAATTGTGAAACAGTCGTTAATATTGATTTTGTGACCTGACATTAATAAGTGTTTTGCAATCGTTGATGCTGGATTTCTATTCAGATTAATCGCATTGGGATTTTCGATATGATTTAATAAACATTTTGGAACATGTTCCTATCGACGACCACATTGGAACATTCTATTGGTTCTACCTATATAGGTGTCACCGCAGCTGCAGGTGAACTTGTAGATACAGTTTGAAGTAGAGTCAACAGAATTTCGTCCTTTCATCGTAGGTACAGGGATCGAAAATGCTCGGCAAGTGAGAAAAAGAGATGCGGCGTAGAATGTGCGTTTGATGGCTGACCGAAGTCTTTGAGCTGTCAACTGCATAATCTGGTCACCCTTGAATGGTAGTTTAATAAAGATAGCTTTCTTTGGTACCGAAGCTGTCTTTTCGAGATGTGGTCTTTCTTTACTGTGACAATTGATAAAGTTTTCTGGATAACCATTAGCTAATAAAACTGAATGTATATATCGAAACTCATCCATCAATATGTCGCTCGTGCATATTTCTCGGGCTTTTTGAAAACAAACTTTTCACTAAGGAATAAAACTGGTGAAATGAAGGTATTGTCCACTCCATGTCTGTTTACGAAAAATAGATCGCTGAATCGTTCCATCGTGTTGCCTGTTCATTGAAATATCCAGGAAACGGGGTTTTTTATTCGATTCGAATTCGGAAGTCACTTGGATATTTAGATGAATATGATTAAGTAGAGTAATAAAGTTTTCAATAGACTTACTATTATTACCAAAAATAATTATCCTGGCATACCTTGCATTTGTTTCTCCAATTTCGACATGGATGTATCTGCTAACATGGTCCCAAGAGGGCTTCCCATTGCAACACCATCGATTTGTTTGTATGCCTTTTCTTGAAAGGTGAATCTGATATTTTCTGTACATATTAAGATAATGTATGATGTTGTGAGTGACAGGAACAGGTAAGTTTATCCCATTGCTTGTGATTTAATCGCAAATGAAATCAGCAGTTTAATGAAGAGGAACTTTGGCGAATAAAGATTCTATGTCGATTGAGCAAATAACTATTTTTCCTTAATGTTCAAGGTATCTAGCATATTGGTCAGATCGGATGAACTTTTTACGGAGTGATTTGTTAATGAGTCTTATACAGGTGTAAGGACCTCTGTAATCCATTTTGCGATTTTATGGTATGGAGAATTAGACATATCTAAGATAGTTCCCAACGGGTTCCCAGGCTTGTGAATCTTTGGAAAACCATACATCTGGGGGGTATGTGTGGTACAGTAGCTTTAAGTTGCTTATAAATTTTTCCATTTATAAAACGATTGATCTACTTATCCACAAGCAGCACATTATCAGCAGTACTATCCACCGGAAATTCGGATTGATCTTTGAGGATTTCGTAAATCTGATAGCGATGACCTGATTTATTCATGATGACAACGCCTTCTCCTTTGTCAGGTGTAAGGATAATAAGATTATCTGTTTTGATTTAACTATTTATTTTTTTTATTATAGCTTGATTTCAAACAGTATTTCGGTACAAGTATGGAATTTTAAGCATGGGATATCGGTAGCCCAAATTTAGCAGGTCGACCATTGATATCAGGTGTGCGTCGGCCGAGTATCGAATCCCTGACCATGTGCATGATCGGCGAGCGTCGTAACCGCTGTGCCACCAACTCACATTGATTAATTCCTTAAGACGCGGTGTGGTGTTCTTTTGATAAACTATTTTTCTGATGTATTCTGACATTTAGAAATGGGTGAGAAATGTCCACCAGTTTAACTTTAAACCAATCCAGGTTATCTTTACTAGAGAGCGTTAAATCAGACATTTGTTCATACAGATTTTCATACTGGGACTGGACTTCCATTTTGTTTGCTTTCAGAAGGATAGTTTTGTATTTCAATCCGTAAGATAATGCTTCCAACTGTAGCTGGGTTAGAGTGCAAGAAGATAAATTAATTACATGCTTGTGCATATCTTGAGGAAATTCCACAGTGTGTGATTCGTGTCTTTCAACGATTTGTAATATGTCCCGAATATTACTAAGACGCAACGCAAATCTTGGATTATATTAGATACTACCCCTACTACTGTGATGTATGCTACTGGCAAGATCTTGTAAGTAGTATATTATTTGTGCGTGATGTCTTCTGCGAGAAGATTGAATGGCAGGGGGATTGATTCAGTTGCAAAGAAGGAGGAATAAGAGATCCTTGTTAAACAAGATTGTGAAAGCATGGGAGGAAGTCAAAACGAAGGGCAATGTGCAAATGAAAATTTCAATGTCAAATAGGTGAACTGTTACCCAATGCGGTCGTTACACTTGCTAGTCATGATTAAAACAAGCATTATTATTAATATTTCATTATGGAGAGAATTTTTTTGACGACGTTTCGAGCACAATTTATTGTTCATGATCAAATCATGGCGCTCACACAGCTTTCTGACTTCGTTTCTATAATTCGTTGGTGTTAAATAACTAACTGTCTTATAAAATTCATTAAGAAGATCAGAAAAGGTTACAGAAAAAAAGAAAAATAATAGTGGAGCTATTGATGATGACATAAACACGAGTGAACGTAAAGCATCTATAGTTCTACTATATAAGGAGGCAACATCGAAAACCCTACTTAGGATTCTTCATATAGTAGGAATTAGGGTGGCGTTCAAACCTAAAAACTCACTCAGGGACAAGTTCTGTAGATTAAAGGACCCAAATAAGATAAAGTAATAATCAGTCACTGGAGAATTCAGGTACATCCAGATGACGAGTCCAAAGTGGGACGAAATGCGTATGTTTGATTCCGCTGCGAGTGTCACCATCTACTAATTGACTCCAAGTTACATGACCAGACATCATCGAAGCATCTTCACAACGAGCCGAGCACTTCAGTCCAGTCAATCGACGCGAACAATTAAATAAAGTAATATAATTTACAAAATACCTTGCACTGACTGTGAGATCAACGACATAGGTCAAACCATTAGATTAGGGGTAGTCAGAATGTAAGAATTTAGTTAAGAGTAGAATACGTGACCCCGGGAAGACAAGTGTTCTGGATAAAAAGTCAGCAATTGCACTGCATGCATTAAAACAAAATGGGGTTGGAGTGAGTTACTATTTCAAATAGTAATGTAGATGGAAGTAGAGAAAGACTATAAAACTCAAGTTTCGAAGTCGTGTGATTATAATTAGTATGATTATGAACAATAAATTTTGTTCGAAACTTTGTCCTCCAGTAAATAATACTGTTTCACACCGTGTGGCATATCTAATAAACAAACTGATACGGAGAGAGAGACTGATTACTGAATATTTGTTCATCGAATCTACACCCAACACATATAACAGGAATGACTCATCACCAATAGCAAAGATATGGAAAATACTACTACCAATCAAATAAAGAGATAAAAAATGATTGAATTATATAAAGGAAGTCAGAAAGTTGTGTAAGTAACTTCACATCATTATGAGTAAAACATTATTCTTGGAACGTTATCAGTAAATATTGATATAAATAACACTGTGAGACTTCATCAAATAAATTTCCTGCGTATTAGATTTATCAATAGGTACGTCTTACTGACTGATGGCAGTAATCGATAAACATAGGAGCGAAGCCACCTGACGATTGTCTCCAACTACCTAATGTTTATTAGTTATTATTACTGCTTCAGGTTTGAAGTGACACATAGGTCTTGGACAGCACACTCTCACTTCATTCTATTCTCTATAGTCCATTTTAGCTAGCTGAACGATTGTCTAATCAACTCCCATCTCCTCTGGATCACTCTCGGATGCCCAACTCGCCATTTCACATTTGGGTTTCACTTGAAAGACCAGCGCGCGATGCGAATCAACGATCTCCTCAGCGTTTATTCGATCCAATTCCTTCGGCGGCATAGTTGTTGACAGCTTCGTTGCTAACCCTTTCTGGTCCGTCAGCCATTCAGCCATCTAATCTTCAGTATGGAGCGAGTGAAGGCGGCTGTTGATAAAAGTCAGTTGGAAGTACTTTTGGTGAGGAAGTCTCTGAATCATATAGAAGAACTGACTTGACACTACCGCAGCAGATTTCTACATCGATTTTAGACTAATTATGGTCTGTGTTGGCCTTCTAATCTTGGCTGTCGTTGACATTTTCATTCCTATTTGCTGTAGGTGAAACAGTGCGCTGCCTAGATAAGTGCCAGCGAAGGATAAGTTTATTTTTCAAAACTATTCAACTTCGATTTATTTATTCTTTAATGTCGAGGCATCCATTTAAGGGGTCCTTATGATCTATGAAAATAAAGTGGATGCAGTCGGTTAGAATATATATTTCAACAGCATATGACAGATAATTTCAAATCATACCTGATACCGAAGAGGTGACTCTTTCGGCGAAGTGGATAACTCTTTTGTATCTTAAACGATGAAATGAGACTTCCAACCGCATAATGAAGGCTAGGGTGGCAGACATCAACTTGAGACACCTCTGGAGACAACTATTGATGAATTGTGTGCCAATGCTCAGAACCAATATAAAAGTATTGACTTGACATGAACGTTGAAAATTGTAATTCTGCTACTTGTGCTGTTTATTTTCATGTCGATTTCTAGCTTCAGTAGTGATTTGCATACCCCATAAGAAAGTTTATCATATGTGAAAAGGGTAAGCAATAACCTGCGCAAATTATCTTGAACAATTAATCTAATTAGCCAGCTAGTAATAATACCGCGCCAGTGATAGAGTAGTCATCAGTTACGTGAGAATTCCGGTTTCGATTCCCAGCCCACTCACTCCAAAACCTCACCTAACTGGAAGTAAGCTCGGAAATAAAGGAAGGTTGAGTATAGTATTGACAACCCCACCACGTAAGAAAGACAGCACCGCCACTACTGAAACTTCAGAGCTTCAAGTCGTCTGTTCCACTTGGAATGTAAAGGAATTAGAAACAAATTTAATCATAGTAATAACTAATGTCATTAAAAAGTTTGAGCATTGTATTATTATTATTATATTATTGTTCCCTTGAGTTTCGAGTGGAACATAGGGCTTCAGCAACACATCTCCACTTTGTCCTATCTTCTATGGTCCACGACTGTACGTAATCTCTTATCTTCTCCTCCAACTCACAAGATCTCCTTCATATCGCCCTCGTACTGACGACCTACTCATCGCTTCCTATTAGGGTTTCTCTCGAGTGGTGGCCTGGGGCGCGATGTCACTCGATGGTTTCCTCAGCGTATGGCTGATCCATGTCCATTTTCTCCTACATAATTGTTGACCAATCAGCTATTAGTTGGTTTGTTCTCAGCCAGAGTTTCTTGTTACTTATTCTTTCTGGCCATTTAGTTTTCACTGTGGAGCCAGCGGAGGTAGTTGTTGATAAACGTCCGCAGTAGCCTGTTGTAAAGCCTTTACGTGACACGCAGTGCAAGTTTCTGACCCTCAAAGAAGGACCGACTTAACATTGGTGTTGAAAAACCGAATCTTGTTCCTTATGTTGAGTCAGCGCAGAAGATTTCCAAAATGGTTTCAGGTTGATGAAGGTGTGTCTTGCCTTTCCTACTCCGGCTGGCTGGATCTGACATCTTCATCTGTTCCGCCTGTAGTTGAAACGATGGTTCTTAGATAAGTGGAGGAAGTAACCTCTGTTAAATCTCTCTTTCTGATGGTGATTGGTGCTGGTTGTTGTTGCTACCGCTTGATTGGTTATCTTCATCACCTCCATCTTCTTTATGTTCACCTGCAGTCCTGTCTTCGCTACACTGCTTCTTCAGCCAGTTTGTTAGTTTTCGCCCGCATGTAAGTCCTCGAGTTTGTGTGACATTAGGCATAAATCATCTACACGCGAAATCCACATATTCTAGAGTCTTCTCATCGGTGGTCTAGAGTATTCTTGTCTCCTCACTCCCAAACATAGTCTGACGCATAATCCAGTCCACATCGGGGATAACCGAATAAATAAATTATAATCATATTTCAATAGCTTACACACAATGATCAGTTTTTTTACTTGTATTTTGGTATTATTTTGAGAAAAACTGAAATGACAGAAGACAAGGGCCAAGCAACAGATCGTTTATTGAGGAAATCAAGAGATATTTTTATACATTTTTATGTACATTATTATTCGTTACTATTAGCAGAGAAACAGCGTCTTCTGATTGGTTGTTTTCTTGCTGAACGTTAATCTTTCATCTCTTTGTGTCCGTTTCTTTGAAGATCAGACCATATATCTGCTAATCGTATCCGCCCACGCAAAGTCTGCTGTGATTGGTTGTTGAGTTAGTCTTTGTTCTTGTTTTTTCTCATGACCAAGATTTGGGACGTACGTATTGACGTAAATTGCTGTCTATCAATTTTGGTTAGCAGACAGCTCTCACCAGAACAAAAATACTGCCCTTAATCATTCATTAAGGTCACTCCGGTTACATGTAACAAGGTTGACTCAGTACAAATGTCAACAACCTGGAGAATAATTCTGGATACACAAAAGGTGAATGGACAAAAGATGAACTATATATATATATATATATATATATATATATATATATACGATTACAAATCATAGAAGTGTTTATTAAAAAATTAAAACAATTCCAACAGTTGGTATGATCACAGGTAGTAATTTTGCTCGGAATATTACTAAAAAACAAAAAACTTATCATTGTGTGTAAACCCTAACCTTTTGTACATTATACAAAAAATTACTATCACATTATTATTACGCCATTTTATTCTGATGGATCGATAAAATTCAAACAGTTTGTAATCAATATTTACAAGTCAGATAGTTATTCTTTTATGATTCTTATAAATAAACATACCTACTGTCTGTACATAAGGACAAACGCTTAAAAAAAGTTCACAAACAAATAGTACTATGTATAATAACGAAAACAATAATAATTATAATTATAATCAAGGAATAAAGTTACATCGAAAAAGACAAAGAACAGAGAATAGTCAAAATAGTTACACGGATTCATATTGTCTTAATGTTACAAAACCACCATTACATACACATAAAACAAGTCAACCAGCAAGTATTAAACGAAAAAGAATTGAAAAAAGATCATCTAAATCACCAATGATGCGAAAATTGAAAATAAGTAAAAAACGTATACATTCACCTTCAATTAGAAAATTTAAACAAATATCAATGAAGAAGTTCAATCGACGCATATTTAAACAACGCCGGAGTCCATTTAAAATCAGGAAGTCATTCTTAAAAAAATTGAAACCATTGAATAAAAGCGGTCAAAAGAAAAGAAAACGCTCAAATATTATCCATCGATCTGTATTATCCTGTGCTCCGAAACAAAGATTTTTATCAATCTCTAAATTTATGAGATGTAATGCTCCTGTGATGCAAAGAAAGCGACACAAGTTTTCATCACCATCACTATCATCAAGGTCATCCTCCTCAATGTCACCGGTTAAGCGTAATAATCAATCAATGAAGAGTCGAAAACGGTTGATTTCCAAAAAATCACCATCATTTCAACGCCTATCACCAAAAAAACCACACAGTCCAGAATTATGTAGACGAAGTACTTATTCACCAGTAGTCTCAAAACTATGGTCATCTCGGTTAAGACCAAGACCATTGAAATCTGCACGATTCAGTTGTTATCGTCCAGTATGTCTTAATAGAATACATGCTAATCCATATGATCACTACACGAATAAACAAACCCCGATAAAACAAACTGCCGTTAAAAAAGATAAACTAAAAGGAAGTAATAAAAGTGAAAAAAGTAGTGGATTGAAGAGTCATCATCGTCGGCGAAGAAGTCGCAGTAGTAGTAGTAGTAGAAGAAGAAGTAGTAGTAGTGGTAAGAATATGTTTAGAAATTGTAATAATGTAAATAACAATGAGAACAGTAACGTTGAACAAGTGATAATTGAAAATGAAACTGAAACCGATATCTGGTATGATGCTATGGAAACAAATAATTTGAATGGTGATACAAATTATTCAAATGTTGAATGTTCAACAGATAAACAATTGAAACTAGATCATGCCTTGTCCAGTGGCGGCAGCGGCAGCAATAATAATAATGACAATACTAATAATGATAATAATAGTAGTAGTAATAATAATAGCATCTATGTAAGTCAGTCCATTGCACAGTTTATGGATTAATTGTAATTAGAATGTATATCTCATTGTATCAACAATAATGTAAACACAAAATCCAAAGACAAAAAAATAAGATAAAATGTATGATATAGTATAAAAAAAAACATAAAGATATGTATTCTGATATCGTGTATTCTTACTCCATTCATTGCTTGAATAGATGATGTTGATTAGGTGAAGTTAATGCACAGTGATCCAATTGAATCATGGGAATATTTGATCGTAAAGGTGGCTTATCACACTGTCCACTGATTTGTGGAGAATTGATTGGTTACAGGTTTGATCATGCTGTAACATCAGTTAGCGAACCATTGGAAAAGTATCGAGGAGTACTGGACAACTGTTTCGTCCTAGTTTGATACTCTTCAATGGTGCGCATCCACTGGGATTCGAACCCAGGACCCTCTGATTACAAAGTGAGCTGGTAAACCATTCAGTCAGTGGGAATCGATCCAATGGCCAGTCGATGAATTCCAACTCTTGCCAATTGGCGATACATAAAGCACAACCGCCATTCAATGTCATTGGCGAGTGACTCTTCTCTCGCATGACTTGATGGATCCCGCTGGTTACAACTTCGCACCAGAACTCCAGGCAACTGCCTGTACGGAAGCTAGTGAGTAGTGATCAGTAAACTAAATTATAAAGCAGAAATCCAGGAATAATGTTGAGCATTGGCAGTCCAAAAAAGGCCTAAAATCAGATTCTAGTCCTAATTTTTAAGTAAATCTGAGTCCTTACCATAAAAATGATGGATAGTCACTTGGATGGATACCGGGGTGACTATAAACTATAGCAGCGCAAAACGAAACTACCTAGTGAATGGATAAATGATCCTGAACAACCAGTCAGATGAGTCCACAGTTTACAGAGAGAATTGTGGATGCTGTACATGAATTGCATGCCAGATTTCACCCAAATCTAGTCTTTAAGTACTGCTTTTAGACAGCAGGCTCACTGGAAGGTAGAAAAAGTGCAGCCAACTGTCATCCCTGGGTTATATTCATAAAGTGGTCAATTATATGAACAATTTCGTTAATCCTTTCGATGGGACTTACACAAATTTTCTAATGAAAGTTTCTAGAGTCACTTAAAAGAAGAGGATCAAAGCAGTGAGTGAGTCAAGAAACACTATGATTTACAGTTATCTCAACGAATTTATGCACAGAAATTGGTTTGACATAACTATCAGGGATCCTATAGGAAACTGGGGGATTTTCTTGAAACATATATAAGGATGTTATCTCATAAAACTATTTTTTACCATTGCATTACTAATATACAAACGTTTTTTAAATCACGCACTTATCATATGGACGCATCTGACTGGTCGGTGGAGATTTGTCAAGGTCTTTTTTAGGTAGTTTCTTTTTGGGCTTCTACAGTTTACAGCCACCCTTTTCTTAACATTTTTCATGAATACACTCCGCCTGAATACAACAAGAACGACAAATTTATCAGTATCAACAAGTCGAGATTGAAACCAGCCCTGTTTTATTTGTCACCCACTGGTTTCAATCCAAACATTCTGGTGATACGAACTTTCGAATGAAAAAGTCTTCGACGCCTTGCGAAATCTCAAAGTGACTATACTAATGACCTTATTTCTGAATTGAAGAAAGAAGCTTAATCATATTGTGAATGTAGTAGAATAAAGTTGATCAGTTTCATTCAAGAGGTACAGACCAAAACAAGCATAAAATTTGGTGAAACTTCGTGAAACATTCTGGCTGAAGAAAAGTTACGTGAATGTATATTCCAGAGATTCCCGGAAGATTCTGCACTCAACTTGTCAAGTCACAAGTTGTGTCCGAGGGAGACAGAAGCGCTTTCATTAGGATTAAAATTCCATATTGCGAAGACGTTTATCAACAAAACTGACGTTAAAACCCAGTTTGAAAGCTTGTATCATCAAACAACTGTCTGGCTAGTACATCTGTCGTTCTGGCCTTCTTCAAGTTTGTTAATCGGAAGAACTGTATGAAACCATTTAGTTTGCTTCACTGTGATTGACCTATTCAAGGCTATTAATAGGTGTGATTAACCTATCTACAGACATGGTAGAAATGCATAATATCAAAATAAACCTAAGTAATGTAATATGCTCAAATAGCAGTATATTACAATTACCAGGAATAATAAAATATCACAGAAAGTAGTTACTTGAGGGTACTGTTTATCTCGCTTTTCACAAATTTAATAATATATTTACAGGATTTCATCATGAGCAGATCTCGGTTAGAGAACCATTGGAAAACCACCTGGGAGTACCGGATAGCTGTTTCGTCCTAATTTGGGACTCTTCACAGTACGCACCCACCGAAGAGCTTTAGGACCCAGGACCTTCTGGTCACAAGGCGATCTCGTAGACCATTAAGCTACTGGGACATGTACATATGAATTTGGCATATGCATTTGAGGACAACATGTTTGGCAGACTTGTCAACTAGTGATTGCTTCAGTGAAATACTGACTACTTCTGAAATGAATCAAATTTTACTTTTATATTTGGTGTTCTCTTGTGTTCAGCAATATATTGCTGGGGATATACATCATCTTTGTAGGTGTATACAGTTGATAAGAACCAACAAAATACAAGAATGTCATGTTATCCAGTTCAGTTTGTTATTCTTACTTTGTTCAACTTTTTAACAACTTCTGCAGTCTTTTAATTCCCACCGTTTAATATGCGCTTACTCCCCCATGACTTCTTCGAGGAACTTTGTTTAGATTACGTATTTAATTGGGTCGATAGCAAATACTCAGAAAGCGATGGAGATGGATTGGACATCGACGCCGAGGAGACCGTTGAATGACATCGCGTCTTACGTCCTCGAGTAAAACGCGGATGGTTAACGACGAGTTAGGTATTTCAGCGTAACATGAAGGAAATGAGAGCTGATAGTCAGCTTAAAAAGACTTCAGAGAAGAGAGTGAAATGGAAATGTGCTGCTAAAGCCCCCTATGTTCCACTTGGAACCCTAGGTAATAATAGTAATAATAATATGTCTTTATAAGTGCAAGTAATTAGAATTTATTCTCCTTTGCTTTCAACCTCAGTTACTTGACTAATACACCCATTATACAAATAATTTAAAAGAATTAGTTTGTTGAAATTTGATTTGTTTCAAGTTTGGCTATGGATTGATACCAGTTGCTGCAGAACCTTTGAAAACCAGAACGGAGTACTGCATAACTGCTTCGTCCTAGTCCGGAACTCATCTGCAGTATGCACCCATCGCCAGGGTACGAACCCAAGAGATTCCGGTTACAAGCCAAGTTCGTAGACATTTCAGCCACTGGAACCTGATTCAATGGCCCATAAATTCTAACTTTTACCAATTCAGTGTGACTATTAATCCTCACTGTTGACCGGATGGAACACAATGGACACAATTTCTCACTAGAAATCCAGGGGACTTCGTGTTGCAGTCAGTCACTGCCGACCATCAGATTAATTTTCAAGTATTAGTTTGTAGGGATTTGATTCGTGTCATGTTTGACCACGGATCGATACCACAGTGGATGCGTACTGTTGATGAGTCCCAAACTAGGACGAAACAGATGTCCAGCATTCCCTGCTGGTTTTCAATGGTTCTGCAAATGATATCAATCAGTGGTCAAATTTGAAACAAATAATTTAACTTAAATAAGAGCTATTCGAAAGTACTTACTATTCTATACTAATAATTATCACCCAAACTGACATCATAATATGGACACTTGTATGGTAATGGATATGTTGTCCTTATGCAGCACTTAACGCACCTTATCAAGCTCAGTGAACTAGAACACACACTTAGTCAGTGGCTTACATGGAACACACTTCATGAAGACTGTACTACTTATGTATGTGCTTAGAAAGACTAATTTATTTACATAGAAGGAAAGAAGCGAACCCAGTTTATTCAAAGCCTGGACATTCGAATGCCTAAAGCATATTTTCCGCCAAATCCAGAACGTTACGCCCACAATTTCTCTAGTGTTGTTCTTGATATGACGAATTTAGAAGTTTCGCCTCTCGATCTTTAATTTTGCAACAGTTTTATAAAAGTTCAAATTGAAAACCTTCGTGCTCAGACTGAAGACTTCATTGGATGAGAAGTTTAACAGATTAAAGTCATCTTTAGTCAGCTGCTGTTATAAAGACATGGATATTAGAGTTAATGGGAATGTTGTTTTAACCAAAAGACACAAAAAGGCTTTGAACAAATTGGAAGCAAGTAAGAATTTAGTCATCTCTAGAATTAACGAAGGCTCAGGAGTAGTTAACATGGATAAGTCTGATAACTTAAGCAAAATGGAGACTTTATTAAGTGATGCAAACAAATTTCAGAAGTTACCAACCAACAAAGATACAACAGAGAAGACTGAGAAAGAGTTAAGAGTTAGTCATCAAAAGAGTTGAAACAACAAGGTCATATTTCGACTGGACACTGATAACTAGTGTAATGTGTCTTGTCCTTTGTTTGGCGCAGACTGAATTCTATCAGTCAGTCAGGTTTGCAATGCGGCCACCATTCTGGGTAGCTCGCCATCACGGTGCACATTGATTTGATGATATAAGTTGGTTGGAGGCAGTCGGCCATAGGAGACCCTACCTGACCTAGGTTTCGTGCTAGTTGGCACTCACCAGTTAGCAAGGCGTATCTGCAACCTTGAAGGAACTCATGTCCTTTCTGAGATTCAAACCCGCGTCTGATAGAGTTTAGTGTGCACCAAAGATAGGACTAGACACACACATTACACTAGTTACTAACTAGTATCCAATCAAAGTATCCAATACAGTCTTACAGGAGATCAATCGCGATCCCGAATAGCTAACTCAGTGGTAGCGTCTCTGACTGCAGCACCCATTGGGTGCCGCTGGTTCGAATCTCAGAAGGGACATGAGTTCCTTCAAGGTTTCAGATACGCCTTGCTAACTGCTGAGTGCTAACTAGCACGAAACCTTGGTCAGGTAGGGCTTCCGATTGCCTCCAACCATCTAATATCATCAAAAGGTAATATTTCACTAAATTTGTATGAAACATTTAAGTTTGTTGG